TGGTATCCTCTAGTGATCCTGAAAGTTTCAAAGAATGTACCCAAAAATGCATATGGGGGGTCATTTTCGACCGTAAGAGAACAAGTCAAAGTGCACGTTAATTTTATTGTTTGCCTTGAGCAGAGCCAGGCTTTAATTCATACTTATAGGAACGATACACGGTAAATACACAATCGCATTTAGCACAGAGTTTACTCCAGTGCGTAGCCATTGAATACTGGTGTGACCCATAGATATAGAACTTAAAAAACTAGATCAGTGGATCGGACGCGCGTATCGGATACGCGCGTTTTGACAGGACGCTGCCATTGGTCACGTGAATAGGGTCAAACATTTAAACGCGCATTTCTTCGGCATGACGATCACTTGTACTCCATCACTGCTTGAAAATGGTGGCAATCTGTGCGGCAGCAAAGTTCAACTAAGACGGAGAAAGGGACCCGGAGGACAGTCTTTCAAGAAGTTAACATCATGTGTGAGTAACTTAATACACAGAATTTATCTCTTGAGAGTACATTTCGAACAAGACAGCTTTTATAAAAATTAACTCAATATAGGCTACGTTACGCAATGCCAAATGGGCATAAATCACAGGAATGGGTGTGGAGAAAAATCCCCCATGTGTGATCCAAAGGATCCTCCGAATTGTGTAATAACCGCGTAGGGCCTACTTAAAATATTTTCAGTGTAATGTTTTAAAAGTTGAGATGGTACTCCTGATCCTGAACATCGAATAACAATTATTTCTGGCCTAACATCACCCTCTCCTCTCCTGCTTTTCAATAACAGTCCGAGGATTGGGAGTCACTTTTTGTTGTGGGATGTGGGTGATGAAAGAAAATGCACCATTCTCCTAGTTTGAACACATCAATGAGAAAAATTCCAAATGGCAGTAAATGGAATCCGACAAAGCACGATCGTCTTTGCAGCGACCAAGTATTACAGTGAGCCTTGGGGCCAGGATAGGCTGTCGATAATTACTGTCATGTATTTAAAGGCCTATCATGTGCTTTATTTGTTTTATTTCGTAGAAAGACTACAGTCTCGTGTATGGACTTCAGCACGAGAAAAGCTGCCAACGGCAAGGAAAGAACCGACCCAAGCCCCCGTCGAAGATATTGCTTCAGTGCATGGCCGTACCGGCAAAACAAACATCAGCGATAGAGCATGCATACAGTGCCACCAGAAATGGATCTACCCTCGGAAGTAGCAGGAAGGCTATATAATCCAAGCTTGAACAGGAAAACAGACAACTCCGGCAGGAAAATCGACGATCATGTCGAAAAAGATCTTATCCGTCAGAGAGGTGATAAAAGGCGTGTAAGAGGAGCAACTTGTTACTCCAGAGACGGCCGACCAGATGGAAACACAGTTTCCTATTCTGCAATTGGAAGTCACTTTGCTGGAGCTGGGAAAACTGCGCCTTGCTCAACGAATCACAATCATACAAGTGAACAGATGAAGAAGTTTGCACTGCTGGACAAAAGCGTACGTCTTCGTCAGAAAGAAGATTGCACTGCCGACTGTGCGTACAGTGAGGAGATAGCTGGCTACGCATGCATAACTGGGCCTCGTGCGTGGACCATAGCTAAAATTTAACAAGTTTCGCTTAGTATTTCGTTATCGTCTTATTGTTGCTCCTCAGAAATTGAAAGATTGAATAGCCCTCTGTTTGCGTTCATGCATATGAGGAAGATATATTGGATTACTTATTCTGGTTCATAAATTTATGGGAAGCAATACTCACCTGCTGGTAGTTGCATAGTATAGACCTTCACATAAATATTCGGATGGTGACAACCAAATGTATTTTTTTCATGAGCAATGATATTCTTGACATCTTGATAAATGGATGATATGGATATGGAACTGCCATTTCATCAGATTATTTATTAGCTAACGAGTAAGTTTTCATTGTATATAAATTGTTTATTACCTAAAAGTTATATAGGTATTAGTTTGTTCAGTACTCACAACAGATGGCCAGAGACTTGTTTTTGTAGTCATCCATTCATTTCAAATGTAATGTTCCTATTGATGTTAGCAGTATTAATTGATGGCCAATTGAAAATCATCTGTCAGGTGACATAGCTACCATCTGTAAATAAAGCTATTATTATTATTAAAGCAACGCACTATTTCGAGTGCCCGTTTTTATCGTTGCTCATTTACAGAATGAGTTTCTGTTATTTCATTTTGATGTTGGTAAAATTAAAAGTTTATGTTTTGTCTGATAGGCAAGTAACGGTTGATTTTTATTGCACATTTGCCTTTGTTAAAGATATAAGAACGTAATGTGGCTACTTTTCGGTACAAATTAGTATTCTTGGCTGAAAATCAATTACCTTCAACACAGTCGCCAACTTGGCCCCAAATAAGACACAGAGGCAAACTCATGTGTAACTTTTCAAAGGAATATGAAATGTCACATTGTCAAAAAGCGTAGTTACAAATGTCAACCTGTTGTTAAGAACTTCAACGCATAGCTGAATTCAGGTGGGGGTGTTGGCGATATTTTTCCGTCCAGCATTCACCAGCTGCCCGTTGCGCGTGGCCCTATTCACGTGACTTTGCAGCGCGTCCATGAAGAACCCAGAAGTTTTGTGCACAGTGAATGGCGCGTTCGAACGCGCGTCCGATCTAGTTTATTTTAAGTTCTATATACATGTACATCTATGGTGTGACCGTGTATACTTTGCATAGCGGTCTGTTTAGGCCTAGCCCTATAACCATTCTTTAGAGCACATTAAATGTTATTCAATCGAGTCTAGGTATAGGCTTTTATACTGGCTAGTAAAATCACAGTGCTTCAGACTACCTTCCTCATCTGCAAATATTAAGTAATATTTTGATTATGCTTACCTATAATCGAAAATCAGCTGCGCATGTACATGTACGTTGAGCGGCGATACAATGACGGCTAGAAAATGGCGTCGGTGCAGTGTACAAAAATACTTTGTCAAAGTTCGGAGTATTAGTCCGTCAATGTAATTAGTCTTTCACTGATTTTAAATTGTCCAGCAATGAATATGATTGGTATTGCATGGATTAGATTTGTCATGCATAATTATTCATGCCCCGAAACGTCGTCTGACTAATCACTACTAATTCTGTTCCCGGTATTTGACGACTTTTTCATTGACTAAATAAAGTTTTCAGTGTAGTGATAGATTCGATAGAATTACAATTTACACTTCATTTCTTTCGTTTAATTTTTAAATTATACCGGCCCCTAAGAAGCGGCCGGCTGCAGCCTAGGGATGCACACGGTAAATAGGCCTAAACCCATCCGCCGAGCTCATGAATAAAAGTTATACATGTACCCTCAAACTAAGACTTAAAGAGCGTTCTGAGAGCCATAAAATTGGGGAATTGAAGAGATGTGGCAATGAACTAGCTCTGGCCCGGACTTGGGGATTCAAGTTCCAATTCTGATCATTTTGGATGAAATTGAGTTCGAAAGTAGCGCTATATTGCGATGTTGTGGAGGGATCGTTTTTGAAGACCGCTTCTGCTTTGAGGAAAATAGGGGTCGTCTTCTTTGGGTGAGAATATATCTCGAAAAGTCAATGGTCAACCCAACACAAAAATGAAAAGAAAATTAAAGCTTACATGTTGATCATCATTTTCTGTGCAGCTTAAATAAATGTGAGAGTTTTGAGTATTTTTAAAAGAAATTTAAAGTATGAGCATTTATAGCACTGGTGTCTATGGGAATTTTAAACAGGGTTGCATCCCTCCCTCCATAGAGCTAGCTATAGGCGCGGCGCGCACGGTGTCGAGTGTGCAAACCATAGAGCTACATGTATATTAATAGCTCTATGGTTGCAGACCAGTAAATCGGTCCGAAATTGCCTACGCCGGTGTGGCAGGTAATTCTGTCCCCCCTGGTAAATGTGTCCCCCCGGACAGATTTAACGGGTCTTGACCCGGTAAATCTGTCCGGGGGGACACTTTTACCTAGGTAAACCTGTCCCCCTCTAGGTAAATCTGTCCCCATGCACGACGTTAAATGTGTCCCCCTGGTAAATGTGTCCCCGTGCAACGTCACAAGTCTAGCACCCAGACTGTATATTAGTAAAGTTATTAACTGATTTTGCGCGGCGCCTTGCTAAATTCGGGAATGGTGCTTACGTCAAAGCACAACTCCCGTTTTGATGACGACTTCGGGAGCGAGCGATTTGCATGGTGGGCGTGCGCGCGAGTGTACCGCACCTACGGAGGGCGTGCCTTTTCTGCTTTCTTGCAGAAACATAGATCGGTTGATTAACATCTAAACGTTAATTTCATTTTGATAATCATTGATGAAGGGTGGAAAAATCTAAAAATGTATACCCTGTGCGCTGAATTCATTATAATAACATCAATATAACAACTTATGCGTGCAAAACTAGGGGGGACAGAATTACCTGGAGGGGACAGAATTACCTGGAGGGGGACAGAATTAACGGGACAGGGGGGACACTTTTACCTAGGTAATTGTGTCCCCCGGACACTTTTACCGGGGGACAGAATTATCGTCCACACCGGCCAAATCAGTATTTGAGCATACTGTGTCATGAACTGGAGGGTTTGTAAAAAATATGCGTGGAAGCCGTGCACAGGACTGTGAGCTTGTAGTTCCGTTCAATTTGGATGAAATTGGGGTCCTAAAAAGCGCTCTATTTTGCAATGGAGTGTAGGCATCGTTTTTCAAAATGGCGATGGGCTTCAGGACTTTTTTAAGGGGTGATCATCTTCGGATGGAAATTTCTCCTAAAAGTCATCAGTTGACCCCCCGTAAAGAAAATGAAAGATGATGAAATAAGCTTTAATTTAATGTGTAACTCGAACACCTTGGAGAGTTGTGAGTATTTTCCCCGAATTTCTGAAGTGGGAGCATTTATCATTGGGGTCAATGGAAGTTTATTTACTGGTCTGGAACCCTATGGTGCAAACCCATGGCTGCGTTAAAAAAAAATCGAGAGGGCGCTAACAGTGATGTGGATATGTCAAAGTTCAGTCACGTTGTGCGCAGTGCATGCTTGCTTTGCGTTTGCACTTACTTGCAGCGGTCTGCAACTTTAGTGGGGGAATGGAGGGGGACAAGAAATTCCTCTTCGGTGCCACAGTTGCCACCGGATTTGAGCGAACTGCACTTGACGAATGTACCGAGAAGCTTGGGCATGAGATAAATGCCGCTGTCGATCGAGGAAGAGTGTTCTTTGAAATTCACCGGAACCAATTAAGAAAGGCAGGTGATGGGTTAGCTCTAGCTGGAGTTACCCAGCCCTTAGCCCAGGTTGGACGAAGTCTTCATTGCAATACGACTACGTAACGTAGGGAGGAAAGGGAGTCCACCAGGGCTACCCAGCCCTGAGTTTTATCATTGGGTTGTCATCTAGGGCTGGAGCGTATTTTTTCTCGTAACGTGTAGTATATTCAAAAATTTTGGAAAATGTTCAATTTTGTCCCCGTTACACACTAATTGCAACTGCAACTCACCCCAAACTTGCCTGGAATAACCATTACACAGGTCCTTGAAGAAAAAAACGATCCACGATGAAGATTCAGCCTACAATTGCAGTGAAAACAGGAGGAATAACAGCTAACTTGACAACCTTGCTGGATTGGCCAGGACTGCTATTGGTTTGTGCACACAAAAAAAATTGTGTACAATGAATGGCGGCGGTCGATTACCATCCACGTACAGCTCGCTGGTACTACGCGTTTTTGCAGTCGGTGCATGACGTGACGCGGAAGCGTAATACCCGATGACTGTTTCATGCATTAAGAAGAGGTTCACTCGCATCACAGTGCGGTACTGGAACGGCAACCGTCGAGTTGGCCGGCTATCGTGCATTCATAGTGCAGTGTTATTTACACGACGGTTGCCGTTCCAGTACCGCACTGTGATGCGAGTGAACCTCATCTTAATGCATGAAACAGTCATTGGGTATTACGCTTCCGCGTCACGTCATGCACCGACCGCAAAAACGCGTAGTACCAGCGAGCTGTACGTGGATGGTAATCGACCGCCGCCATTCATTGTACACAATTTTTTTTGTGCACAAACCAATAGCAGTCCTGGCCAATCCAGCAAGGTTGTCAAGTTAGCGGTTAGGCCCTATTCCTCCTGTTTTCACTGCAATTGTAGGCTGAATCTTCATCGTGGATCGTTTTTTACTTCAAGGACCTGTGTAATGGTTATTCCAGGCAAGTTTGGGGCGAGTTGCAGTTGCAATTAGTGTGTAACGGGGACAAAATTTAACATTTTCCAAAAATTTTTGAATATACTACACGTTACGAGAAAAATACGCTCCAGCCCTAGATGACAACCCAATGTTAAAACTCAGGGCTGGGTAACTCCAGCTAGGTTAGCTCTACTGAGTGGAGCGTTGAATTACGGGTACCCCTCCATTACGGGTACCCCTCCGTATGGAGGGGTACCCGTAATTCAACGCTCCACTCAGTAGAGCTAGTGATGGGTGAACGAAACTTGTGTTTCACTGTCAAGCATGTCAAGTGTCATATGACTGTTTGTTCTTTTTTTCTATCGGCACTTAGGCCTACACTTACACTTACGGTTTAATGGGTAAGTTAATTAGGCATAGCCTTTGTGACCCCATATCCTATCTTTTATTGCTCCCAGTGACAATCCAGTCTTTTCTTGAATGCTGCTACAGTTTTGGCATCTACTATAGCTGGAGTTACCCAGCCCTGAGTTTTATCATTGGGTTGTCTATTACTGGCTGGAGCGAATTTTTCTCGTAACTTGTAGTATAGGCAAATTTTTTTGGAAAATGTTCAATTTTGTCCCCGTTACACACTAATTGCAACTGCAACTCATCCCAAACTTGCCTGGAATAACCATTACACAGGTCCTTGAAGTAAAAAACGATCCACGATGGAGATTCAGCCTACAATTGCAGTGAAAACAGGAGGAATAACCGCTAACTTGACAACCTTGCTGGATTGGCCAGGACCGCAATTGGTTTGTGCACAAAAAAAATTGTGTACAATGAATGGCGGTCGATTAACAGGCACAGAGAGCGATCGCTGTCAACTACTCGTTTTTGCCGGCTGCGCTGGCTGTTGGCGCATGACGTCACGCGGAAGCGTAACACCCGATGACTGTTTCATGCACTAATATAAGGTTTACCACTCGCATCACAGCTTTGGTACTTCCAGTACCGCACTGTGATGCAAGTGAACCTCTTCTTAATGCATGAAACAGTCATCGGGTATTACGCTTCCGCGTCACGTCATGCACCGACCGCAAAAACGCGTAGTACCAGCGAGCTGTATGTGGATGGTAATCGACCGCCGCCATTCATTGTACACAATTTTTTTTTGTGCACAAACCAATAGCAGTCCTGGCCAATCCAGCAAGGTTGTCAAGTTAGCTGTTATTCCTCCTGTTTTCACTGCAATTGTAGGCTGAATCTTCATCATGGATCATTTTTTACTTCAAGGACCTGTGTAATGGTTATTCCAGGCAAGTTTGGGGTGAGTTGCAGTTGCAATTAGTGTGTAACGGGAACAAAATTGAACATTTTCCAAAAACTTTTGCCTATACTACAAGTTACGAGAAAAATTCGTTCCAGCCCTAATAGACAACCCAATGATAAAACTCAGGGCTGGGTAACTCCAGCTACATCTACTACTGCTTGTGGAAGGGAATTCCAGATGTTTATCACTCTATGGGTGAAGAAGTTCTTCCTACATATGTACATCCAATGTTTTTCTTCGGGGATGGCTTGAAGAGTTTAAGAGAGTGACCTCTTGTCCTGGTTTAGTCCGAAAATTTGGGACTCTCAATACTGTGTATCAGAGTCCCAAAACTTAAGGTATCCATATCGTGCAAAAGTTTGTGCTGCATAATAAAACCGTGTGAATCAAATTTGCAAGCTTCTTACTCAATACATTTTCTTCAATAATCCCCGAAACTTTTGCCTCGCAAAGTTGCTGTTGTGAGCATTGCATCACCAAAAATTCAGCTTTTAATTCTAATTTTAAAGAGAGGTATCGAAATCCAAACGTGAGACATCACATTGATGTGTACTGCAATGCATTGTGCAAAAAGACTCCTCAGCTATAACATTTTCATCGTGTAGATAAAACAGTGCCCTCTTGTTGATCTGAGTGAATGCAAAATGTTTCATTTTTTAACAGAGGGCGCTATGTTCATTTGGCCATCGATTAAAAAACAAGTAAGCTGCAAGGCTCTTCCTGCACCTACCCAGAATACCTTGGGAATCAGACATACATTTCTAGAGCATGGAGAATGACGTGGATGGTTTTTGAACTGCCAAAAACTTGCCTTAAAGTTGGATTTAAGGTCTCAAATGTTGCAGGTGACATGCTTGCAACTATATCATTTTGATGTTTGTGTTGTGTGGGCATTAATTAGCCAAATGGTGAGTAAAAAAACGTCAGTTGTAATTTTGCACGTTTTTATGCACTCACGGTCCCAGTCTGGTCCTGGTTCTGTCAGCTGTTTTGAAGAATCTGCTGCTGTCTACTTTATCAAGGCCTTTCAATATCTTGAAACTCTCTATAGTATAGGTCTCCTCTTTCTCTTCTTTTCTCAAGGGAATACAGGTCTAGAGCTTGCAGTCTTTCTGCATATGAAAGCTCCCTTAGGGCTGGGACCAAGTTGATGGCCCTCCTTTGAACTTTTTCCAAGATATGTTATCTTTTTTCCAGCCATGGCCACCGTGATTGGACACAGTATATGACCTTTTCAACCTAAAGCAGACTTGATGACACCTTTTTTTGTAATTTTTGAACAGTTTCTTGGGGTAGAAATTAGGATTTTCCTGCGCGGTTTACAGCTGGTGCCGCGCGATTCAGCGCCTTGCAATTCACGGTACATCACGCGGTGATCGCCATCTTTATTTTCGTGTTGCGTTTTGTCGTTTTCATCGTCATTTTACTTCCAAACTTCCCTCAAAAATTCAAAACCCTGCCCTTTATGTATGACATACCTGCATGTTCTTAATGTCGCCAACTAGTAGTGGGTCAAATAATTGAAAAGTGGATTTTGAACCATGTTGTTCCCATATAGTATAGGAACTGGGTCCGTAGTTTCACGATCGCCCAAAATATAGGCTAGCTGGAGTAACCTCAGCCCTACATTTTATCATGGTGTTGTTGCGCCATGGTTGTACTACTATTAGGCTGGAGGTAGACTCGTGAACATGGCTATATACAAATGTACATAGCCACGGTCCACAGTTGCGTAGAAACGAGATTGAACAGGTACCCAGACCCGGATGGCTCCTACCAATTCGCACGTGCATGACTCGGAGTACCAGCGTACCGTGCCTGACCTCAGAAAATCAAAAGTTCAGCTCATACATTTGTTGTCGTGTCGAGGTCGTTTTTACCCCTCAAATTTCTTGGCAATGCAGGATCCAATTTTTTTCACTAGCCAGCCGGGCTTCTAAAACAGACTCTTAACTAGCCCACTGGTATTTTCACTAGCCCGCATGTTTTTTTTGGTTTTTTTTATAGAGTGTCTCATAAACAAAAGTTGGCATACATGTAAAACGTGTATAGAGCAAGTGAAAGTTGATCCATGGTGGCACGCTTCAGGGCCCCTCGAAAATGAAAATTAACGTGTAAAAGTCAGAGTTTTTAAAAATTAATTTTGGTACACTGATTTCTTAAGAAAATCACCCTTGGACTTTTATGGAAACTGAAAAATTACATGATGTGAAAGAGACTACTTGCCAAAATAGACCGCTCACTTAGCTTCCTAAAGCATGAAAATTTATGAAATAATTTTATGGCGGTCATTGGGTAAAAACTTAAACTTGAGACTAAAATGTCTTTTGGGACGGGGCCGTATCATAAGTCTGACGCCTCATAGGTCCGACGCCTCATAAGTCCGAAATTTCGGACCTATGAGGCGTCGGACTTATGAGGCATACCGGTACAATTTATTTATTCTGCCTCATAAGTCCGACGCCTCATAAGTCTGACTCCTCATAAGTCCGACAACGGAAAAACGAGGCGTTTAATTTGTCGGACTTACATGTACGAGGCGTCAGAGCTATGGGGCGTCGGACCTATGAGGCGTCGGACTTATGAGGCGTCGGACCTACGAGGCGTCGGACTTATGGGCCTTTATTTGGTTAGGGGATACGATTTTGTCGGACTTATGAGGCGTCGGACCTACGAGGCGTCGGACTTATGAGCGGACCCCTTTGGGACGGGTAAAGATAAAGGTAATTTTTTTTTAATGAACTTGAAGGATTCAAGGTCATTAACAAACAAATCTAAACTGACCGTTGATAAGAACTGTTTTAAAACGTGACCCAAACGAGCCTGAATAAATCTAAAATCCAATCAGATGTAGATGGGTATATATCTTCGCGTCGTTATCATTTTCGTTCTCACACAAGTACCCGATGTGAAAACAGACGTGGTTCACCAAGGAGACCTTGGAGCGAAAATAGGTCGGGGCCTTAGTAGATTTCGTTTCCAACTGATTTCTCGTCTATTCTGAGGCAATCATGTCAGTGTTTTTCAATAAACAGATCTAATAATTTAACCCTAAAACAGTTCATAAATTATACACAAAATTGATACAGGTTTGCTTTCTAACTTTCATGAATTATTTCTTCCTGTCCTTTCATCATTGCTGTATCCCAATAATGTTTGACTCGCCAGCCGGGCTACTTAAGGAATAGTTTGACTAGCCCGCCGCTGTTTTGACTAGCATTTGGCTAGCGGGCTACCGCTAATTTCGAACCCTGCAACCTGTACAAAAAATGCTACTCACCGTGGGTGTGATGTTAAATATGCAAAAATCGACCGTATGGTTTCGTAGTTATTTTAAAAATGGTAAGGCGTATACTTTTTAGGACATATATCGTTGATAAATACTTATTGTTTGTCCATTTTTGATGTTTTTGTTTCAGGCATTGGATCTCCGGACCATCGATCATCTCTTCGTGGTTGTTAAACGGTTGAAGGGACTCAACCTGTCTCAGGAAAGAGTAATATTGTGTAGTTGTCAGTAGTGCAGGAAGTTAGTAGTAATACGAGTTATGAACTCAAAAATTGTAATAAACAAAAATTGCCAAAATACGTACTGGATTGAGTGCAGTATCCCGACATCAATTTTCACAATTTTTAATCCTAACTCCCTAGGCCTTTTTGCTAGGATGTAGCCTCAATCCTGCAAAATCCTCCAATTTGCCTCATGGAAAAATAGCATATAGCCTCAATCCTGAAAATTCCTCCGTTGTTTCTTGAATATGGTCCATGGAGGGGTGACCACTGCCTGAATCCTGCAAAATCCTCTGGCTATGACTGTCAATAGGCTGAGGCAGAGGTAGTGACATCCTGGAGCAGTGCGGAGGATGTCAAGTATAATCAAGGACTAAATTCATGCATGGCTGAGCATAAACAACACAAGGTTCGGCCCAAGACCTTGACACAGTGCGTACTCCGAAATCAGCAACGCACTTTGGCCATGTAACCTCAATCCTGCAAATTCCTCCAATTTGCAAAAAGGATTTTGGAGGATTCAGGGCGGTTAGGGTTAATCAAGGTGAATACAGTACAACTTTTAGAAAATAACTTGCGTGCAGTAGACTTTTAACACAATTTAGGACAAAGAGTGGCATCAGGATACTTTATTTATATGGTATTGGGTCTTCCGATACTTTTTCTGTTTCAGTGCAGCAAAACATGAACATTCTAATACATGTACACATGTGAACTACTCTAAAAATGTGGGACTCTCAATACCATGTATGGAAGTCCTGAAACTTAAGATAATGAAAACATGCAACATGAGACTGGCACATGAAACAACTAGCCCAGGTTAGACGAAGTCTTCATTGCAATCCCTCCGTAACGTAGGGAGGAAAGGGAGTCCACCAGGGCTAATGAAACAACCAGCACAACACCGCTTTAGCACTGCATCAGTCAAGTGTGTCAAAAGAACAATCTGGTACCTAGTCTCTATTTCACATTCTCTCCATTGTCATGCCACCAGACTACTGAATGGTCAATCTTTTCAAAAAGTTGGACATGTACAAAATGTACATGTACCAGTCTAGTCTTAGGCTACATAGTGAAATCACTTGGCTTCACATGTCAAAGAAGAGTCTCCTATAAATATTGAATTAAGACTTCCTTGGCTGGTATAATACTGAGGACCTTGTCTTTGCCTCGTGAAAAAAATTGAGAATATTGTCTGCTAAACGATGAGTTAAGTTGGCGTGGTTTTGTTTTGCATGTTTTCTTTCGGCCTACTAAAGGTCCCAGTTTGCATGTGTACTTTGAATTAAGACCATTAACTTGGCTTGTGAAAAACTTATCAGGACCTCATTTTTGTGTGACATCTGGAAACATTGGAGAATTGTGTCAGCTAGAGAGAATATAAATTTAGCCTGATTTTTCTCCACTTTTTTTTCTGCATCGAGGAATCTCCATCTAGTTTTATCTTCAGACCTACTTGATTGCAGGTTTTGCACGGTGACATTTAATTTCACGCCCACCCCGTCTCTTTCTCGTACAGGATGAAGCTCTGCAGGAACTCTGCCGTCACTTGAGCCACTCAGACTGGGTGCACGCTGTGGACGCATGGACGCTTGTCAGGGGAGTTGATTTCATCCCCAGCCTGCTGGAACATACCGTTCCCTCACCAACCCCAACGGAACGCCTCTTGGACAATCTTAGCATTGCCGACACGGAGACAAATCGTTCACAAAAACCCTCTGGTGAAGATTTTGTGACCGGAAACAGTCCGTCGAAAGAAACTCCCCCCAGGAGCAATCTGGAAACTTCCCATCACCAACCGGTCACGGATACACGACCTCGTAATTATCTGCCCACGTTCAGAGTGACCGGGCACCGAGTCAGCGACAGTCACCTGTTCTCCTCGCGAGAGGCCGCGGGGAAACTAGGAGAGTATCTCATCCAGCGCTACGGCTGGCCCGTCAAGATGAAGGAGTTTGAGATGGAGGTGCTGGTGAACGTCAACAACAATGACGCGACGATCGGAATCAACCTGACGGCGGAGAGTATGCATAAAAGGAACATCGTGCACTTTGGTCCAACAACGTTGCGCTCCACGCTAGCCCATTGCATGTTGAGGTATTGTAGGTCTACACATTAGGGGTGTGTATTTATGGGTAGTACGGGTATTCAGCTACCTGATTGAAAAAAACACGGGTACCCAGGTACCTGTTAAAGAAATCCAACTCCAAAAATTTAAATCGTGTAACTTGCTGTACGGATTGTTCATGAAGGTCCGCAGGTAATACTTCCACAAGGGTGCGTCATTACAACAATATACAAGTGTGTACAGTGACCTCATTATAATTATGAAGTTTTACAGTGTAAATTTGCATTTTTTGCATGCGTCATGAACGTGAATCTGTTTTGTTTTTCCATGTAGCCCTGTTTTCATTTTGAAAAGTCTGCACAAATGGCATTCAAAACCTTTCTTTTTCATTGTCTGAGAAGTTACCAAGTAATATGTAAAGTTGGTTATGGGTGCCCGATCCCATAATCTGAAACCGGTTCTTGACACCAGTGGTCGGCTACTCGGGTACCCAGTTGCGATGCACACCCCTACTGCATATTTACTAGAATGAGATCATACACTCAACCAAAAAAGAAAGTCCCCCCCCCCCTCAATACTTTTTTGTCTAACTCAAAAACTACTGGGTATATGTTGCTCAAACTGCGACAGAAACTCCTATAGCAATCAAGCCATGCTCTTTGTTTGGCCCAAAACATTGATAATGTGTACAAAATTATGCAATTTATGACAAATGGTACCGAAAAAAGTTGCACTTTTGTATGAGTGCAAGGTGAGTTTGAACCACAACTTGCACGTATACAAAAGTGCAACTGTTTTTGGTATCGTTTGTCATAAATTCTAACACATTATCACAGTTATGGGCCAAATAGAGAGTATGACTGGATTGCTAAGGAATTTCTGTACTGATTAGTCGTCATTGGAGCGATAGGTGCTCATAATGAAGGGGGGGGGGGGGACTTTCTGTTTTGGTTGAGTGTACATGTATGTATGTTTGTTGGGTATGGCGGTTGGGTGTAAAAAATCTGACACCTGGGGGCGCTGCTCAATGGATACCAGCTGAGCAAAATTTGGCACTAGGTGGCGCTGTTTGTTCACATTCTGGAACTGCAATATTTGCCACTTGGGGGTGGGATTTGAGGGTGGACATCACCTGATACCTGGGGGCGCTGTTCAATGCTGATGGGAATGAATATTCCTCTGGCATTAGAAGGCACTGTTTGTTAGTATTCTGCAATTGCAATTTGATTCCCCCCCCCCCCCCCCCCCCCCCCCCCCGCCAATGCATAGTCTGAGCATCAGAAATGTGTTTCATTACCTAACCGCCCTGAATCCTCCAAAATCCTTTTTGCAAATTGGAGGAATTTGCAGGATTGAGGTTACATGGCCAAAGTGCGTTGCTGATTTCGGAGTACGCACTGTGTCAAGGTCTTGGGCCGGACCTTGTGTTGTTTATGCTCAGCCGTGCATAAATTTAGTCCTTGATTATACTTGCATCCTCCGCACTGCTACAGGATGTCACTGCCTTTGCCTCAGCCTATTGACAGACATAGCCGGAGGATTTTGCAGGATTCAGGCAGTGGTCACCTCTCCACGGACCATATTCAAGAAGTAATGGAGGAATTTGCAGGATTGAGGCTATATGCTATTTTTCCATGAGGCCAATTGGAGGATTTTGCAGGATTGAGGCTACATCCTAGCAAAAAGGCCTAGGGAGTTAGGGTTTTAATAAGTGAGCGCATGGAACTCCCAATCTTTTAACCATATTGGCCAACTGAATTGCAGATACATGTAATTAGAAAAAAGGTCATAGTTCTCTTCTCATTTATATCTAGTATCTTCATAATTTCAACTTGGTGTGAAATGTTTCTGTTGTTAGGTTAGGTGAGCCACAACCGGGAGATGTCATCTGTGATCCTATGTGCGGCGGGGGCTCCATACCGATAGAGGTATTACATGGATCTTAACACCTTCAAAGGTTTTAGAGTATTCGGGAACCATGGAAGATGATCTTGAACTCATTCACTATGGAATTATAAAACAAAATCAACAACATGTGCATTTAATGTATCAGCCAACGTTTGGGCTTGCTGTCTCAAGTAGGTGCCATTCTGAGCCAGAAATTGGCAAATCTGGGATAAGGGAGACGTAGCTGTGACTATTGGCATTGTTTTCACTGACCACCGGCATTGTAATAGGGAAGTGGTGGAGGTAGGACATTCCGCTTGAGATTTATCTTGCACGATGGAACTTTGCGAGAGGAGATACTAATTTCAATGTTTGGTTTTGCCCTTTATACCGACCTAGTTTTATGAGCACCATATTATCAATGATTTCTGAGACTTCATGAGAATAAAAAAAGCTTGAGAATTCTTTTTTAAAACATAAAAAACAAAATCTTGCAAAATACCTGAGCATATGGTGCTCATAAAATAAATTTTCCTGTTTTAAATCTCTTTTGCTTTTTGAATCTCAGGAGGTTGGAAAACGGGTAAAAATTGTGGCTGTGAAACAACCCAGAGTACTCTGTTAACAATTATGTGGTCAACCCCCCCCCCCCCCCCCCCCCCCCCCCGCACCACCACCATTAAATTGGTCTATTGACTGAGAACAATTTAAAACATTTTGAGAAGCTCATTCAATGTTGTTTCTTCTAAATTCCCGACAGGCTGTGCAGAACTGGCCATGTTTCGTCCTGGGTGGTGACAATCACGACATAGCTTGTCAACATGCAGGAGGCAATGTCACAGCTGTGAATGAGAAAAGACGATCAAATGGAAGGTATTGTAATGGGATAGACCAGTGTTGTTGTAGAGTCCGTCACAAGTCCGTCACAAGTCCATCACAAGTCCATCACAAGTCCATCACAAGTCCATCACAAGTCCATCTCAAGTCAATCACAAGTCCATCACAAGTCAATCACAAGTCCATCACAAGTCCATCACAAGTCCATCACAAGTCCATCACAAGTCCCCCACAAGTCCATCACAAGTCTATCACAAGTCCATCTCAAGTCCATCACAAGTCCTTCACAAGTCCATCACAAGTCCATCACAAGTCCATCCCAAGTCGATCACAAGACCATCACAAGTCCATCACAAGTCCATCACAAGTCCATCCCAAGTCCATCACAAGTCCTTCACAAGTCCTTCACAAGTCCACCACAAGTCTATCACAAGTCCATCACAAGTCCATCACAAGTCCTTCACAAGTCCATCACAAGTCCATCACAAGTCCATCCCAAGTCGATCACAAGACCATCACAAGTCCATCACAAGTCCATCACAAGTCCATCACAAGTCCATCACAAGTCCTTCACAAGTCCTTCACAAGTCCACCACAAGTCTATCACAAGTCCATCACAAGTCCATCACAAGTCCTTCACAAGTCCATCACAAGTCCATCACAAGTCCATCACAAGTCCATCACAAGTCCTTCACAAGTCTATCACAAGTCCATCACAAGTCCATCACAAGTCCATCACAAGTCCATCACAAGTCCATCACAAGTCCATCACAACTCCACCACAAGTCCTTCACTAGTCCTTCACAAGTCCATCACAAGTCCATTACAAGTCATACATTCATACTAGTTGGACTAACTATTTTTTTGTTTGCATCAACATACCCAACATTCAAGGCTTTTCCCTGATGACCACAAAAAGTTACATGTTCCCTCATTTGATCATGGCATGCATTGGAAATATGGTTACTCGCATTACACAAAAAAGAGATTGTAAAGCTTGTAGTTCTGAAGATTTCATAAATTTTCCACATTTCAACCATGTCCACTTTTGCTTGAAATTGGTTTTTGGGTTTGTCTTTCTTTTTAGGCCTGATGTTTCAATAGATGTAGTTCAGTGGGATGTTACCAGCCTACCGTTACGTAGTGACTCCATAGACCTCCTTGTATCTGACATGGTGAGGATATACCTTATTATCATCTGCTGATTTCGTTTTATTTCCACAAACAACTCTTTGAATTGTAAAATGTGACCTGTTCTGTCAAAAGCAGACGCTTGTGGGCAGAGGTTGAAATTGAGATAGGGCCAAAAAACGCTGTGGGGTGATTTCTTTTGATTTTCTAATTTTTGCATATTTGTAATCCTGAACATGTCTAAAATATACTATAAAAGTTTTAAACCCTAATTTGAACTCTAAATATAGTATTTTTGATGATTTGTTAAGTTTTATCAGTTAAAGAAATGACTGTTTTGTGACGTTCGTGGCCATTTTCTCCGTTTTCTACTTTTCGACACAATGAACTTCAAAATAGCATAACTCTGCCCAGGAATGACTGGTTTCAAAAATTAAACCACCTATTAAAAGCAAAAAGAACATATTTTTTCACAATATGCAAAAATCTCATTTTTGACCTTATGCCCAGAAGAGTCTGATTTTGACAGAACAGGTCACAAATAGACTGGCACCTTTAATGAGAGTACTGTATGGATTCAGAATTAGTGTTTTGGTCATGAATTGAATACTAGGCATCTCAGGAACAAGACACGTATGGCCACAATACAATATGTCTGCTCCAACCAAACCTTGCTCTAGTGATTTGTATAAGGACCCTTCTGCATTCAACAATAATTGACCACGTAGAACAGAAAGATTTTTTTAATGGATCAGATCAATCAAGTCCAAAACAAAATAAATGTCGTTTCAATCAGTTGGGTATTTTTTCGATTCGGTAGGTTATTATAAGCGAATGGGAGTATACAGGGTGAGTCCAAAAGAAAGTGACTGAAAGAGAGAAAAAATTATTTGAAAAAATATGTGGCTGTCTCCATTTAATAAAAATAACATAAGGATGAAGTACATGTTACTCACAAGTATGTCTATTTGATTACAAATATCACAGCATTCATTTTTGTCATTTTTTAATGTTTTTTAAGGGAAAATCATTAATCAAGGTCACTTTCTTTTTGACTCACCCTGTGCACAAAATAAGTTTCAAAGTTCACTTCAAGAAAGATGGTGGTTTAATAAACGACAGACATGAATTGTGCATCCCACCACAAGCCCCACCTTAAAAAAGCCAGGAAAAGTAATATTTACTGTGAAGACTTTTTTGCAGTTGAAACACAGATTAGAGCTTTGACTGTATTAAAACATAAAATACTTCGCCTTTTGCTACTTAAGTTTTCACTTTCTTAGAGTTTAGGCACTCTCCTGAAGATGGTCAGAGCATACTGACCGGAACGTTGAGTTTATACCTCTGGTTCTTTTCAGAACCATTCTCTTAGTTGAGAAATTATTCGCACATGGTGTTTCCGCAAACCTTTCATTATTCATTATTTAAAACATAAAATGTCTCATTTTTTCCCTTGCAAAACCTGTGGTGCTGGGTCTTGAATCTACCAGCCATTTGGGAAAAGGTAAGAATAATTGACATGTTCACTGCAGAACAGAAATTTTGGGGTTAAGCACTTTAGGATGGACTTTATCCTTTGCTTGGATGACCTATCACAAAGAGACCTCCTCACTTGAAATAAGTTCTCAGCCACTTTTAATCACAGATTACCGATTACCAAATTGATCTCCGTTGATATATAAATCACAATTTAGAAAAAAGTACTGGCTAACCAACACTCTTTTTTTTTTTTAAATTTCTTTCTGGTAATGAAACCAAGGATTCCTCAAAAGTGCCCTAGGCACTGTAGCTCGAAAGCCTGACGAAATCTGTAGAGAGAAGACAGTGAGAAGAAATTACAGTTTTAGAGGTGGGAGGAAAACCCCAGAGGAATACTCTGGGGGGAAATCCACGGAATCAGGTAGGGACTGAAAATCCATTCCACATGTCGTCACCAACACCACAAAGTGAAACTCCACGCGTTCAACCATATTTAACACGTTATTTTTGTTTTCACGAAGTAACACTCAAGTTCCATTTACCATTGTAATGCATGGCGTGCACTCTACTCAAATGCGAGCAAAAACGTTTTCACGAAGTAACACTCTTCTTGTTTGAGCGCGCGCATGCTGACCTCCGTTTCCACGAAGTAACACTAATCTAGTGTTGTAATACATTGAAGCGTACTACTTCGTGAAAACAGAAATTTATAGTTTCGCAGCTGTTTTGGTTTCACGAACTAGCACTCATCTTTTTTCTCCTATTTCTTGTTGATTTGATATACAAACAGGTGAAAAACAGCAAATTTCATATATACATCAAGTGTCCACAACGAGAAACCCAACTGAAAATACTCATCAGTTTTGATGCAAAATGTTGTTCTAGAAGGCGTTCAACTGAAGATGCTGTTTTCTCCAATTGCTAGTTTTTTACTGGTATGTACGTGAGTGTTACTTCGTGGTGTCGGTGACGATGTGGTCAGGGCAGGAATCGAACCCGGGCCACAGCGGTGGAAGGCGAGGAAAGAAACCACTGCGCCAGCCTGATTCTCTTGAATAAACCACTAGTCAACCAGTGGTCCTCAATAACACTCACCTTGTGCTGAAGCAGAAAAATCAGTCCACTTAAGATGATGACGATTTGGAATGTAGAAGCATGCATGCTGCACTCTCAATACTTTGTTCATCTGAGATTTTGAATAACTTTCAACAGGATGGGGAGTCGGCTGAATAACTGGGAGCTGTACCGCCGTGGGCTTGTGGAGATGGGCAGGGTGTGTCGGCAGGGTACCGGCAAAGCAGTGCTACTCACGCAAGACAAGAAATGCATGGCAAAGGTGAGATCATAGTACGATGCCGTCCGGTTTGTAACCCAATAGCGCCTGTACTACATTGTATTACATTGTATGGGCTCCGTGCACAAGTACCCCCTCAACGGTAAGAAAGAGAGAGTTGGGGAGACCACTGGGAGAGACATTCAAACGCATTGCTGACGACGCCTGATGCTCAGATGACGACACTATGACTTTTGCGCATTCAAATTAAACAGTCGTGCGTGCTTTGTGCTATACACACACGAACCAGTACGTGCACGCAGTGTACCGTCCACGAGTCTCTCAAAGGAATCCGTAAAAGAATGAGTGCTCGGGCAGTTTTGGGTGGTTCAGGGAGTAATAGGCGGTTTGAGACGGTACCATAGAGCTATATTAAATTACTAGAGCGCTAACTCGCCATTCTGCGCGCGGAGACGCTTTGAAGCCGTCCTGGGCGCAGACATTTTGAATTCATGAGCTCGTCTGTAGAACATAATGAGATTAGATGGATTGGATTTTGAAAGTGTACTCTACATGCAACGCGCAAGTAGAACTCACGCAAACAACTGAAGCGCGTCATTGACGGTTAAAAAAGACGTGACGGCAAAAAGCATCTGCAGCGAATACGCGCACGCGTTGCGCTGTTCGCGTAGAACAAGATGACACGCTCATTTGCTGATCGTGCGTTTCGGTTTTGGGCGTATCGGCTTCGATAACGCGCCAGTATGGAATACAAACGCAGATATGCAAATAGCCGTACAAAAGCCGTACAAAATGTCTAGGTCTTCATAGGTTTGTGCACAAACATGGATGCGCCCAGCAGGCATTACTTTGTACACGAAGTTAGCGCTCTAGTAATTTAATATAGCTCTATGGACGGTACAGAGATGAATGGGTTAAACAAGAATAGGCTTGCCATGTTGAGCTAGACCTGAAAGTTTCAGGTTAGGACATTATACACTCAGTGACTCGGTCAGTGACTCAGTCAGTGACTCAGTCAGTTAGAGGACAGTAGACTGGCCCTTCAAATCCAGCAAATATATCCTCATCAAAAAAACCTTTTTTTTTTTTTTTTTTTTACATCTTGTTCAACCCTTTCAAAATATTGGATCCACAAAAATGATTTGGTATGGACTCTGTTGGAGCAGTAGGCAACACTGTGTGGCCTTCCTAAAAGTGTCAGAGTGGGAAATCTGTGAGATTTGTCTATTGCTCATTGTACATACCACCAATCTTTATCTGAATTGACACTAACCCGTATCGTCTTCGCTGAGGAAAGTATCTGAGCTTGGGCTCATGGCAGCAGTGGTGCCAACTTGTTCTTCAACCTCCCTCTCTTTTACAGCTTTGAGGGGTACTTTTGCACGGTGTACATACAGAGACGTAACTGTCATTTGATTTGCTTTTAATTTTTTTTCATTCGATACGTTCTTCTTCGACCTCAAGATTCTTCAGAAAGTGAGTTCGGTCTGGAAAAGGCAGCTGCAATTGACGATCAACATCGGCGGACTGTTTGCGTGTGTCTACGTGCTGAAGAGACGAGGGCAGGCCAAGCCGACTGTAGCCCAGGGCACCCATGACGGGAATGGACAGGAAGGGATGGAGTAAAGGGCACTCAGACGGAATAGACCAATCTATCAACCAATTCGCGCCGGAGGCGTATACACGCAAAAGTTTTGCGATGTCCTCAACAGATGACAGATAAACACGCAGGGAGCAAGGCTGGAAATATATGTCAGCGACCCGCTCACAGCAAGCAAGGCCGGAAATACGAGTGTGCTGCTTGAAGGTCATGGCTTCAACCCGCCTGGCTTGAGGTCGAGTGAAAAGTAATCCTGCGCCGCGTTCCGTTCTTGTTAAAATAATCCCGGCGAGAACTGGTTAAAGCGTCTGGCTTGAGGTCAAGTGAAAAGTAATCCTGCGCCTCGTTCCGTTCTTGTCAAAATAATCCTGGCGTGAACGGGTTAAAGCCCTGCCCAATGGTTTTTGGCCAATCACAGCCGTGACTAATGTCCGACATGTGTGCACAAAAGTCTGCTTATACAACGTACTACAGACATCCCAAGGACTGACAGACAAAGAGAGTAGGGATAACTCTTCAGATCATTGCGCAATTCTTTTGTGTGGTTAAAGGGAATGTACAACATTTGCTTCTGCTGTAATTTTCAGAAATGGATGGATTTGGGGGTTAGTATTTGTGATGCGATCAAGCTAAATGAGTTGTTTGTCGACAATTATGATTTTAAGATACAGCCCAAAATAGGTCAGCAGGGGTGGAAATTTCAAAATTGACTTTTTTGTAAAATCGGAAGGCTACATATGTCCTCTTTCATGTCAACTTTTTTTTTTCAGAGAACTAGAAACACTCATGATAACGTAGTTAAAATGTGACATTTTTGCTAAGGAGTTAATATTCACTAACCTGAAATAAAGCATGTTTATTGTTACTCCATAAACTCTTCAAGTCTGAATTGTTGATTTCTCTGTTTTCTTCTTGCTGATCTGCCTGTGTTCTAAGTCCCATAACTTCTAAACGGAAGGTCGTATTCACATGGGGTTTGCACCAAATATAAACTGAAAGATAGCTCTATTAAAAAAATGTTAAAAAAAACAACAAAATTTTGATAATGGCCGAAAAGCGACTCATAATAGCTTGATCGCATCACATTTTATAGCAAATATTGTAACACTGACTTGTTTGACGTTTTGGGTTCGTAGATGCTGGAAAAAACCAAGAAAAACAATCATGTTCTTGTAGTCTGGTTCCCTGACCCCTCTTAAGATGAAACGGAGCAATTTATAGAAGTAAGGGAATTGCAAGGTCAGCGAATCAGTCTAACTGGCTTGTACCCGTTCACATGTGTGTAATCGATTGCAAAGAAAATGCGGACTAACTAAATATGATAAATTGGGAGCAGTATTTGAAAAAAGCCAGTTTACCAGCGTTGGAAATTGATACACAAACACCAAGTTTTCTTGAAAATGTCAGCACACCAGGTGCCATGATTTTACAGGATGCTTTAGAATGTCATTCGCTAACAGTCCAATGACTTATTTTGCAATAATTTGGTAGTTTTAATTTTTCATGTTTGCAAATGTTGTATATTCCCTTTAAGCTCAGGGCAAGCAGGCGGATTTGGTCACGCTTTACTGCTCTCCACAGTGCTGTTTTTGTGCAGCGACTCTTGCGCGACACAGTTACTTTAACACTTCATATCCCTTCACCTGAAACTGACCTGCAGGGTTTGAAGGGTGCTACATATTGCTCTGAATATTGACTTCCCACAGAGGGTTATTAAAGGAAGATACAAGAAAGTTAAAGGTAAAGGGGGATGAACCTGTGTTCACAGGAACGGAGTGCCCATCTCTCATTCATTAGCGATTGGGCCAGACTCATATGCTGCTGTGGGGGGGATAGCCACACCTCCTCCACAGCGAATAATGCCGGTACCCATTTAACACCTGGGTGGAGAGGAGTAATTGAGGTAAAGCGCCTTACTCAAGGGCACAACACGCATGGCCACGGTGGGGCTCGAACCCACAACCTCTCGATCACGAATCCTGTGCTCCACCGCTAGACCACACGTGCCCACTTACAAAATGAAAATTTTATTGGGACCACAGCTCAAACATTATTGTCAAATTAAATGTTTTCCACAAAGATGCCACTATTTGCAGTAAATATTTCTTTTATTACATCAACACGCAATAGATATACATCAAGTAATTGTTATTCAATTCAAACCATATATATTAATCATTTTAATAATACTTGTTAATTTATAAATGGGGAAAAAAAAAACTCAAATAAAACCCAAAGCAGCTACGTAATGAAAAAGGAACTTGCATTTTGAATAATATACCCTGTACTTGAGTTGGTCATTAGACTGAACTGTTCTTGGCTTCCGTGTGTGTTGCATAAATAAATGAGTTAGTTATGAAGTACTGAAGTATTTAAAAATGTTGAACCAAAAGTTACTCTACATTGTACCGCAGTCAAAAAAATATGTAATGTCGTAAGAATTAGCAAAAAATAAAACTACAAAGTTACAACTATAACGTGACTGCCTAATATAACACATTACTGAAAACTTCATATGACCATAAGGATGTAGCCCTCAAATAATTGTGCTTGTAACGTCATTAAGTTTGGTTCAATCATTTCATGGTGTCTGATAAACATCTAACACTGGTGACGAAAATCCTGCTTTTTGGGGGGGGGGGGGGTCTAGGGCTGCGGTATCCACTGCACTGTGTCACTGGCAGAGCCTAAAGCTATGGCCCCATAGCCAAAATACTTGATTCCCATGTGGCTAAAGTTAGACATTATATGGACGTATTTGAAACCCTTATCTCGAGTGACTCGTGAACAGTGTTCTTGTACTTATGACAGCTACTTTTGGGGGTACTCGTACAATGGGAAATTTAGGCAACGGTGCTACCCCACTACTCGCCCTTTAGAAAAACAGTACCCCAGAAGTGAAATTCTAAAGAAAACGGATACAAGGACAACAATGCAAGTACCCCATAGTTGCCCGTTACAAATGCCAAGTGCGTGTGGAGTGCAGCTGGCAATGCATTGAAGATGGCAGCCTCCATGAAAATATATTTAATCCTGGAATGGGTACAAAAAAATGGCTAAGACAAGCCCACTCATTAATCACGTACAATTTCATTGTTTTTTATCATTACTGCTCCTGCACTTAAATGGGTGCTTTCAATTTTATGCACATAAATATTAACGCAGGTTGTGGTAGGGGCCTAAGTCTGCCATCTTTGTTCTTGACGTTCTTCATCTACTCCCCAATAAGTGGGGAGTGAAAATCCTGTTCGCAAACACTGTTCGTGTGTTGGTTCTCATGATTCGAAAGCTCGTTCTCACGTTCGATCAACATGAGAATGGGGTTTACAATATGCCCTATGAAACCAGAATAATTTGTTCACATATTCAGTTGGTACCCGGTCTTGCAATTCTACACAATATGCGACGTGGTCAGTCAAAAACAGGCACTTTTGGGCAAGAAGTCAATTTTGAGTTGTAGCTTTGTTTTTGGAAATTGGATGTTCCAAAGCGAAGTTTTTAACTTTTTTGAAATCGGACTGTCTTAAATGTCGCGCTAATTTTGAACAAAAATTTGTGAAATGACATTCCTCCCTAAAAGTGTTTTGAAAAAGACTTTGAGCAATGAAATTTCAGTTTACAAATTTTACAGAACATCTTAAACATGTGTGGCATCACAATTTCACAAAATCTCAAAATTGCTGAAAATCACCCAATTGTCATTTTGCAGCCACGGTTATTTCTCCATTCCTAGCGCTGCCCAAATCTGCCTGGTTTTGACACACCACGTCACATATACTGGTAGCCCCATAAATGTGGCCTATTTACTGGACTGCCTCCGTAAACATAGGCCACACATCCACATGTACAAAAACGTGTCGCACTTTGCCAAATTTTGATTTTCGCATTTAGGCTTAGTTTGTAGGTTTTTTTTGTTTTAGAAGCATACTCACCCTCTTTATAGGCTAATCAGAAAGTGCTGCCTTTTTCAGATGTATATTTTTCGTGAAATTTCCAGATTCATTTTTACACGTTTGCGTATCAAAATTTCAACATGAAATTTCACAAAAAAGGCAGCACTTTCCGACTAGCCTATAAAGAGGGTGAGTATGCTTCTAAAGCAAAAAAATCCTACAAACTAAGCAGACTGGCAGACCGAGTTAGAAATTCAGCAATATAAAACATATCCAACGGAATATTAAGGAGATTCACTAAAAATTTTAGTGGCTGATTTTCAGTTCTGAAAATTCGAGGGATTTTATGAAACACTGCTTTTTACCCTCAAAATCTCCCTTAAACATACCACATTTCTACATGAGGCACTCTCTTAATAATATTAACTTTTATATACTGCTACAAAAACGTCGCAAATAGGCGCATGAATAAAATTAATTTAAAATCTGGAACACTTAATAAATAAAAAGTTGTACATTTACAAGGTACTGAATACTACACAAATCTCATCTTTAAGGAAAGAGGAACGTTGAGGAATTTTGTTGAGGTGAAATACTGAAATTGCAGGAATGGAGGGTTTCTTATCAAAAGCTTTTTGGACGGAATTCAAGGTAACAGGCAAGTTTAATTTTATACGAAGGAATTCTGCATGAGCACCAACTCTTGGATAAATAATTTTAAAACGAGGCTAATTGGAGAAAAGAAAATTACAAGTCACATTTTTTTTTGTATGAATACCATGAATCTATTGGGCGGACTTTGAAAACTTGAAACAAGGTGAAAAAAAAAACAATTGCTTTGTCGTACAATATATTATTTCATTTACTATAGAAAACCTCTCAAATTCTTAAAAAATTAAAAATATTAGTAAATATTGAATGGGTACTATTTTAGCAACAATTTTTTTTTTTTATCTGTAATGCCTCCAGGCCTGTGAAATGTAAGTAATTACAAAACCTTTCCTGTTTAGGCCAAGTAAAAAAAATAACTAGTCTCTCGTCATGGCTTTTTTTTTTAACAAAGAGGGCGGGCGGTACCCCCCCCCCCCCCCCCCAAGTTTGCAGTTTTTCCTACATGTACATGACGGATGGATTCTTCCATTTTATCACTCTTGCGCTGATTCAAAATTGTGTCCGAAAGAGGCCATTACCCGTTCTGCATAGCTACAAGTTTGTGTGAAACAGATATCAAGACATATTGACGATAATTGTTCAAAATATATTGCAAGTGTATGAATTAAAAGAGGGGGGGGGGGGCAGGGAGGTGGGTGGGAAATGGAAGCGGGAGGGGGGGGGGGAGAGACACGAGAAACTGGCTGATTTTTTTACTTGGCATTATCACCATTGTTCCAAAACAGGCAGTTGGTCTTAAAAATGTGGATTACAGGATTCACAAAAAAAACCACTGGCAAATTCGCCCTTTTCACACTTCCGCCATGGGCATGCACAGCCTCCATCTGGCAACTTTACACAATAAATATAGCCGGTTCAGTGATTCCCGTGTCGGGGTTCAGATCACTGAACCGGCTATTTTTATTGTGTAAAGTTGCCAGATCGAGGCTCTGCATGCCCAATGGCGGAGCGTGAAAAGAGCGAATTATCAGGTATATGGTGCCAAATTGGGTTCTAGATGACTTTAACACTTCATCAAGAAATCAAATTGAGAGGAAAAAAGGAGTGCAATTTCTCCTTATAACTGATATATCTTCTAACAATGGACGGACGTAACCCCAAAAATACTTCTCTACAGTGACTGTGCCTAATGCAGTAAATGTGGCCAGTTCCAATTGCCATGAAACCATATTGCACAGTTTCAGATATTTTCCTATCTAAAAAAAAAATGCATATCAAGTGAAGTGAAGCGATCCTCTTTCAAAGGTCGGTTCATACCGAGTGTGAACATGCACACTGAATGTGAATACAACACCGTACAGGAATTTTTAACCTAACAGAAAGTACCCACACTGCAAGAGATGGACAAACTTTGGCCAATTTTGCTGCCAAAGAACGTAACGGAAAGACCCTTCCAATCAAATTGTAAAGGTTTGTCACAATTTAGCAAGAATGATTCTTATATAAGATTTTAGGCTTTGCATGGTGGAGTATCGATACAGCTTCGGTTTGCGGTAACAGCATGTGGTTGTGTCTACTTTCTCTCGGTAGATTTAGTTCCAATAAGAACCGTCCTGCTAGTTCAAAAAAGGAACTTGTCCTGCTAATTATATTTTATTTACTTTCGTTAAGTACATGTACATTGGGCGGTGGGCCTTCTCGCAATTATCTTCACTGAGGCCGAGTAAGATAAGTTTGTTCTCAACGTTCTGACTAGCCTGCTCTAGTCCTCGTCAGGAGAATGATTCTTCCTGTGAAATTCACTTTGCATTTTCCTCTAGGAGTATGAACAAAACCTTACTATTCAAACAACCTATGAGTTTAATACTTGTTTTTATGACAGTAAAAACAGTCCAAGTAGCTATAGGGGCACTCTATGCTGAAAGGTTCTGAATTTTATGGGGAAAAAAAATATATCCTTTGGCGACCAATTCAATAACAATTCATCGGAACAGTACAACCGCAGTTAAGAATACAATGAAGAATACAAACATCACACACACGCAAACAATTTCAGTCCGTTATATATAATTATACACACACGTCCAAACTCTCTAAATTTGACAAGAGTCTTTTTAGTTTTCAGAACAAACAGTATATAGTTATCACAATTACAAGGTTAACAGGAATCACACACAAGGAGATTTCAGACAGTGTACAATTAAATACAAAAGTCAGGAAAACGTAGTTTGATTGGTTTTGTTTTTTTAGACGAAGTAGTTCTTACGGAGCGTGGCAAGATACTGGTTGTTCTCGTGCCGGAGCGGGGAGTTGTAACCGTCGTAGCTGCGACTCAGCGCACTGGCTCGCAGTTCGGCTAGTGAGGACCCAAGATCTGTGGGTGCTGGAAGCGGGAAGGCCAAGAAATGCAGTTTTATTCAAAGTGCCAACCTCGGTATAATTCCGACCCCAACAAATTGGGATTTGGATATCAGTGATCTGACTCCTATGAAATGCTACAAGTAGTTATTCAATGGGGAGTCAGGTTGGCGTCGCGGTACTTAACTTGCCTTCCACCGCTGTGACCCGGGTTCGATTCCTGCCTGGGCCAATCTATGGGTTGGGTTTTCAGTCCCTACCTGATTCCGTGGGTTTTCCCAGAATATTCTTCTGAGCTTTTCCTCAAACCTCTAAAACTGTAACTTCTTCACATTGTCTTCTCTTTACTGGGCCCCATGGGAGATCAGTGGATTCCACTGAATTGACTACCCAGTTAAAATAACAAATAATATTAATCTGACACAGTACATTGCCTTAGTAATAGCAAAAAAGTGTTGTCGCCAAATATGTAATTATATGTAATCTGGGCACAATTTTACACAAGCACAAGTACAACCTAATTGAGCAACATCTTATGCGCATGCGCACGTGCCAAAACGCCTTGCTCAACCACAAAAGGCTATAAACCATTACCACAGATTTTCTTCTGTTAGCCAGGTTTTCTCTCAAAGCAGAGTGAAGATATTGGGCCCTGATTGATATTCATGTAAAGAAGCTGCACAATGCCTCCAAATCAGTGCCTGTAGTTTGAAAGTGATGACTATGGAAATGATTGCAACAATAAGATGGAATTAACACAGCTTGCAAACAATCTGTAACTTCTCACTTTGCCAAATCCAGTTTTCCAGAGTTCTTACCTGCTTGTAAATGTCTTGTGATACTCTTGTCCAACTCACTCCATACCTGCAGGAGAGACAAACAAATCCAAGTGAGTTTTTTTCCCTCTAAACTCAGGATCACAGCAGACTATCCAAGCAAAATACTTCAGGCCTTTTTGTTAAACAGATTGTTGATAAAACCTACACCCTCTCATTCTTCAAAATCCACCAAAAGGTTTCAGAGAATTTTGCAGGATTGAGGAAGAAAGCGCCCAGGCGCTATCAATTCAGAGGAAGTTGATTTCCACAGTAAGTTTACATAAAAAGAGTGTTACACTGGTTTTCTGCATGAAGGTTAAAAATATGAAGGAGTCACTTCTTCCAAGCCTAAGCCTAAAAAACCACAAGAGAAGGTGAACTTTGACCACAAATATAAACTTTTCTAAAACTCTGCACAATCCACGTGAGATTTTGTTAGCACCAATTGTTTTTTTTTTCCTGCATACTGTTTGAAAGAAATTTTTCAGATTATACAAGCACTGACCTTCTCAGTGATGGAGTCAATGTGGGGACTCGGGGCTTGTTTCTTGGGCAGGTGACTAGGAGACAAATCTAGGCTTCCATCTAGCATCTGTCGGTTACGTTGCTTCTGCAGCCTGGGGGGAACATTGTCAAAATATGGTGACATTAAAAAAATTAAAGAACAAAATTAGTCTTTCCTCGTCGAGCTAGACATAAGTTACACTCGGCAATTAGGTCAGTGACTCACTCAGTCAATCCGTCACATGACAAAAGGCTGGCCATACGGCAGTCCTGGGTCAAAACGTTGCTGTAGAACGCGATAAACTGGCGTCGCGATAAACCAGTGCCGCATTAAGCCGCCGCCGCGAGACGGCGTTATCACGACGAACCGCTATCACCCACGAACCGCAAAAAAATGTCGTCTGGGGAATCTTGTTGCGTTCATGTAATGCACGCCCACATGTTTGGCCTAATATATGAACGATTTTTAATGGACCGTAATAGCCTGCAGAGTAGCGCGTGTGCTTCAGTTTCCCCCATTTTCCTGGGGAGATTTTACAAGATTCCCTAGACTTTGTTGCTAGCGGTTCATGGGTGATAGCTGTTCATGGGTGATAGCTGTTTTTGTGATAACACCCTCTCGCGGCGGGTTATCGCGTATCAAACTACGTCTTGCCCCTAGACCAGCCAAACAGTGCCCAGCAAAAATCAGCAACAATCGTTCGCAACTGGGAACAAAAAACTAAATGACATTTCCTGTTACGGGTGATTATGACAACTACCATTTGAAAAATTTGAGAGGGAAAATACAGGGCCTTATGTCATGGAGCCGTTACGAATGACACAACACTTCGCAAATTTAATGACAAACTTGTTGGACTTATTCACAATTTTTCCTTTATATTTTGCGACACCTACGAAAACTTGGCCTGTGTGTCCACGAGTCTGTCCTGAGATTTCTCGAGTTGAGCAGCCAATTTGTCCTGTTTCTTCACCGCATCTTGGTACAACTCCTTCAAGCAAATACAAGGGTAAATTTCAGTTTGGTTAACACAAGCTTCTGGTGTTGTGATTAGTTTAGTAGACATGTCAAAGATTACAAACAACGATAAATCTGAAAACAGAAAAAAAATCAACCCCATTTGGCTGATTGCATTTTTCTCCACCTGTGCCCAGTTTCGTCTCAATTTGCCAGAACGCCTCACATATTTCATAAAAATGACAAACTGTACTTATTTTAAAAAATCTGATCGCCACAGTAAAGTCTGTTCTGAGCAAATATGGCACATCAGGCCGGAGTATATCCACAGGTTCCCTTGGCATAAAATAGCTGGAAATATATTCCCCGAGACAGGATGCCAGTCCTTAGCAGGTTACTCCCTGGCTAATGCTGGTAACCAATTATACTCCTTGGTGGGGTGAGGTAAATTGTGGTAAAGTGGCCTGCCCATGAATACAACATATAACCAGCAGTTAGATTCAAGATCCTCTGGCCATATAGCCTCAAACGTAAAACAGTAGGTCATATATCCCCCTCCCCCTAAAAATGGAACCAATTAGTCCCTCTGCCCTCTACCACCCCCAACTGCTTTGCCTTTTACTCCCTGTACTGCCTGAGACGGCCCGATCGCTCTATGGTTTTATAAACTCATCAGGGAATGTTAAAATACAACGCAATACACTGTTGTACAGGTGCTAATTGGTTAATCAGATTTGTGATAATCTAATCTTACCTTGAATCGTGCAACCTCAACCTCCATTGTTTCCTTCTGCGCCAGCATGTCATGATAGCTGCTTCGCAGTCTACCGATTTCATTCTACAATTTAGAACACAGTGGTATATTTCAAACGTTAGCAGGCAATAGAAATTCATTAGTTCCTTAGGCGATTTTGCTAAGGGTTCATCTCAATTTATATCCGGGCCGAGTTCCGGACAAGTTGTGGTTGTTGTATCGGATATTAAGTTGCAGGATTCTGAACAACTTCCCCGCAATTTTCCTGCAAAGAAGTCATCAGCATTGATGAGTCAGGCAGTTGCTGATAAACACTTTTTCGGAACATGTCCGGGACAAATGCGGAGCTTCTTCAAGACAAAGTTAACTTGTCTGGAATTCGTCCCAGATATGAATTGAGACGGGCCCTAAGATCCTTCCTAAATTCTCCAAAATCCACCACTGTGCAGAAAGAAATGGCCCATTCTTTGCACTTAAAGTAGCTGGGCTCTATCCTCCTTAATCCTACAAACTCCTTCAAAAACCTTATAATGGATCTTGAAAGATCTTGGAGCATTAGGGTGAAAACAAATGGCATTTTGAACATCAACCCTTCAATTCCGTCTCAACAACAAACAAAGTTCTTAGTAATTTGTCAGCCTGGTTTGCTTCAAATAGACTCTCTCTGAACATTAATAAGACCAATTTTATTTTGTTTTGTCCAAGACAGAAAAAATATGCTCGCTCCAAAGTCAAAATTTTTATTGATGACTTTCAGATCAAACAGGTCAGTCATACCAAATTTCTTGGAGTTCATTTTGACCAAAACCTCACTTGGAACAATCATATTGATTCCGTTGCTCTGAAAATTGCTCAAAATGTTGGTGTTATTAGGAGAGCTAAAGATAGTATTCCTCGCAGTTATTTGATTACTCTTTACAATACCTTGGTTCTGCCTTATATTTCCTATTGCAATATTGCCTGGGCTAATACTTACCCGACAAAACTGAACAAGATACTTCGTATCCAAAAACGTGCACTCAGATACATAACAGGGTTGAAGTATAGTGCAGAATTGCTTTAGGAAGTATAATGTGCTCGAAGTATCCAACATCAACCACATGCAAACTGCGGTATTTATGTATAATTACCACAAAGGCAACCTTCCTGTTATTTTTAACAATTTCTTTTCAATTAGCAACCACACATATAATACTCAGTCCTCGAAACATAAATACACTCAAGTTAAATGTAAAACCACAGCTCTCCAACACAGCATTCGCTATCAAGGCTGCCAACTCTGGAACGGATTGCCATCTTTCATTTCTGAAGCGAAGTCTTTAACTGTTTTCAAAACATTGTATAGAAACTACTTGCAAGGAAATTGATTTTGTTTATTACTACTTTACCACTCTCACAGTGTTTACATTGTACATTGTTTTATACATACATTCTTGTCTTTATTAAGTTAATGGAACATCTTAGATTGGGGTGGGGTAGTTGGGTGTAACGGGAACACTTGGGATTTTCTCGGGGGGGGGGTGGGTGGGTGGGTGGGAGGGGGGGATTAAAAGGGAGTGTTTCATAAGTCCTTGGACTTCTTACAACTTCCTTATAACTTCTCTGCTTTTCATTTATCTTTGTTACTTATCTTTGTCATTTACTTTTATGTTTTGTTTATCTATTAAGTTACGTACTTTATATGTTTTCATTATGAAGTTATGAAATAAACTAGATTGATTGATTGATTGAATTCAATGCATGGCCTTTTTTGACGCTTTACAGTTGTTAACTCAAATAGGCAATAAAACAGCATCCATTAGTCTTTTATTTTAACACAATTAGAGGGCCTCACGTTTTGATGCTGAGGATGAAATCGTTAAGCCATCTAATTTGCTTGATTTGCATATTTCCGGTCAATCCAGTCGGTATGCAGCTTGCAGCAGTTTTATTCATTATCATTTCTTTAGTTTGATGGCGAATCTGTTTAACTTATCGTGTAAACATATTGTAAAAATGCAAAAAAATAGTTAGTGGCCTGACGTTTCGACCCTAGCAGAGTCTTTCTCGAAGGCTAAATGACAAGACTATAAACATAAACAGGTATATGGATACATTACTGATGTAACAAAAGCAGTCAAGTGGAAATACACAGAGAAAATACACAGAGAAAGCAGGCGGCTGAACAGAAAGGAGGGTAACAAAAGGGAGGGGGATTGGGGGAAGGGGATGGTTGACCACAAGAGGTGGGGAACACAAAGGACAAAGTCAATGATGGGGAGAGGGAGAGAAAGGTAGTTAATTGGTGAAAAAGTTATATTTCACCATCCCTTTCAATGTTTTACACCAAGATGAGCACAAATTATTCCTTCCTGTAACACTAAAGGCCTATAAAAAAACCCACTTATCTGGACTCCAAAATCCATACCTTGAGATCGTTAATGGTGTTCTCCTGTTCTTTCTTCAGCTCATTCTCGTTGGAGTTTCTCAGCGTCTCCAATTTCTCCCGAGCCTGAGACTGTGCACAGAATAAAACAATCAGAGAAAAACAGAATCACCAAATGTACTGTGGGTTTTGCCTGGGAAATATCAAGGTTGTGCCACTGAGAAATGTTATGGGCAATAAAGGTTGGCTAATAAACGAGATAAGTTTTGCTGGTCTCAGAGGGCCAGCCTAGTCTCCTCTTCGTACCTATCTCACTGACTATCACTCAAAGACAATTGGGCAGTGCTCATGTATAGGATTACTCCTTTTAACGCCAATGAATGGGCTAGGCAGGCATGCAACTTTGAAGAAACTTAAAACAAGGAAACTCCAATCTTTACAAGACGTTATGTGAGGAAAGTTTGCATGCCTGGCTAAATCCCGCTCATCGCATAGACCAGATGCATGAAAAGACTTCCAGTGAAAAACCATTCTGAGACATCTGAATAGAGCACTGACTTTAATACTCTCTGATTCCACGACTGTCACTTGAGAGCCAGGCAGTGCTATTGTATAGGATTACCCCATAATGCCAATGAATGGGCTAAATCGGGCTCACTGTGTAGACCAGACGCACAAAAAGACTTCCAGTGAAAAACCATTCTGAATCAACTGAATAGAACACTGACTTTAATATGGACTGAATCCAAGACAGTCACTTGAGAACTGGGCAGTGCTCTTGTATAGGATTACTCCATGACGCCAATGAATGGGTTAAATCCAGCTTATTGGGTAGAGCAGATTCATGAAAAAACTTCCGGTGAAAAAACATTCTGAATCAACTAAATCATTTTTTGTTGCACTTTGGGACCGAATACACTCGGCTTACCAAGTCTTGTTAATTTAATTATTGTCCTACCTGTTCTTCCAAGTAGGTGTTGACCTGGTCTAGTTTCTCATTTAATTCCATCCTTGCCTACAGGGGGGAATGAGAAAGACATATTCAGAGTAGGTGTTAAGGCAGCACGAAAACCTGCCAGAGTAATAATCAAAAAAAAAAATGTGCCAACCTGACGCCATTTTAAGATGCACCGTTGGAAAGGCCTTCTTTCGTTGATTTCTTCGAAATGACACCTTGCCAGAAAAACAAATTTCACAGGGAGTTTAGTCCCCTTACCATCTTTCAACCAATTATGCTTTTCAACAATAATTACGCCAGTTACTTTTTGGATAGATGCGAGTGATGGACTGTAGCTTTAATGGTTTTCATACCTTGGCATCCAGCTGCTGCTTGTACTTCTCCAATTCTCCTTTCTCGATGAAGTTATGCTGCACTAGCAACTAGAGGGAAACAAGAAAAACAACAGGACATTGCGTCGTGACATGTCATGAAACAGTCTAGCATGTCTTAACTTTTTTTTATACCTTCACAAGGAAAAAACATTAACACAGCTTTCAATTTTGTTACTCAATTAATGTTTATTCAAATTCCCTGAGTTTTCCCTGAGAAATTTCCAAAAGTCTATGAGAAATAGTTTCGCTTTAAAGAGGTTGTGGAATACTCGAAGACATTTCCGTCATTTTTCAGGTATATGTAGCCTAAGGTGTGATGAAATATAAACGACTATTGTGTCTGTCACGAAACGAGTACAAAAGGTACAAAAGGTACTCGTTTATACTACGCTGCATCGGGAGTCCTGTTTATTACGTCAAGATTTACTATGTTTTGCTTGCTGCCCCCAAGACAACACAAATTGTACGTTCGGGTCGAAACAGGACCTGAAAAACAGCTCTCAAAAGTACCTTTTGTACTCATTTCATGACAGACACAATAGTCGTTTTTATTTCATCACACCTTAGGCTACATATACCCAAAAAATGACAGAAATGTCTTCGAGCATTCCACCACCTCTTCAACAAGGCTGCTAGGAAGTCTAGAGGTGGTGTAGCACAGCTGATTGTTATTGTCCGGAGAGGTATGTAATATTCACACAGCATAAACACTAAAAAGCCACCACAGCCAGTCAGTCACTGGACACATCTTGGACACACATGGAGCACGACGCACATCCACCAAACTGGCAAAAACCTTTCCCTTCTTGGTCACTGTCAAATGCCCTGAGTTTTCTTTGACTTTTTGGGTGCTTTTCCCAAATTCCACGAGTTTTCCCTGACTGGAAAACTGAAAACTAATTTTCAAGGTTTTCTCTGATTTCCAGAGTGGCTGGGAAAACTGGTTGGTAAGTCCACAGTGGCTTGTAACTTTGATGTTCTGACCCATCACAGCTGAGATTGCACTACCGAAAAAATGTCTGACTTTAGGGCCCGCTTGTGTCGTGCAGATCGGAATCGCGATCAGTGATCCGATGTGTCGATAGCTGCTCCAGATCACTTTTAAATGGATCCTGCTCGCGAGGTGGATTAGCAAGATTTAAGATGGCGACATGCACGACGGACGGAGAGAAGAAGTAGTTTTTTTATTAAGTACACTTGAATCATCAAATGAGCTTTTGTGACAATTTATCTTCATAAGTCTTTTAGAATGTATCTTCATGATTAAAAATAGTACGATTGATTTACTTTTGCTGGAGAGTATCGATAGCTTGTCATAAAAATAGCCATTCTGCGTACAAAATCCGAAGCAGGGGACATTCGTGTGCGCCCTATGGATTCGAGAGTGGTTCTGTTTATTTTCGTACGGCACTGGATCACATGATCGCGATTAGGATCTTGAATTGAAATACATTCACTGAACGTACCACGCATGCACCTAGAAAAACATGCAATTTGGCATTGGAAAGTCGCAGGTGATGTTAGCACACGTGTAGTTGACGTGGCTTATACATCAACGTGTTGTACAAACTTTCCAGAATTTCCAGAAATGGAATCAAAGCAAGTCAGAAAACAGGATTTGGGCATAAAAAAAATTCAATTATGGCATATTACCTTCATCTGGGTCAACTCTTCTTCCAGCTTTCTCCTCGTTTTCTCCAGCTTGTCTTTACCCTGTTGGGCAAAAGAAGAAATTAATAAACAATAGGTATTTTAAGAACAAAATACAATGCCGTGCCTGATAGATATGCCGCAACAGAAGAAAGCAAATAAATGACTTTCTCTGATTTATGAATATTTAAACGTGATTCCCATGCTATTTTCGAAGTTAACCTCTAAATATAGATTTTTTTTCAATAGCTATTTTCCTAGCAATATAAAAGTTATTCATTTCTGAATGAGACATCAAATGGAAACAAATCCAACAGCGTTTAGTTATTGAATTATTTCTTCAGACAATTTAATGTTAATTGGCTACCAGACAAATATTCAGCTCTTGCATAGAAGGGTTCATTTGTGCACTAAATGAAGGCCGTGTTTCAGAGGGTTGCAAACACCCAAAATTGGAATACTTGTTTGGGGGTTAAAACAAAACATAAACATTTTAAATTTGTGAAGAGAAAACAAATCCAACTTTTGAAAAGCACAGGGTATGCAGCAAGTACTTTTAAGAAATGTTGGTGCCTTAAAATGTTCAACTGCTGAGCAATTGAAAGGTCTCAATGTGAAGCTGAGGAGATATCTTAGATAATAAACATAAAGAATTATACCTTCTCATGAGTCTTTGCTGACGACAACTCTGCAAGTCAAAATCATAAAGAGATACGGTATGTTCGGGTTATGTTATGATTTTTTTTCAATAGCTATTTTCCTAGCAATATAAAAGTTATTCATTTCTGAATGAGACATCAAATGGAAAAAAATCCAACGGCGTTTAGTTATTGAATTTTCATTATTATTATTATGTTCATTTATTACCACAAAAAGTGGGAAGCAATATGGAAAAGTTACTGGTTGAAACTATGCACATAACTTACATTGATATCAATAAACCATTTCCATGCACAAATTCCTGTAAACTTTACTACCAAATAATTTTTTTTTGAAGGGGATTACAGTCTCAGACTGTTGTTGCATCAATAGCAATGAGCTCTACTGCGGTACTCAGTACAATGGAGCTTAGCGGACTACTCAATGATGAGCATTGCATGGTACTAGGGGTGGGTCTGGGTGCCATACCTTTCTGCAACTGACTATGCAGTGCTTGGAAATACGTTGTACTAGAACAGGGTCAGGGTACCATACATTGCTGTGGCTGACTACACAATGATGAGCACTGCTTGGTACTAGGTCGGGGTCTAGGTACCACATCTCATTGCAACTGACTACATAGCATTGGTAATTACACGGTACTTGTATGGGGACAGGGTACCATACCTTGTTGAAACTGTCTATTCTGTTTCTCAACGTCCACTCTCAAAGAGGCCTCTCGTTCCAACTGCTGGTTCAAGTCGTCAATCTACAACAATCAAAACAACAAACTAATTTTGAAAGCATCTCTCACATCTTGTAGCTTAGCCCTCCTGCGGCCAATTTCACGGTGCTGCTAAGCACACAAATTTGCTTAGCACAAAAAGAGTCTGGCTTAGTAAAAGCAGGTTACCAGCCAAAACTCCGTGTGATTTTCATGCTAAGCAAACAACAGCTGAATACTAATCACGAGCAATATACATCACATGGAGTTTTGCCTGGTAACTTGCTTTTATAAGCCAGTCTTTTTTTGTGCTAAGCAAATTTTTGTGCTTAGCGGCGCCGTGAAATTGGCCCCAGTCTTCGGCACTTCACAACCCTTCAAGTTTTGCAAAACTACTTTTGCCCATAGAGTTAGCACCCACGCCTTATATTCCTTTGAGGTAATCTTCTGTGGAGTATGGATAACACCTCAAATCCCTGCACGGTTCCTTAGTTAACCCTAGTCACTGTAGCACCCAAAACCACCCTGCCTATATTACTCACTGTAGCACCCGAAACTGCTTGAGCACTCTATGGGTATGTTCAGACACCAATTTAGCTATAACAGTAACAGTTACAACAGTCGATCTGACTTGAAGTAGGATTTTGTTTTCATGAATGGTTGGCGGTAGGAAAATTAAGAGATTCACGGGTGCTTTGTGCTCACCTTGCAGTCCCACAGGACGTTGTTTGTTTAATACAAAAGCGCGCCACTGAGAAGGCGTTACGTCAACTCCGGGTCACAGCGCTGGCTAAAACGGGAAGCGTTTTAGCTAAAACCCTTCATACATCGTTTTAGGAAATAACTCGTTCTGGTGTAAAGATAAACCCTCCCTCCAAGGGGGTTTAAGTTGCCGTTTTAGCGACGAGTTGAACTCGACTCGGTCTAAATAAACAAGCGTTCAGACATCGTTTTAGCAAGAAAGTTACACCAAATCGAGTTCAACCGGTGTTTTAAGGGAATTTAAAACGGTGTCTGAACGACCCCGGTTTATTGACTCTTCGGTGAATGAACACAATGTAATACAATGCAGTACAAATGCTAATGGTTAAGCTCAGGGCAAGCAGGCAGATTGGGTCATGCTTCACTGCTTTCCACACTGCTGTTTTTTGTGCAGTGACTCTCTATATCCCCTTTTCACACTAGAGCCTCTCAGCCCGGGTTGAACTCAACCCTGGGTGAACCAGTGCCACCCCGGATTGAGTTTTCGATTTTTCAACCCCACATTCAACCCCGCATCGTTTCACACTTGTTTCATGCAAATCAAGCTTATCATGCTCAGTTACTACTGCTTTGAACCCTGGCAAGAATTTCAACCCGGGTTGAAAATCTCAACCCTGGTCTAGAGCAGGGTTGAGTTTAACCCCGGGTGAAATCAATCTCGGGGTTGACGGGGGGTTGACGCAAGATGCATGTTACCCTGCATCAACCCCGAGATTTGTCTAGTGTGAAAAGGGCTTCCGAGACACAGTTACTTTAATACTTCATATCCCTTCACCTGAAACTGACCTCAAAGTTTTACAGGGTTTTTACATATTGCTCTGAATACTGACTTCCCACTAAGGAGGGTCAAAAGTGAAGATTTGAAGATCAAGCGTTCCGACCCCTACCTGTCTTCGTTGCGTGGCCACCGCTGCTTCCATGTTCAGACGTTCTCGCTCGTAGCCCGTCTGTAAGGTGTTGAGACGTAGCTCAGGGGCATCTAAATCCTTCATTTTTATAGAAAATATTTAATAAAATAAAAATTAGTCTTAATTTGGTAATTTTCGTGAGACTTAATACAGACAAGGGGGAAAAAAACAGGTTTAGGCCAAAAAAAATAAATATTCGGTCTCTGGTCAGACCAAAGTTCCGGAATTGACGCGGCCACGCGGCTTTTTTTTTTTTTCTTCTTCAAGCTTGGATTGTACAGACAAGGTGGGGTACTATTTTGCTTTTTTGGTGTCCTCATGTACATTGGTGTCCTCCATAATTTGCCTTGGTGCTTTCGATCATTTGCCTTGGTGCAATTTCCCATTCCTTGGTGCTCTTTGGTAAAAAAAAATTGAGGTGCGGAAATAGAGGGCGCTGTTGGAGCTACCGCGGAACATTTTGGAAATAAAAAAGATCGACGCGCATGATTAAAATCGACGCGCGCGCTGACCAGAGACCGACTTATTTTTTTTTTGGCCTTACTGTAACTTCTAATTTTCTTTTACATTATTTTTTTTTTGACATCAGATTCGAACCAGCCAACCGCGTCAAGAGTGGTGGTTGAGTGGTAAGACCTCTGCACTACTAAGCAGGAGGTTGTTGTTATTTTTTCTTGCAAGCCCTTCGGACAAATGAGTATCCACTTCATTAAAAATACGGCAGTGAAAGGCAACTTTCAATTATTATTTATTATTATTCTGGTTTATTTTTAAAAAAACACCAAGTCGGCAGTCACTATAATGTGTCTGAAGAGACCGGCTTACAAGTATTGATACATATAAAACATATAAATAAAAGGAGATTCATCTAAAAAGTATGAGAACCTGGATTATACAATATTTTAAAAAGTTGATAAGGTATTAAAAAAAACCACCAAAATTACTTAAATATCTGAAATGATAGCATAAAAACTGGATCAGGCTTATTAAAAAACTAGAGCGATGTTAAAATGCATGTATAAACTGTTCAACAATATTAAATATATACAAATTGCAAAAACATACAAGCATGTTAAAATTGTATAAAAACGTGGGTTATTTGAAAGAGGGAACTGTTCTCCTATAGTTACAAAATTCTGAACAGTGCTGGTATGGTCGAATTTGTGTATCTCTTATATTAAATAAATATCTCCAGGACATAAATTCCATCCTGTGCAGGGACTTCTTTCCAATTTTCTTATCTGTTCTTCTTACCTTGAGTCTCTTCTTGGCTGTCCTCAGCTTGGCCTTCAGTGTGTTGATTTCTTGCTCCTGAAGTTGGGTCCTGCAAACGAACAGTGTAACCATATGGGAGTTTTGTCCGAGACCCAAATTTTTGAATTCAATGCAACTAAAACCACAAATCTGACTCCCACTGCATCTTCAAACCAACTATCAGCGCTATGCAATAAAGAAGAAAGGGTGTGAGTACCAGTATGTGAATATTGGCAATCGTGGACTTAAGACAAAAAGGGTTAGGGCACAAACAATGCATCCATTTATTGACCGAATGTCCACAATTGAAATTCTTGTACAAAAACAATGAAAGCTGTTGCTAAAAAGTTACAAACGAAGGAATGAGGATTAGGGACAATAGGGTTCCACGATTGCTGTTGTTTACAAAGATGCCTTTTGTTTATGGTGTAAATCGAGGACACACACGTGCGATCTTTCTTTGTGGCATACCTTAGCCTTGACCAAATCTGTCAAGCCAAGCTTTTTTCCCTGACAAACAGTCCGGCAGCGGTTTTGCCCCACTTGTCACGGCACACGAACGCCGTGCACTTTGCCGGTACGTATACATGTACAGCGCACTTTGCTGGTACGTAAACAGTAGTTAACCTACGTACGTACTACGCGTACACCCCATGGAGTAACCACTATGCGGCCGCAGTCGAGGCGAAAGACAGCCTTGACGCAACCGTGGCCAATTCCTCATGTGTTTCTTTACATTCTCGATCGATATCGATCAAAAATTTCAGATGCACATATTTTACACGATAGCCAATCAGAGCCCGTGCACTTTGACCCGAACAAAACAAACCACACGCACGTGTACAAAATTTATTGACCTTTCGACTGCATACAGTGCAGTAGTGACGAATATTCATTTGATTGTCAGCCATTATCCAATGAGAGAAGACTATTTACCCTAGCGCATACTACAGCCTGTCTCAAAAAAATGGTACAATCGAAAACAATTTTTTTTTTCAATATTAAATCTCAACATAAGCAAGTCATTTTGAGCATCACATTAAAGAAAAAAGACCATGCTTTCCAATACTTTTTGTTTCATCTCATTTGCTTTTGTCAATCCAGAGATAACTCCAGTTTACTGCAGAACACAAAAATCGAGTTTGTTTCTTTTGCCAAGTTGCAATCTTTGGTGAGCTTCAAGACAGCATGGCACAGTACTCGAAACAACTCTGCCCATGCATAAAAGTGGCACAAAATTGATTTTGGTGTATCGCACTAAAATTGATTATATCTCTGAATTGACAAAAGCAAATAAGATCAAACAAACACTATTGGAAAGCCCAGTCTTTGTTCTTTAATATTATGTCAAGTAAGAATGACTTATTTTGAAATTTCATATTTCACCAATTTTTTTCTCTGATTGTACCATTTTTTTTTTAGACAGGCTGTATATTATCATAATGAGCATATACCGTTGCATCAAGGCCATCTTCCGCATGACATTACTGGCATGGTTACTGTATCATACTGTACAGTGCGGATTTGTGTCTGGGGCATCGCGGATCGCACAGGAAAAGCAGCGCAAGGCGTGGCGTACCGTACATAATTATGTGCCGTGACAAGTAGGGTAAAAGGCTGCCGGCCCGTTTGTTCAGGGAAAAAGCTTGGCTTGACAGGCTTGGTCAAGGCAAGTCATACCTCTGTACTTCACTCTGCCACCTCTCCTCGTAACTCCTCTTCATCTCCGCCATCTTGCGAACTTTCTTCTTTTCCTAGGAGACAAATTCAGTTCAATCATTTTAGATATGATAAGTTTTTTTATGGAACAACTCAAATTCCTCAGCTTTGCCACAACTTTGCCACTGTGTATATCTGCCCCCTTAACCCCAATATTCCGTTGCCATAACATCTCCTTCTTTGTGTATGAAATCTCTGAATATGAAAGCCCCTCCACCGTTACAAAAAAAAGGAATTTAAAGTGCAATACAAGAAATTAATAAAGGGCACTGGGAATGTAGGGTACATATTGGTGATGACATTAGAACGGGACAACATTTTTGTTTTGGTATGCTAAGAACCGACCTCATCCACTTGGGCCTGCACCTCTGTCTTGGCTCTCTCCAACTGTGCAATCTGAAACAAAATTAAAACAAGAAATTTAACGATACGTCTAGTAAAAAGTGACGACCATTTGTTAGGGAACTTGACTGTCACTTATTGGACGTAGGTGTGCCTTACGCATTGACCACTAAAATCTGTGTGGGATATTGTTTGGAAAAATTGTAAAGAAGTCAAGAGGACAAGGCGGTTCTCGAACCGCGCGTCTCGCCTGATTTCGGGATTACCTTTAAAGAGTGACCTTTGACCTTGGTATGTGACCTTTGACATCATTAGCATATGGAGGTTCCCACGTTGCATCTATGACCCAAGTTCGGTTCAAATTGGACTTCACCTTTTCAAATGTGACCAATTTTACATTTTCAGCCAATTTAACAACTTTACCTCAGATGACTTTTGACCTTGGCATGTGACCTTTGACATCATTATCATATGAAGTTTCCCATGTTGCATCCATGACCCAAGTTCGGTTCGAATTGGACTTCACCTTTTCAAATGAGACCAATTTTACATTTTCAGCCAATTTAACAACTTAACCTCAGATGACTTTTGACCTTGGTATGTGACCTTTGACATCATTAGCATATGAAGTTTCCCATGTTGCATCCATGACCCAAGTTCGGTTCGAATTGGACTTCACCTTTTCAAATGAGACCAATTTTACATTTTCAGCCTAATTTACAACTTGACCTCAGATGACTTTTGACCTTGGTATGTGACCTTTGACATCATTATCATATGAAGGCTCACGTGTTTAATCTATGATTCAAGTTTGGTTCCAATTGGACCTCAACGTTAGAAATGAGAGTAATTCCTTGAAACTTTAACCAAAATATCACATACATGTACACATACTCAAGTTAAGGGATTTTAAACACAACCATCGTTTTAAAGTTCTGCCCACGGATCACAAAAAAGGGTAAGTGTTCTTTCAGCAAAACGAAAACAATTCATTCAGAAATGTGCGTGAATTATTTTTTGTCTTGCTAAAAAAATACTGACCTTTTAGGCCAAAAAAAAAAAGTCTCCGGTTTCTTGTATGGAGCTTGCCCAAAAAGAGGTGCGGCGACGCGGCTTTTTTTTTTTTTTTACCTGACTTTTTTGCTTCAAATGTCAGCTGATGACTGCAAATGGTGCCCGACTAAACTTAGTGAAAATATATGGGAGTCCAGAGAGGCTACATAAAGCTTATTCTCGATCATAACCCCATCTAAAAACACGTTAAAATTGTGCAGCAGCAGGATTCCAGTCAAACCAGTGAGTTTGGCGGCTTTGAGACATCATCTTTCATTGAAAAAAAACCTTTTTCATTTTGCCGACGCGCATGGCTACGGACGACGCGCGCGCATACCAGAAACCGGAGACTATTTTTTTTGGCCTTATGATCCGTGGACAGAACTTTAAAACTGTGTTGGTGTTAAAATCCCGCAACTTGAAAAGTACATGAGTGATTTGAATGATTCCTGCACTAAAAGAAAGCCTATTAATTGGGCTTTCATATCCTAGATTTTGAAAAGTGCTACTTGCAGAACTTTATTTCAAACATGGTCCTGCTATTTGGGTTTCCTTTTCATTTTTACTCACCCTGTACATTCATACGTACAGACATAGTGATTGCATAGTCTCTTTTCTGAACAAAGTCCACGCGAGACAAAAATGAAGGATCTAAAACGAACTCTAGCATCAGCTAAAAACCCACCCTGAGCCCAAGCCGTGACCTCGATTTGACCTCCAATTCCCAGAGTCCTCTGTGGTCTTCAGCTTCTTTGGCAAACAGACTCCGATTCGCTGTCTCCTCCTGCAAGGGCAAAACAAATTCTTTAACCCTAACTCCCTAGGCCTTTTTTGCTAGGATGTAGCCTCAATCCTGCAAAATCCTCCAATTGGCCTCATGGAAAAATAGCATATAGCCTCAATTCTGCAAATTTCTCCATTATTTCTTGAATATGGTCCATGGAAGGATGACCACTGCCTGAATCCTGTAAAATCCTTTGGCTATGACTGTCAATAGGCTGAGGCAGAGGCAGAGGCAGTGACATCCTGGAGCAGTGCGGAGGATTTCAAGTATAATCAAGGACTAAATTTATGCTAGGCTGAGCATAAACAACACAGGGTCCGGCCCAAGACTTTGACACAGTGCGTCCTCCGAAATCAGCAACGCACTTTTGCCATGTAACCTCAATCCTGCACATTCCTCCAATTTGCAAAGAAGATTTTGGAGGATTTGGGATGGTTAGGGTTAATGTTTTAAAAGTTGTGGAGTTTTTCCATGTAACTGGCCCTTATGTACAAAATTAGTAAGTTCAAAAGTGCAGTTTTTTTTGTTGAAAGTAGTTAGAATGTCATTAGGACCCATAAGTCACATACTTGCAATTTTCCCTCCATACGCATCGACGTTGTCTGCAGGTTTGACACCAGATCTTCCAAACTGACCCGCATCTGCAAGTAAATACAACCAAATAATCTCAATTTCTCTGGTAAGAGGGACCACTCAGGACATTTCTGTGTCCATTTCATGTGTTGGGCAATTCCACGGTTACTCACGTTGCATTTTTGATGTACTTTTGAGTTTCCTTGGGCTGTAATTACCTAACTGAAAAGGTTTAATAACCGTTATCCCCATGGTAGATAGAGTAGACCTAGACCTACCTAAGCACCAAAGATGACATCCAGAAAAATGTGTTATGTGTGATAAACAAGATGTACAAAATTGGTTACTCACGTTACATTTTCATAATGTGAGTTACCGATTTTGTGCGTGGTCCTATTTTGGCCTGAATCTCCAAATGAAAATTCCCGACAAACGATTCATGTAGCCTGATCACATCACATATGGTCAGAGCAGGAAATTGCAACCCAGGCCATAGTGGTGAGAGGCGAGCGCTTTCTGTGCCACCCATGCCACCCAATACTGCTTATCTACTGTTTATGCATTAAAGCCAGAGTCCATCATTTGCAGCTATCCAAAAAGTAACTGGTGTAATTATTGTTGAAAAACACACTTGGTTGAAAGATAGTAAGGGAACTAGACTGCCTGTGAAATTTTTCTTTCTGGCAAGCTGTCATTTTGAAGAAATCAACGACAGAAGGCCTTTCCAACGGTGCGTATTAAGAAGCACCGTTGGAAATTTCCCGTTAGTGGTTTGTTTTTTATTCGGCGAAGGGCGCGCATGCATTGACATGACGCATACGCGCGTGAGACGCGCGCGTGGTTGCTATAATTCGTTCAATTCGTCAGATCGGTGCGCGACATCGCGTAGCTGCAATCGGCTAGTTAGAACGTGTCTCGGACGCTGAATTCAGGCCCAATTCAAAACATGATCCAGCAACTTTTGATTTGAAATTGAGATCCTAGAATGTTGTTTTTCTTGAAATACACAGCTTAAGCTGAGCTGAAACTTCATCAGGTTAGTTGTTCAGCACCCTTCTTTCGATTTTGAGCACTTTTGTTGCTTCAAACGAACAAAATGCACAAATTACAAATGATGGACTATATCTTTAAGTCGACATCTCACCTTGTTAGAGTCCTGAACTTCTCTCTCCAGGCTGTTACTTTTGTCCTTCTCCTGTCTGATGGCAGCTTCCAGCCGGGCATTCTCTCCCTCCAAGTCTCGCAGTCTCTCCTCCAACTCAGACTGGAATGAGGCAAGCCATTACCAGGCATGATTTCACATCATTTAGGTCAAACAAATCTGACTTCAAAGAACATATTTTCTATTAAAATTTATGCAGATTATATGTAAACAACTTTCCTATCCAGGGATTTTGAATGCAGTCAGCAATTTTCGTCGACATTTAAGTGTGGTAGCGAAAAAGTATGGTCTGTCGCTGTAAATTTCTTATTCAAATGATATTCTGGTGCTCCTGCATTCTCCGGAAACATTCGTCTACAAAAAAGACAAGCAGGCTTCACAGATAAACAACACAATATGGAGGGCATGTTCCATGTAAGCCCACATTCATATGAGGAGAAAGAGGCCAATCACACGTACGCAGAAATGTTGAACAAACTTCTGTCAAGCAGATTTGCACATTGGTTGTGGACTGATCCCCCCCCCCCCTCCCGTTACTGGTTGTTTTTCAAGCACTGACAATTACTGAACAAACACTCTGTCATGTACCTTTTTCTGTAATGACGTTTGGGTGACCATGAGTTGTTGGGATGTGTTCAAGTTGTTTCGCTGCGTCTGCATCAGGTCAGATTGCAAGTCTTCAATCCGCGCCTCCAGAGACCGACGATCTCTCTCCGTTGATCTCATCTTGGAGGTAACACATTGGGTTAAAAGACCAAAAGGTCAAACTTGATCCAAAATGTATGGAGATTTTTACTGATGGCAAATTTTTCTTCAATTCAGTTAAAGAAACAACATCCTATATTGCAACTTATGGTTTAGTGAAATATGAAATTTGTACAAGTTTATTTATGCTGGTCGATTCACAAAATGCCAAAGCTTGTCCAATATGAGAAAGGCCTCCACAAATATACAATGCATCTAAAAACATTCAATTAGGAAAAAAGTAGGAAGTAATCTTTAACAAATCCATTTAAAAACAGAAAAGTAACAGAAGTTAGTATCAAGTAGAACCATAAGACAAGATAAGTTTGCGGTAGCACCATGTGAATAAATCTCTTTTGTGAGTATGTGGTCAGTTTGGAATCCCTCATTCTCCTGACGACGGGCAGAGCATACAGTTCGAAACGTTGAGTCCCTCCGGTTCGTTTCAGAACCACACATACTCACAAAAGAGATTTATTCACATGGTGCTATCGCAAACTTATCTTGTCTTAGTATCTTTCCACCATGCAAACCTTCAAATCTCAAGTAAAACCATAAAGGACGTAAAATGCTAAGAACACAGCCAAACCAGTTACATGTATCCGATAACTGGACAGACAGAACGCAGACAAAGACAAAAACAGAACCGGTTGGGGTTTGAAAGAATTGTTCTCTTACTTGATCCTGCAGCTGTTTCATGTGGTGAGCTTGCTGCTGCTTCTCTTTGTCAAGCTCGTTCTGGGTCTGGAATGAAAACAGCACCATTGATGTATTTACGTGATCTGCATTGTGCAAGACCTGATATTATACACACCAAATTCCTTTTTGTTCAACATTTTCATAACATTTTCCTGTAGCCGTAACCTCTTAACTTTGTAATTTGCCATCCAGTATCAAGGATAATGACTCTAAATGATTTCTGTTTTGTTGGGCAGGTAGTATGCTATTCATAATCACTCTTAGCAGATGACTGCATTAACAAGGGCATCTAGAATTATGAATTTGTAAATGTCAGATGTAACAGGGACAGGGCAACAAGTGGGCCCAAATTTATAGAGTGACTCACATATGTCCCATGTTCTGTCAAAATCAGACTTTTCTGGGCATAAGGTCAAAAATGAGATTTTTGCATATTGTTAAAATATGTTCTTTTTCCTTTTAATAGGTGGTTTTATTTAATACCCGGTCATTCCTGGGCAAAGTTATGCAATTTTGAAGTTCATTGTGTCGAAAAGTAGAAAACAGAGAAAATGGCCACGAACGTCAAAAAACAGAAATTTATTTAATTGATATACCTTAACAAATCATCAAAAATACTATATTTAGAGTTCAAATTAGGGTTTCAAACTTTTATAGTATATTTTAGACATGTTCAGGATTACAAATATGCAAAAATTAGAAAATCGAAAAAAATCACCCCCGCAGCATTTTTTGGCCCTATCTCAATTTCAACCTCTGCCCAGAATCGTCTGCTTTTGACAGAACAGGTCACATATAAGCTAGAGTGAGTATCACCTGTTGTCCAACGGAGCAATCTCTGTAACCAACATCTGATATATATATGTGGGCAATGCAAATTTTATGCGACCTTGCGCGCCAGCCAATCGGAGTCGACTTTAGAAACTGTGACGTCATTTCGATATCAGAGATGTGGACTGTTAAAGCTGATGATTGGCCAATTTGGCTATGTCCTGTTTTTGTAAATACAACGGATTACCAAAGACCCGATAGAAGGCGTCTGCTGAATGGTCAGAATCTCAAGGTCAAGTGCAGTCTTGTTTTGAAAAATTCACTCCTTGGTTGTATTGCGCATGCCCTAAGTGAAGATAAGCAGGAAACTGACGGGTCACGTGCCAGGGTAAGAATGCAATAAAGTAAAAGAGACCAGATTTCATAGGCGTAGGGGTCTGAATTTTATAAGACACCTGCCTGAAATGGGTATAATATCCATAATTACCTTCCTGGCCAGATCCAAGTTGGCTTCTGCGATAGACAACTTCCTGAGAGCATCTGTCAGCTCCTGGCGGAAAGTAAGAAATGACAAGAATGTTACGAAAATCTGCAAGACAGTGTGGACAGTTACGAGACCCTTCTGATGTCCAACTCAAACTTCTTCAATCAATCAATCAATCAAAATCTTGAATTCTTCCCAACACATACATGTACACATTTTGAATTATTGTGTATGGGTGGATGGAGGTCTCCAAAAAGCATGAGCTTGTCGAGTGGCGAACCCGCTGTATGAAATGAACAAAGAACAATTACAATTACAACAACAGAAGTTAAATAACAAAAACAAAAAATTGGTACAGAGCTAGTAATACGAATTAAAATTATAACTATTTGGTCTTACAAAAAGGAGATTATGCAACTCCCGACACCAAGTTTTCTACGAACAAATTACTTTGCGGTTCCTACCTGTTGTATTTGCCTGATCTCCTGGTCTCTCTGGCTCCTGTTGTGCTCTGAGCGTTGTAACTCCTCCTTGAGTCTGCCGATGTTATCAGATGACGTGGAAACCCTCTCGTCCCACACGCTGCGTGTCTGTCAGTGAAAAAGTTTTACAAATATTGACTCTCATTCCTCGTTTACTTACTCTGAACTGTCAGATATGCCTTTCAGATAAAACAATGACAGAACAAAGGTCAGGTGAAAACACAATGCAGCCCACAGAGACCACTTATTGTAATTGGCAATAAAAATAGAGATAGTGAAAAACTGTTTTTACCCCAGCAAAAAAAAGAGTCATCAAATTTAGGACGACAAGCCTACCCAATTTTGAAAATAATTTGTTATCTTTATCCAAGACAAACAGACAGGACCCAGTTTCACGGCGCTGCTTAACAGTTAGCAGAAAAGTTGTGCTTAGCATAGCAGACAAATGTGCTATCCCTAAGCACTATTTCACGGCGTGGACGTGGTAACAGTCGCGCCTGCATGGAGATTTCTATTGTAAGGTCACTACGCTAAGCAATTTTTTCACTGAGGTAAGCATGCCTTTTGCTGCGCTTACTGCTTATGGTGTCCATGAAATGGACAGAGGCTCTGTAAGCAGAAAATCGTGTGCTTAGCAGCGCCGTGAAATTGGGCCCTAGTCAGGTACAACAGAAATGTTCATTTTGGGTACATTGGCAGTGCATTCGGTGTCTTCACAACATCACACGTCTGCATTACTTCTCTCATGCTTCATTTTGAGCCAATTCAATTGGTGATTTACATGTACGTTTCGGTACATTGCGCTTTATTCTCTGAAGACTCTATAAATTCAGAATGCTGGGGCGGTTCCGGGCTTTACAAGGAGTAATGTGGGGTGCTGGGGTCCAATGGTTACGGTGTTCGACTCGTGTGCCGTGGTACATGGGTTCGAATCCTGACCGTGGGAACATGGTGCTTGCGCTCCTGAGCAAGGCGCTTTACCATTAATGCTTCGTCCTTCGGATGGGACATAAAGCCGTAGGTCCCGTGTGTTGTGTAATGCACGTTAAAGAACCCAGTAACACTTATCGCTAAGAGAAGGGGCTCGCCCCGGTGTTTCTGGCAGTGGCTGCAATATGCGCCACAGCACCTTGTCAACCCTTATAAGGTGCTACATAATGGGTCTCATAATTCTCACAAACTCAATTTACCTTTCTTTAATAATAGAAATAATTTCCAGCGCCTTGAGTACCTAATTATTGGTAGATAAGTGCGCTAAATAAGACTCCAGTATTATTATTATTATTATGTGCAGGGCGGTTTGGGGCGGTACAGTTAAAAGGTTTAATCAGCCCTGGCAGTGCTACTGTTCAAATACAGAAATGCGAGAGGCAAAGGCGAGGTCTGGCACTCACCCTGTCGTTCTCGGCTTGCAGAGTCTTGAGTGTGTTGCTGAACTTCTCCTGGGCCTCCATCAGATCCTTGTCTCGTTGCGTCTTCTCCTGTTGAGCGGTCTCCAGGGAGCGCCGCAGCTTGGATATCTCGCTCTGGGAATCGTTCAGCCTGTAAGGCAACCGTGAAACAGAATTGCCATCACGGAAACACAAGTCATCAAAAATTAAAGCGTATAATTGTGTTAGATTCTGAATAAAATTTTCACTGCGACAATCTTTATCAGCCGTGCAACTGTAAAGTCACAAAAGAGGAGGAAATTTCACAGACTCTGAATAGTGTTTTCCGATTTTTAATGGCAGACATGGGAACAAAACAAGGGCTAATCAACTACTCTGAGGAAAAGCTCCATATAATACCTGCTTTTTGAAAATGCACATACCTTTCCATCAAGGATTCCATTCTTGCTGATATCTTATAGTTGTCCTCCTGAGAAAAGAAATTGAATCATCAGAAAATTGTTGGTTACAAACTTCACTGCATAACCAAATTTTACAGTTTTTCACATGTTTTCATTGATACAACAAAAATAGACAATAAACACAAAAACAAACTTAAAAATGGTGACAGATAATGACATCCCAATTCTTCAAACAAAACAGAGAACATACAGAATAAACAACTGTTAATCCCTCCCTCTCTGGCTGGCAATTTCAACAAGGCCAGCCCAGCAGTCAAAATAAATCAAGTGACTGTTTTTTAACAGTTGAGTGCTCCCTGCCTTCATGAAGCAGGATTGACTGGCTGTGATTGCTATGAAACCTGATACAGCTTTGCTTTGACTGTAGGAGATTGATAAGCCAGCTGTGCCTACCAGTTGCCCGCTTTTGTCTATTGGTGGAATTTGATTGTCACAGTACCTACACGATATGATCCAACTGTTGGTGCCTAGCCTGTGTAAAAGGCATGGCAGGGAAACAGGATTGGATTTTTGACTGTCTGTGACTGATCAAACAAAAAGAGGGTTAAAGGTATATTTAAAAATGGTTGCTTTTAGCAAAAGCATTATTGAAAGAGCAAAGCACTACATGATATGCAAACCCTCATCCAAGTATTGGGGACATCTCAACCAATGTGAAAGCCATATGCAACCTGAATTTATGTACAGTCCCACGTTATACAAATAATGAATGTTTGTGGTGCAATGGTAAGAATAATTTCATGAGGTCACAGATGAAATGTTTCATTCCACGAGGTGAAGCCGAGTGGAATGGAACATTTCATCTGTCACCGAATGAAATTATTCTTTCCATTGCACGAAAGTGAAACATTCATTATTTGTTTTATATAACACCTGAATAAATCCTTGTCATCTGATTGGTTGACTTTTAATAGCCAATTTATTCAGGTCAAAAGCTGTTTAAAAGTTCTACAAGTTCATCATATTTATATTAATACTGGAAACTGTACAACAGGTTGAGAACAATCATCGATTTAAAACAGCGCCACCACCGGCAGCAGTGACACCGTGCAATGGAAGTTCTATTCACTGTGCAATAGAACTTCCATTGCACTGCGCGCTGCGCGCCACGTGCGCGCTGGTACGAGTAATTCAATGACATGTGATCAACAATCCACCAATCAGATGACGGGGATTTATTCAGGTGTTGTATAATTTACATTAATACCTTTTCCTTTTGCAGCAGGGTGTCGTGCGAGCTCTGGTGCGTGTTGCGACTGTCTAGCTCTCGCTGTAGGGACGTGAGTTGATTACTGCGCTCCATGAGCGAAGTACCGGTTACCTGAAGCTGGTAACCCGCCACCCAAAACCCAGCGAATGAGAGACGGCAGCGAGAGGGAGGAGGAGCAAGGGTTTGGAGGAAAATAACAAAAGAGAGGAAATGATGATGGAGGAAGTGAATCCCGGATGAAGTAAAGATGGATGAAGATCAACTTGTGAAACTGCTCGCCAAAATGAAACGCCTTCAAAGTCGAACCAAAGTAAAGAGTTAAAGCTATAGTCCATCATTTGCAGCCATCCGAAAAGTAACTGGCGTAATTATTGTTGAAAAACATACTTGGTTGAAAGATAGTAAGGGGACTAAACTCCCTGTGAAATTATTCTTTCTGGCATGTCTGGCAAGCTGTCATTTTGAAGTAATCAACGAAAGAAGGCCTTTCCAACGGTGCATCTTAAGACGCACCGTAGGAAATTTAAATTAGTAGTTCGTTTTGTTATTCGGCGAAGCGCGCGCAAACATTGGCACGACGCACACACACGCGCAGTTGCTATAATTTGTTGGATCAGTGCCCGACATCGCGTATATAGACTCTGCATTTCGAAACAATTCAAAACATGATTCAGCAACTTTTGATTTGAAATTGAGATCCTAGAATGCTGTTTTTCTCGGAATATACAGCTGAAGCTGAGCTGAAACTTCATCAGGTTAGTTGTTCAGTATCCTTCATTAGATTTTGAACACTTTTGTTGCTTCAAGCGAACAAAATGCACAAATTACAAATGATGGACTATATCTTTAAGAATTGTTTCAAAGTTGAACAAAGAAATTGACTGGAGCCGAGTTTGTACAAAGGCATAGACAAATTGGGGCACCCCCTACGTAGGGCTGGATAGCTCAGTTGGTACATTGTACAGCACTGGAACGGCAATCTGGAGGTCACAGGTTCAAACCCCGGTCCAGTCAATTTATTTGTTCAACTCTGAACAAAAAATATTATAATGTACCTAGTCAGTTTCCCTTTGTGGTTGATTTAAAGATTAAGATTTTTTGTTATTTGTAAGAAAAAAAAATATCCAGATCCAATTTTTTTGGGAGTAAAAAACAAGCAGATTTATGACACCTCTTTCTGTTCAGACTGTTTCCAAAAAGTTAAAGTTTCGTGAATCATACATTTAAAAACCTCTCCAGTAAACATGTGAGAGGTTACTTTATAGCTGTTCTCCGTCAAAATGGGAACTGTAATGTCAAATTGGCAATAAGGTGGACATTTTACCAAGTGATCATACATGCAATTAATCTTTTCGAAATGTAAATAAAGTGGACAGTTTTTCAAAATTTTGCAGATGAATTCTTGAAATTTGACAGATTCCTACCATGACAAATTTGGCAGTCATCTTTTTTTTGTGAAAAAAATTTACTTTGCGTTTGCATTCATAGGAAATATGACCTCATGTTTTTGGAAAGAATGCCGTTAATAAAGCACAATTACAAAGCAGCATTTGCACCCCAAAGCAAAAAAACTTATCGAATGACAAATGTAGAAGAATGGAGCAACCCTTGCATATGTGTGAACATTATGCTGTATTGCATATAAACATCGCAAAAAAAAGAAAGTTCCCACTAATTGGAGGGGTCATAATTTTGAATCTGATCGTCTAATGATAACGTCATTTATATACCTTTGGGGAATGTTGTTAGGTACGTTTTGATACCCAGTTTGCTACCAAAGACTGTAAATCGTCCAACGGTTTATGAAAAAATGATGCAGTTTGAAACGTTGCAAATTTAAAGAGTACACGAGTGGAAATTGCTGCGTGACAATGTTACACTGCCCGAAACGAACAGCCCGGAATACTGATCGCACAGTGCTTGCAAGCATATGGGAGCAGGCGAATTGAAATGTTCTCCTCGTGTAAGGCCAAAAAAAAAAAATATTCGGTCTCTGGTCAGACCAAAGTTCCAGAATTGATGCGGCGACACAGTTTTTTTTGGGGGGGGGGGGCTTTTTTTTTTTTCAAGCTTGGATTGTACAGACAAGGTGGGTACTATTTTGCTTTTGTTGTGTCCTCATATACATTGGGGTCCTCCATAATTTGCCTTGGCGCCCTCCATCATTTGCCTTGGTGCAATTTCCCCATCCCTTGGTACAAAAATTTGAGGAGGTGCGGCAATAGAGGGTGCTGCTGTAGCTACCGCGGACAATTTAAAGAAAAAAAAAAGGTTGACGCGCATGATTTAAATGAATGCCCGCGCTGACCAGAGACCGACTAATTTTTTTTTGTGGCCTAATCATTAAATTTGCAACTTTTTAAACTGCATAATTTTTTTATAAACCATTGTCAATCTTGGATGATGTACAGTCTTTGGTAGCAAACGGGGTATCAAAATGTAGCTAACAAAATTCCCCAAAGGTTTATATAAATTACGTCATCATAAGACGATCAGATTCAAAATTATGACCCCTCCAATGTGTGTGGACTTTCTTTTTAGCGGTGTTTACATGTAACATGCTGTTGCATACAGAAATATAAATTTGTTTCAAAGATTTTCCATCAATTACAGAAAAAATGCCTCACCTCTTTTTCAAGGTTGCGGAGTTTGCTTTCGATGGAAGTGTATTTCTTGTTTGCTACCTGAAAAAATAACAAGAAAAAACATTTTAAAAAGGTAAAAGAAGAGGCCCAAATAATAAGTAAATTTAACAGTAGAACGTGCCTAGAGAGAATCTTAAAGGTGCGTAGAATAATTTACTTTTTGTGCACTTTTTTTTTTACATAACAACCTGTTGAAGATTCAGCTCAGTGGCGCACCCAGGATTTGGTTTTGAGGGGGGGGGTTCAAAAAAAATGTCCCAACATTTTTGGCCGCAGAAAAAAATGGGGTTTTTTTGAGGGGCGGCCTATTTTGACGTTGGTGGCACCACTTACACCCCTATTATACTACTCGAAAACAGGCCACATTCATATCACCAAGGCAAAATCGTGGGACTAAAAAAAAAAAATTTGACAACCTCTTGGGGGGGGGGGGGAGGGGGAGGGGCTCAAGCCCCGCCTCCCCCCCCCAGGGGCCCCCCCCCTTGGGTGCACCACTGATTCAGCTGAGTGGATACAGTACATACGTTTTAAGAAAACAGAAAATGTGCGCACATTTTTTGGCGTCTCATAACTGGATTCCGTTGCTAACGCACATAAAAACAAATGTGCCCATTAGCACCTAAACCACCTACAATGTTGGTTTTCTTCCACATGATATTATTTTAGGTGGGATAATTTCACAGGGTATTTGATACCACTCTCGTCTTCACTTTTAGCAAGGTTTCTGTTCTTACTTCGTTTGGTAATTTTTGGATAATTGCAAAAGTTCCTACATGGCTTTAAAGGCACTCCAGTACATGCGTATTACAAACAGTGCCCAAGCATTAATTGAAGTCCCCCCAAAAAATAAAAAAATAAAAATTGTTATCACCATGGTACTACCTCTTGGTCAAAGAATTGGTCGTCACTCTTTATTTTAATTGAAATCATGACAAGCACATGTACGTGTTCCGTAACAATAATGAACCAAACATTCACATATTTGGCTGAGCCTTTGCACCTACCAGTGCAGCCTCCCTGAGTGCGATGACTTCTGCTTCCAGTTTGTCCCGTCCTCGACTCCACTCCTCTCTGTCCCTCTGGAACGACCTGGCCAAAATCAAACACAACGATGAGTCCTCAAATTTAGATTTAGAGAAACGATCAAAAACTCCTAGTCCTGTAATCTTATCTCCTTGACCATTACCAGATGATGGCTGTACAAGATATTGTAGGGAGACCGAGTGCGCCCTCAGTTGTTGTACGTCCAAAAGTTTGGCAAGTGATTTGCATATTTTCATGAAACACTTTGATTTGCATAATGTGACCTTTGTGCTTCCCGCGCAGAGGCAACTTATAACAAGTTTTCTTCTGCGGGCTTCGAGCAGAGAAGACCGATATAAAATTGTCTCTGAAAATTCTCTCATTTTTGTAGGGAGCATGGCTCCTACCATGCTCCTGAGGTATATCACTGTGGGAGGGTAATTTCATAGAAAGCTCCCAGTGAGTATTGCTCTGTTTTATTATCTTTTTTTTTGGAGAGAAATTGTGTATTTTCGGGATGAGACATGATTCGTTGCGTTGTAGTTTTGTACTATGAAATAGTGTGTAGCGTATATACAGCCATGTGTTGAACTTTGACACACACAATGTATGTACTGTCATATTTAGTCTATTGTGCATAGGGACTTGAATGCTTGAACTTGAAGTCTTGTCCGAATAAATTTGTTGAAGTTCAGGAAATCATAGTCGTCATCTTAGTGATTGTATATTTTGTTTGCACGAACACTCGTCCGCTTTAATTAGAGGACCGTTCCTCCTTTATTGACGTGGGAATTGATATGAAAAAGACATTTTTAGGTTTATTCACTAAGTCTTCAAAAGCTCTATCATGGACATTACATAAGGTGGACATCGTTGACATTGAATTATTTGTACTCTTCAATCTTTAGAAATGAACACTCACCTTTCTAGCTCACTCCGTGCCTGCTGTGAACTCTCCAATTCTTGGGATGTCGACTGCAGCCTTCTGTCCACAGACTCAAGCTGGAAACAAAAGATTGAAGGTTTTGTATAGCAGCGTTAACAAACTTGGATACTTTGTGAATACTGCACATGGAGTGACTCAACTTTACCAAGGGTGTGGTTCTATACTTCTAGTTCTTCTTTATATGTGATGCGATCGAGCTAAAGGAGTCGTTTGTCGACCCTGGTCAAAAAAAATTTATTACAGATTTGAAACGAGCACAATCTCAGCATTTCTGCTTTGAAAACCGCACGCTGATACCATTTTTAGGTCAAAACTTATGGAAGTCGGAACACCAAGAGATGTGATGAAGTGATGTGATGAAGTGGCTTTATCTTGGCCTGTATCTCCAATTAAAAATTCCCGACAAACGACTCATTTAGCTTGATCGCATCACAGAGGATAACAACCCCGACCAAACTGCTGGATTCTGCTGGATCCAAAGAGCCAGCCTCTGACTGACTGAGTCACTCCGAAAGCATATTTATCAAACAAAATAGGAGGTAGTATTTTATATTTTTTTCTCTAAATGTATCATTTTTTTGGAGCTCTACAAAATGAGCTATAATATGAAAGTCAGACTTTTTAAGAATTAAGATTATTTATTTGGATTCTGCAGAACAAGAGCTTTCCAATGGCATCCAACATTAAAGGGAATATACATCATTTGCTTTTGCTGCAATTTTCAGAAATGGATGGAATTGGGGGGTTGGAAATATATAGCAAATATAGTTACACTGACTTTTTTGAGGTTTTGGGTTTGAAAATGCTATAAAAACCAAGAAAAACAATCATTTTCCTGTAATCTGGTTCCCTGACTCCATATAAGAAGAAACAGAGCAGTTTACATACATTGGGGAATTGTAAGGTAAGGGAACCAGTCTAGCTGGCTTGTACCCGTTCATAGGTGTGTAATCGATTGCAAACAAGTGCGATGGTCAATTGGGGCCAGTATTTGAAAAAAAGCCAGTTTTTTTTCCAATGCTGGTTGGCCGACCAGCGTTGGAAATTGATACAAAAATATAACTTTCTAGAAAATGACAGTATACCAGGTGCCATGATTTTACAGGATGCTTTACACTGTCATTCCCTAACAGTCCAGCAAGGTATTTCAAAATGATTTGGTAGTTTTATTTTTTGATGATTGCAAATGTTGTATTTTCCCTTTAAGGGGTACTGAGTTCAGTAATGGAAATATAGACCACCAACTTTATACTTAAAGTTATAAAGCTGATTCTCGACAAAATGGCATTTCAGTGTCCTGCAGTTGTACGTGTTACAGTGAATGAGCAATCTACTAATTAAACCGGATGAAAGCAGGTTTTAAAGATGTTTGACAGAACAAAAGCATCGGAGAAAGGTAAAAGAGGACTTATACATGTAGATCAAGATTCACCTGGAAACAAACAATTGACCACCCTTCAAATTTTGGCCTTGCTATACTGCAAAATGACAATTTCCAACTTAAAGCTCATTCTGTGCTGACAGGTCACATATCGTCACTGACACCACGAAGTAACACTCTACCGTGTTAAACCATATTTTTGTCGATTTTCAGTTTTTTGGATTTTTAAACATTATTCATCAAGGCCTACCATTGCACGAAGTTTCAAAGCTTCAAGAGCTTTACTCTAATAATTACGCTAAGTATCCATGGCAACTTTTGCGCAAGAGTGACAATTTTCGTTTTCACGAAGTAACACTCAAGTTCCATTTACCATTGCAATGCATGGCGCGCACTCTGCTCATAAGTGAGCAAAAACGTTTTCACGAAGTAACACTCTTCTTGTAATAAGTTGTATGAACGCGCGTGCGCTGACCTGAAGTTGCACTTTCCTTGTGTTGTATACATTGGAGAGTGTTACTTCGTGGAAACGAAAATTTACAATTTTGCAGCTTTTTCGGTTTCACAAACTGACACTCATCTTTTTTCTCTTATTTCTTGTTTATTTAACACACAAACGGGTGAAAAAACAGCAGATTTAATAAATTCATTTCATCAAGTGTCCACAATGAGAAACCCAACTGAAAATACTCTGTCGTTTTGACGCAAAATGTTGTTTTAGAAGGCGTTCAACTTTAGATGCCGTTTTCTCCGATTGCTAGTTTTTACCGGTATGTACATGAGTGTTACTTCGTGGTGTCGGTGACGATATGTTGTGTAATGCAGAAGGAAACCAACTGTACCTTTGTCTGTAACTTATCGGCTTTGTTCATTTCTTTCTCCACGGCGCCATGCAGCATGGCGTTCTCAGTCTTGACGGCCATCAGCTGAGAGTTGAACGCCATCGTTGCGTGGGCCAGGGCTTCCTCACTCACTCGCTGAAGCAGAGCAGGGAAAATACCAAAAATGCTAAGTATTTCAAACTTTTAATGGCAATGGACACCTTTTGCAAACATTCAAAAATGAAACCGTCAAACCATCATGAAATACCCTACTGGATTGTAAGTTAATAATTAGGATCAAGCAAATTGTGAAATCATCGCGCCTAGTATACAGGGTGTCCCCCCAAAAATGCTCCACTCTCCTTTTTTTTACAAATTCAAGCAAACCTGAATGCATACATTTTCTTATTATGCATGGTAAGAATGCTATGTGTCTTGGTTGTTATCTACCCAAAAAAATGGATCATACTATCAATCCACTAGGGACAGAAATGCTTAAATATGAACTCGCCTCCATTTGCCAACTGCACTGGGGACTCAAATCACCAATTTTAAAATGTCAATTTTTGTCAAGTGTGCTTTTCAAAAATTCTACTTGGTATCTATTATGAAAGACCAGTCATCAGTCGTTATCAAGCATACCAGAGAAATCCAACCAACCATGGCATTGTCCATTTATTGGACTTTGACTAAAAATACCTATTTGTAAACCCACCACACGTAACAATTGTTCACCTATGGCTGAAAGTCCCCAGTGCAGTTGGCAAATGGACGCGAGTTCATATTAAGCATTTCTGTCCCTAGTGGATTGATAGTATGATCCAATTTTATTGGTAGATAACAACCAAGACACATAGCATTCTTACCATGCATAATAAGAAAATTTATGCGTTCAGGTTTGCTTGAATTTGTAAAAAAAAGGAGAGTGGAGCATTTTTGGGGGGACACCCTGTACTGTCATTTTTGAGAAAAGAGGAATTACCATTACTTCCTCGTGAAGGTTATTGGACCAAACTGTCGCACTTTCAACATAAAAACAAAAAGAAAGATGTAATTTTACAGTTTTCTCAAAAAGTGTGCCATCTACCGCTGGAATTTCGACAGGTTTGTTTTTCAATATTAACCTGCTTCAGATTTATTGTATTGTAAGTCCTTAAATCAGCCAATCGTGTCTATTACCTTGAAGCAATAGTTTGTGCTTATAAGCTCTGTGGAATTTGGCTCTGAGCTTCATATCATAGACTCTTAAAGGGAATATACATCATTTGCTTTTGCTGTAATTTTCAGAAATGGACGGGGGGTTGGAAATATATAGCAAATATAGTTACACTGACTTTGTTGAGGTTTTGGGTTCGAAAATGCTATAAAAACCAAGAAAAACAATCATTGTCCTGTAGTCTGGTTCCCTGACTCCATTTAAGAAGAAACAGAGCAGTTTGCATATATTGGGGAATTGTAAGGTCAGGGAACCAGTCTAGTTGGCTTGTACCCGTTCATAGGTGTGTAATCGATTGCAAACAAGTGCGATGGTCAACTGGGGCCAGTATTTGAAAAAAAGCCAGTTTTTTCCAACGCTGATCGGCCGATCACGTTGGAAATTGATACAAAAATACCACTTTTCTTGAAAATGACAGTATACCAGGTGCCATGATTTTACAGGATGCTTTACACTGTCATTCACAAACAGTCCAGCAAGGTATTTCAAAATGATTTGGTAGTTTTATTTTTTGATGTTTGCAAATGTTGTATTTTCCCTTTAAATAAATTTGGTGCCAATGTTTGGCATACGTCACAGGTTTTACAAGGATGCTATGGGGCCCTTGACATTTTGATTGATATATTTGAGGCAACATTACAGGGTTCCAAGCATTTTATAAATAACAAAATTCCACAAGTTTTCGCTTATATTTCCCTGAGAAATTTTCAAAATTCCACAGGAGCTATTTTCACGTTAATGAGGTTGCTTGGAAGTCAACCGGTGGTGGTGTTACTGTCTGGAGAGGTGTGTAATATTCACACTGAATAAACACTAAAAAGCCACCATAGCCAGTCAGTCAATGGACACAACTTAGACCCATGGCACAGACGCACATGCGCCAAACTGGCAAAAAAACTTTCACTTCTGGGTCACTGTCAAATTTCCCCGAATTTTCCTAATTGTTTGTGATTTTTCCCAAATTCCCTGAGTTTTCCCCGACAGGAAGAATGGAAACTCATTTTCAAGGTTTTCCCTAATTTCCAAAGTGGCTGGGAACCCTGCAGTATACAAACACATGCATACCAACACATGCAACCAATTTGACACCTCGTGTGTAAAAAAACCCCCTAAAATCCTGTATTAGCACATGAGTTGCATCACTGGGCTAAGCGAGAAATATTGGCTAAGGTTTCTGCGATAACACCATAGAGCTATATTAAATTACTAGAGCGCTAACTCGATGTACAAAGTAATGCCTGATGGGCGCATCCTTGTTTGTACACACAAAATTTTGTACGGCTTTTGTACGGCTAATTGCATATCTGCATTTGTATTCCATACAGGTGCGTTATCAAAGCCGATACGCCCAAAACCGAAACGAACGATCATCAAATGAGCATGTCATTTTGCTCTACGCAAACAGCGCAACGCGTGTGCGTATTCGCTGCATATGCTTTTTGCCGTGACGTTTTTTGAACTGTCATGACGCCCTTAAGTTGTTAGCATATGTTCTACCTGCCTGTTGCATGTAGAGTACACTTTCAAAATTCCATCCATCTAATTTCATTATGTTCTACAAACACGCACATGAATTCAAAATGCCTGCGCCCAGAGCGGCTTCAAAGCTTCTCTGCGCGCAAGAATGAGGAGTTAGCGCTCTAGTTATTTAATATAGCTCTATAGGTAACACTCATACTCGTTTCCTGATCCCATAGGGTTCTTCAAATCCCAAAGTGGAACTTTTTATGTGCCAGCGCCGAGCACGAAGCCCTTACGGCGTGGGGTCCGGGGCCTACTTTAAAGGGCCTCGGGAAATTTTGGATTCTAGATGCTCTGTGGTGCAATCTGAGGCATTTCCTGGCCACTTTCCTCCGACTGTAAGAATCAAAGTTGCTCATGTTAACAACTTGAAGACAAGATTTTTTAGGGGGATGGGGGTGGGTCATCAAAATTTAAAAAAAATTCAATTCTGTTTTTTTTTTTTTTGAGCCAAACTTGTCACCGAGTGGAGGGTTCTTTCGAACCCCCCCCCCCCAGCTTACGGGCCTGACACCGTTAGCCTAGATTGGTGATCCTAAGCCATGTAAGCACACACTTATGCGGTTTGCAGGACTATGAACCTTACTGGATACATATGCCACTCAACGATTTCGAGACACTACTCACGATTTCGTTCTTGAGTTCCTCTATCTTGTTGGTAAGTTCCTCATTTTCTGATGTCAGCATACCCTGGTCGTCCCGATGTCGCATCCTCTGTCGCTCCAGCTCCACCTGAAATCATTCAATTCAATTCACAACGAAATGTTACAACTGCATGTTTGGATGGATTATGAAAACTGTGCAGTTTGTGATACAAACTTTTTGTTGGTAGACAATTTTCTACCAACAGGGAAATTCCCATAAATATTTGGCAGACTACAGGCTAAAATTTCCATAAGTAAATCACAAGCTTGATACCAAATTGCAAATCTAAAAATAACCAGTAGTTGCAACTGGCCCCTTAAAAGTACAAATACATGTATTCAAGTATTTTTTTACTACTAATAATAATAATCGGCAATGAGAACGCTCTTATTAGTAAACTAAATCACAGCGCTTACAGTATTATTATTACCCCTGATCACTGGGCCAATTAAACACTCCAAATACCATCTCAGCTCCCTGGGGAGTATACAGGGAGTATACTAATAAACAGAGGGCTCTACAATGCTGCAATTTGGGGGACAGAGAGACGAAACGAATGCATTTCAAATTCATGAATTGAGGAAAAAAAGGTTAAATTACCAATTGTAAACATCATCTGATATCTTCATTGGTGACTTTTGACCTTAATGAAAAAGTGTATCGGACAGCATTGACCAATGGCTCATTTGACCTTTGACCTACCCTAAGTGCATTGAGTTCTGTCTTGAGTCGGTCGCTCTGGTTGAGCACGTTCTTGCGGCTCTCGTCAGCAGCTTCAAGACGGCTGACCGCTTCAGCCTATGTTGATCAATTGGAAGGATGGAAATCAGTAAAAACTTCATTGTCATATGCAACATTGAGCTTAACCACTTCACGTCGGATGACATGTATACAAGCAAAGGTTTTGCGATAACCTCCTCTACTCCTCCAGCTTTGTCTTCACCTTCGCTGAAGAATTATTGAGTAGCCTTTAGACAAATCTGATTACTTTTTTTTTTTAATTGTGATTGGCCTTAGCTTTGAAGTTGTGTATCTTTGTGAAGCGCCTTGAGCATCTCTTAGGCGGACTTTGGTGCTATATAAATGTTCACTATTATCATTTAATGTAAAAACCGAAAGAACATACTCTGAACATTGGCCTCACATAGTAGAATTCAATATTTCTCAAGCACACCGTGGACCCATATTGAGCCAAAGTTCCCTGCAAAAAGCCCCTTAAACTCTCCTCGAGCACAGGTTGGAACTAAGCCATGGTTAAGCAAGAAAAGCCCCCAAAAAATTTGACGTACCTTTTCTGCAAAGAATCTTGAGGTTTCCTATGAACATAAATAAAGAAAGCAATAAGAAAAAAAAAAAATCAAAAAAATGAACAAAAGCAAACAAATGACTTTTAATACCGACTTACCCTATCGGTTGTTGGCATAGTTTTAAGAATATGGAACATGCAGAGTTTTGAGTTTTTGGAAAAAAAATAATTCTACAATGTCAAAGCACATTATTGGACATTCTGTTTCTGACATCTTGGCCTACCTGATGTAAGACACCTTGGGCATGGAGTTGATCCTGAACCAGTTCCTCCTGCAGTGCCCTGGCGTGTTTCTCGTGAAGGAGTTGAGAGCGTAGCTCGTCGCGTTCCTCCTCAAACTATACAGGACAATTCACATCAATGATTCAAAATACCACCAAGATGTCTTTCACCGCGTTCCCACATGAATTGGGGAAAGGTGGATAAAGATCCGGCATTTTGGTGTGATCGTTATCTTACCGCAACGAAACCGCAAGTCGCGTTCCCACTTATGCTTGATCCACCTTTTTGAATGGAAATGTCGAGTCCGAAAGGTCACTGAGTTCGGAATTACGCGCGCTCTGTGGGAGTGCCAGTGTTGCATGCTAGGCCAGGACGGGTCAGTTTTCAAACAGCGCTATCAGAATTCACCGACAAAAATTACGCGAATTCACCGACACAAATCACGGATCCGTAGAGGATCCGTGCGTGCATAAATTAACTGGTGAAATCGAACAGCGCCGCTCACTGTGTGACATCACGGCAGAAACCAATGCATCGATAAGGGATTCCCTGGTTCTGAAGCTTCTCATTGGTTAAAAATGGTCACATAATGTACTACGACATCATTTTCCAATTTTCTATAATCAATACCACAGATTTGTCACCTCCGTACGTACCGCGTTATCGGCACTATTCTCATGGCATACTCGTAAGCTTTTCCATGATTCTGTGCCAAAGCGAAGTGTTTGGGTGAGTGCGGACTCAGAGTCATTTATGGATGGAAAAATAAGTAAAACTTCACGAGTGAAAAAGGTTTAGAAATGGACGAATACGCAACGAAAATTATAAAAGGCCTAGTGTAGTTTTAGGATATACCACGTGCGCTGCATGCATGCATTGTGCATGCGCGGTGCTAGCCCGTAGTTCAGCGGTTGTTTATTGTGCGTAGTTCAGCGGTTGTTATTTTCACATGAGCTACACGCCTGAAAACGTGTTTCTTTGTTCATAAGACCGCAACATTTTCGCGCTTCTCGTGCACCGGGCGGATGTTGACAGGTCAAATTGCCGGATCAGATCCACCTTTTGCGTTCCCATCTGATCGTGATCCGCCAATTGCCGGATCTGATCCACCAATTGGGGGATCTGTATCCTGGTCCAGAGGTGGATCAGAAAAGGTGGATCTGATCCTGATCCACCTTACAACGGTTAGCATTCCCACTACACACAATTGCCGGATCTGATCCACCAATTGGGGGATCTGATCCGGCAATTCGGCAAAAGGTGGATCAGATCCCCCAATTGGTGGATCAAGTGGGAATGGGGTCTTTGTCTGAATTGTCAATCCAATCAATCACAGGTCAATCATGATTGAACTACAAGTCAAATCATAGAATGCACTTGAGACTTGATTTGATTACTTGTGATTTGCTTGTGACTGACTTGTGATTGAGATGTGATTGACTTGTGATTGACTTGTGATTGACTTGTGATTGGCCTGTGATTGACTTGCAACTGACTTACATAGGTAACAGGAGATCATCCCTGACAAAAAAATTCTCTGAGACTTAATATGAGTACTTGTGATTGACTTGTGATTATCTTGTGATTGACATGTGATTGATATGTGACTGAGCTGTGATTGATATGTGACTGACTTGTGATTGACATGTGATTGATTTATGATTGACAGTGCAATTGATGTATGACTGAGTTGTGATTGACTTGTGACTGACTTGTGATTTAATAGTGATGCCTGATGGTGAGTTTTTATCAAGAATGATAATATTGTAACTTGTAGAAAAGCGATTACGATTTGAAATCAGACAATAACAAAGCAGCAGCACTGGAAAGACGGGCTGTGGTGGGAGCGGAGCCAGTGATCCCAACTGTGTATAATTTGAGGAGGTGACCACTGGCAAATGCCTATGCCTAACGAATGAATGAATGAATACAAGCAAATCCCATTTCTGAGCAGTGTAATATTGAGTCCATCACAAGTCCAGCCACAAGTAAGGCCCCTTTACACAGGGCTGCGACCTTTGTACCACTTATGAGAGACCAAAAAATGGCCAGGACGCTCAATGGTCGCCTAAACCCAGAAAATCCTGTTTCCATGTAACTGCTCCAGCGATCCTCGTGCCTCCCTTGAACCACCAAAACTGCAATTTTCGGGTGTTTTCATGTTGTGCTAAGAGCGACCTGTGCGTCCACTGAGCCACTTGCCTGCCTCCCCTGTGCTTCCCCTGTGCAACCTACGGCCATGGTGGCTCAAGGGTTGCCGTGGCCGTAGGTTGCACACAGTCATCATTCAATGCACGCCATTGGTCGGCCAAAGGAGGCACAAGGGAGGCAGAAGCATCGCCCAGATTGACGGTGAAAATCACAGTTCATTTGAATAGCTAGTGACTTGACTTGAGACAGAAGGACTTGTGATGGACTTGTGAGGACTTGTGTGTGATGGACTTATGGACCCGACTACACTGTTTCCAAGTCATCCTTGAATTTTAGGACCAAACGTCGGTTATTTGTTTACCTGTCTGGCGAGATTCTGAGCTGTGCGCAACTCCAGGCTGACATTTCTGGATCCCAACTCAGCCTTCTGCTTGGCTTCAATTTCACTGGAGAAAACAAACCCAAAACAAATTAGAAATGACATCAGCCATAGAAGACAAAATGCTCGAGTTTTCCAACATAATAACTGCAGTGACCCTTGCCTTCATAGCATTATTACACAACGTTCCAATGCACAGGAAAAACTTGCAGACAATATCAAGTCAGCACAGAGGTTGACTTTTCTTTGATGTGAGTCACTGAAATCAGTGCTAATGCTCTCAGTCAGCTTCATATTACAGAGTACAGGCACGCAACTTGGAAGAAACCAAAAAACGAGGAAACTCCAATCTTTACAAGACTCTGTACAGTGTCTTTTCAATTTTCAATGGCATAAACTTGTGAAGTGAAAAACGATGAAATCAGCTTATCCGAAGAAAAGTTGCATGCCTGTAAGCACTGGACCAAGTCCCCCTAAATCCATCAATCACACTGCTTCCAATGCAGGCTTTGTTTTAAGCCTCCAGGCCCAAGTCCATCATACTCCATCAACATTTAGTCAAACCAGGCCTGCAGGACCAAGTCCCCCAAATCCACCAAAATGGGGGGGGGGGGGGGGGGGGGGGGGGGCGGGATGGATTTTGATGGAGTTGGAGAGATTAGGGTTAAAACAAACATTACAATTAGGAGGCTCTTACAGTGCATACTGTTCTTCTTTCCGTTGGAGTTGTTCTTTAGTCTTGTCAAGTATGACTTCGGCATTGTGTCTCTTTTCCAACTCCTGGCTTAACTCATGTCTAAAGAAATCAAACACACAGAAATACCATACATATTGTTAACAACCAAGTAAAATGTGGGGAAAAAACTTGCAAAATTGGGACAAAAACTTCTGTAAGGCTTTTCACACTAGAGCCTCTCAGCCCGGGTTGAACTCAACCCTGGGTGAACCAGTGCCACCCCGGGTTGAGTTTTATTATTTTTCAACCCCGCGTTCAACACTGCGTCGTTTCACATTTGTTTCATGCAAATCAAGCTTATCGTGCTCAGTTACTACTTTTTTGAACCCTGGGAAGAATTTTAATCCGGGTTTAGAATCTCAACCCTGGTCTGGAGCAGGGTTGAGTTCAACCTGGCTGAAATCAATCTCGGGGTTGGCGCAGGGTTGAAAGTTGAAACAAGAGTGGGTGTATGCATCCAGTGTGTCCCTTCACAGCATTTCTCGGAAATGGTAAAAACGCACCATCAATCGTTCGCGAGCACGGAGTCCATGGGAAGAATGTAGGTGTGAAACATTTACCCAAAATTCATCATCACTTTTGCTCTAGTAACAAGAAAGGCAGCAGAGAAGTTCAGATCACAATGCTGTCAAACACATCCGATCTTCAACAATGTTTAAGGTAGTGAGTGAATGGCCAACACAATGCTCACATCGGTGAGTACTTACTCAAGAGTTCGGACCCGAGCCTCGAGGTCCAGCAGTTGTTGGTCCAGTGCTACTTTGCTGTGATTCGCTTCATCCACCCTCCTAAAAATAAAATCAGAGAAAAAAACCCCGCTTATTTCTATTTATGCCCATTAAGCGAAAGAAAGAGCAAATGCATGAAATATTTCCCTGTTTTGGAATTGGTATGGCAACAATAGACCTGAGACATGGTGTCAATCTTTGTTGACGCAAGTTGTTTTCTGAACAAAGCCTGACTTTATAACATCTCATGGCCATTCCAATATTGAGACGTTAAACACTACAACTCACCTGTGCATCTCATCAATGTCGCCCTCTAGAGCCTTACAGTGATTATCGGCGTTGGCGCGCAGTCCTTTTTCTCGGTCGGCGATGCGCTTCTGTTCTCTCAGCTGACCCTGTAATCGCAGGAAGGCCGCAGGATCTAAGGAAAGAAAACAACGCAATGCTTCAATATTGTGATACAAAGTCAATTTGGTCAACCTACCAAATGTGGGTTTTTTATGGGGGGGGGGGGGGAAGGGGGGTGTGGCCTAGTGGTTATGGTTTGTGACTCATGATCAGAGGATCAGGGGTTCAAATCCAGCTGCTGGCCATACGTAGTGTCCTTGGGCAAGCCACTTCATCTCAATTTGCCTCTCTCCAGCAAGGAGTGCAAATGGGTACCGGCATTACATTAGCTGGGGAGTAACCTGCGATGGACTAGCATCCCTTCCAGGGGGAATAGAAATATTCTCAGTCATTACATGAGACTGAAACTGGAGATAAACACCGGCCTGACGGGCCACATTGGCTCCTGTGGTATCCCTATGATGCATGGCAGCTCTGACGCATTGTAGGTGTTTTTATAGCAAAATACGGTGACTGTTATATGTACTTATTCAACGTACAGTAAATAGTTGTCTGGTTTTCAGCAAAGGGTCGTCAGTTCTCCTCTCGAAAAGTTTGTAAAAACATACAACAAAATGGCGGACGTATAATACGGTTTGGAGGGAAACAAGCTCACGGTAATACTTCAAAATTTTAAATGCAATATTCCACGCTTATTCATATTTAATTTGAAGCATATTCCATTTACCACTTTGTCACACACATTGTTTCGGTATTATAGTCTCATTTTATGGCATAAAACGGGCTAAGAAAAGACTCTTATTTCAAAATTTTAAATGCAATATTCCACACTTATTCATATTTAATTTGAAGCATATTCCATTTACCACTTTGTCACACACATTGTTTCGGTATTATAGTCTCATTTTATGGCATAAAACGGGCTAAGAAAAGACTCTTATTTCAAAATTTTAAATGCAATATTCCACACTTATTCATATTTAATTTGAAGCATATTCCATTTACCACTTTGTCACACACATTGTTTCGGTATTATAGTCTCATTTTATGGCATAAAACGGGCTAAGAAAAGACTCTTATTTGGCAATGACCAGAAGACACATCATTACTTGCAACGTATTTCTAACCATTGACAAGAAACTTACAACGCGTTCAACACATCTACGCGTTGCAAATTGCAACGTGTTATGCGTCGTAAATCGAGTTGCGACACTTCCCAAAATCGGGTCCTGGTCTCAGACAACAGAGACAAGACACTCACCTGTGGGACCGTCGGCTGACGACGTCCCCCCAGCGTTCTGATTGGTGTTCAGGCCTTGGGGCGTGGAGGTCAGGTACGGCGAGAGGAAGGACGCTTGCAGCTCCTCGGCAGTGGCTGGTCCCCTGCCGTCCACATCATCATCATCTTCATCGGTTGAGGAGGAGTCCAGACCATCCGGCTCATTGAGAATCGCCAGCCACGCCGGTTGCTGCCCAAGGATTTACAGACACCCTCTTAATTTTTTTTTTCATATTCAGCTTTATAAACAGTAGTTTCAAATTTAATATTGGGTTCAGTTACTAAATTTTAAAATTCTGTATCATGCATTGCATTGTTTTCATCATTTGCCCCCAAAAAGCATTTTGTTGTAGATTTAACTCACTGTTTGAATCGTGAAAATAAACAACAAAGGGCAAACTGACTACCTACAATTCAGAGTCAGTTTTCTTCAGCAGTAAACAATGATTTGAAATAAAAAGCCATAGTTCACTATCTGGTTGGCAAGTGCGACATCTGTCAGCTTAAACCACACCCACAAGACCATTAGAACAAGAAGTAGCATAAAATGGTCAGTTAAGGCCAAAAAAAAAAGTCTCCGGTTTCTGGTATGGAGCTTGCCCAAAAAGTGGTGTGGCGACGCAGCTTTTTGTTTTTTTTACCTGATTTTTTTGCTTCAAATGTCGGCTGATGACTGCAAATGGTGCCCGACTAAACTTAGTGCAAATAATTATATGGGAGTCCAGAGAGGCCTCATAAAGCTTATTCTCGACCATACCCCCAATCTAAAAACACGTTAAAATTGTGCAGCAGCAGGATTCCAGTCACACCAGTGAGTATGGCGGGTTTGAGACATCATCTTTCATTGAAAAAAAAACTTTATGCGTGCGCATACCAGAAACCGGAGACTTTTTTTTTTTGGCCTAAAGGGAATATACAACATTTGCAAACATCGAAAAACAAAACAAAACAGTCTAAAGCATCCTGTAAAATTATGGCACCCAAGGTGAAGTCATTTTCAAGAAAAGTTGTATTTTTGTACAAATTTCAAACGGTGGTCAGCCGACCACCGTTGGAAAAACCTAACTATTTTTCAACTACTGCTCCAAAATTTACGATTTTTTTTAGTCCAAATTTTGTTTGCTGTTGATTACATGTTCATGGACGGGTGCAGGCCATCTAGCATGTCTAGACTGGTTCCCTTACCTTACAATTTTCCGGTATCTATACATTGATCCATTTCATCTTTAGTGGAGTCAGGGAACCAGACTACTTGAACTTTTTTTGTTTTTCTTGGTTTTTCCAACATTTTCGAACACAAAACTTCAAATTTGTCAGTGTAACAATATTTGATCTATTATACTAACCCCTCAAATAGTTAATTTCTGAAAATTACAGCAAAAGCCAATGATGTACAATCCCTTTAAGCCAATGGCACTAGTAATCATGGGTGTACAATGTATGTTAACTTCTGGTTCCATTCAAGCTATGCTACACTGTGTGAAGTACATGTTCATGGTTGAATTGAGATGACGTCATATTGCTAACGAACCGGATAAAATCTGGTCTCTTTTACCCTCACACGTGACCTGTCACTGTCCCTAATTATCTCCATTTAAAGGGAATGTACAACATTTGCTTTTGCTGCAATTTTCAGAAATAAATGGATTTGGCGGTTTAGTATGTTATAAAAAATATTGTTAAACTGACCTAATTTACGTTTTGGGCTTGTAGATGCTGGAAAAAAACAAGAAAACCTGTCATTTTCTTGTAGTCTGGTTCCCTGACCGCACTTAAGATGAAACGGAGCAATTAATACTCTTTGGGGAATTGTAAGGTCGAGAATAAGTCTAGCGCAGGCTTGAACCCCTTCACAGGTGTGTAATCAATTGCAAAGAAAAGTCAGAATAACTTAATATGAAAGAGTAGGAACAGTTTTTGAAAAAAAAAAGCTGACCAGCGTTGGAAAAATACAGTTTTTCGTGAAAATGTCAGCACACCAGGAGCCACAATTTTAAAGGATGCTTTAGACTGTCATTCCCTAACAGTTCAGTAAGGTATTACGTGATAATTTGATCATTTCGTTCTTTGATGTTTGCAAATGTTGTATCTTCCCTTTAAAGGTAAAATGTATAGACCATCATTCGTCATTTGTGCATTTTTTTTCGTTTGAAGCAAGAATATTTAAGAATTCGCGTGATGACGTTATCAGTGAATGCCATATATTTCGAGAAAACAACATTCAAAAGTTGCCGAGTCGTGTTTTGAATTGCGCCCGAAATCAGCGCCCGGAAAACGTTCTCATTCAGCTAATTGCGATATGTGTCACGTATGCTTTTCAACAATAATTTTGTCAGTTACATTTGGATAGCTGCAAATGATGTACTCTACTCTACATAGGCAGTACAACCAAAGAGTCCATATAAAGAAACAATGAATCCTATTATTACCTTTGAGTATAGACCGTGTGGGTTGCCGTTAGTCAGCGTGTTATGGGTTAATCTCAGGGATCTGGAAGCTGCAGTGGAGTGAAGAGGATTCTGAAGGTTTTGCCTGTCAAGATGAAACAAACAAACAAACAACATCTTAGCAGTCTTGCTGATCCATTTGTTTATCCTGCACCCAAAAATGTTAAAAAATGTTTTTAAAATGTTCTCTCTCTTTTTTTTTTTCTTCTTTTTTTTTGGGGGGGGGGGTGTTCACTCAGTTTTCACAACTGGTGTATTCAAGTATCAAAAAGAATGTTTTAACCTTATGTCTCCAATAACAGTATAAATAATGCAGTAAATTTTACAGTACATGTACATTCAGATTACAAATAGAATAAGTTTTGTTTTGGGTTAAAAGTTGCTTTACTTCTTGGACTACACGATCACTTGACTTTTTATGATCCAATGAATATAAAGAAACTTCTTCATCATTCATATACATGTACATGTACGTTCAAGCATATTTCTGTTGTGAGGCAATGCAATGTATAGTTTTCAAAATCTTATTCAGAAAGGTTGATTCAGTAGCGATTGCTAAAGAAATGATGAAATGATTTGTGCAATAAAGAATTTATTAAATGGAATTTTCTATTCCTACCCAATCAATCCTTGATTGAACTCCGCTGTATTTCCCTGTGAATCCAGACCGTTACTCATGTTGTTGTTTCGTCTTCGGCTGCCTGAAAGTACAGGACTTGTACCCTGAACATCTTGCTGCTGCTTCTGCAAGACAGCGGCTTCCATCTCATGCAGATCGGCGTCGATATCGGAGCTGTGGTCGTGGTCACCGTCGGCTGTCACCGCATCGTTGGACTCCTCATCCTGCAACCTCCTCTCGATGGACTTCTGGTATCTCTGGAGGTACCTCTCTGACTCCTTGTTTTCCGCCTCTTGTTTTAATTTCTTGATCTCCTGCCACTTGCGTTCGATGTCCTGGTTCTCCTTCTGGAGACGAAGCTTCTCCGTCTTCATCTGCTCCATCTCTCTTGTTCTCTCTTCAGTTACTTCCTTTAGTTCCTCCTCCCGCTGAGATTCCATCAGCTGTCTCTGCTGCTCGGCTTCCTTCTGCCGGGATTCAAATTTCTGTCTCTCCTCCTTGAACCGCTGAGACTGAAGCTCCAGTTCCCTTTCAAGGGCTGACTTCTCAGCTGCCTGCCTCCGCTTCTCTTCTTCAAATTCTTCCACTCTGCGTTGAATCTCATGCTGCTGCTCCTCCTGCATGCGCTGCAATTCCTTTTCTAACTGTTTCTTTTCTCCCTCGCTCTTGGACGACATCCCCTGGAGCAATTCCCTTTGCCGCTTCTTGGCTTCCTCCTCGATTCTCTTCCGCTCCATCTCAAGACGTTCTTCCTCCCTCTTGATCCTGTCCTCCTCAAACTTCCGCCTGTCTTCCTCTCGCTTCCTGTCATCTGCTAGCCTCTGCTTTGCCTCATCTTGCTGTAGACGAAGTGTTTTCAGTTCCTCTTTCTCCTCTTCTAACCTCCGTCTTTCTTCCTCATTTCTCCTCCTTTCTTCATCCTGTTTCTTTCTTGTTTCCTCCTGAATCTGTTTCTCCAATCTCTGCCCATCCTCAGTCCTTTTCCTTTCCTCTTCCTGCTCTTTCTTTATCATGCGTCTCTCTGCATCAAACTTTGCTCTCTCTGCTTCAATCCTCTCCAGTTCCATCTTGGTCTCCATCTCCAGTCTTTTCTTTTCTTCCTCTCTCCTCAACTCTTCCTGCTGTCGTTCCTGTTCAAGTCGTTTCCTCTCTTTCTCAAGATGCATTCTCTCAGCCTCATTCCTCTCCTCCACAGTTTTCATCTTCTCCATCTCTTGTCTCAGCTCTTCCTCCCTGTGTTTCCGTTCTGCCTCTTCCTGTTTTCTTTTCTCCTCGCGCAGTCTCTCTTCCTCTTTTTGCTTCTCTTGCATCTCCTGTTCCATCTTCTTCAGTCGCTCTTCTTCTATTTTCTGTCTTTTTCCCTCTTCTGCTTTTCGATCCTCATCTTCCTTCTTCCGTCTCTCCTCCAGCTGTCTCTCAGCCTGCAGCTGTTTCTCCCTCTTCTCCTGCTCTAGCTTCTTCAACTGTTCCTCCTGCTGTTTCTTCTCTTTGGCAGCTCTCCTCTCCTCATCCCTTCGCCTCTGCTCTGCTTCTTCTCGTTCTCGTTTCTCTGCCTCTTGCCTTGCCTTTTCTTCTTTTCTCTTCTCTGCCTCCCTACGTTCTCTCTCCTGTCGCTCCTCCTCTTCGCGTTCCCTTTCCTCTCTTTCCTCTTCTTCCCTCTGTTGTCGTTCTCGCTCAATCTCTTCCTGCTCTCTGCGCAGCTCTTCCTCGGCCTCCACTTTTCGTTTCTTCTCCCGTTCTGCCTCCTCCTGTTCCCACTGTTGTTGCCGGCTGACCTCCGTCTTCTGTGCCTGTTTCAACTCCTCGTGGGCGCTGGCCTGCGAAAACACACACACAAACATGCACCATATCAGAGCAGTATCAATGCTGCACTGAATTGCAAATGGATACTTAAAAACAAGAGCGAAGTCAATTTAACCAAAACCGGATTCCCCAAGGACGAAAAACTGATAATGAACTACAAAACAGTGTCATGACAACTGGCAAATCAATACAAAAGGCCAATGTTTCCGCTTCACTTCGGCTGCCATTTAACTGCAGTGACAATGCCAGACTCAACCAGATAGAAAACACCTGCGCATAATGGCTTCAATTACACGAACAATGATCAATCTGACAGTGGCCTTTTCCAGCAAAGTGCGAAAACACTCGCCCTCATTCAGGATGCAACGTGGTTTTAACTGATTTTACTTTTTTCATCTATTTTCAGCTGCCTATTCTGATATTTAAGCTGACCACTTAGAGTACGATCCAGTCACATGCAACCTCCGGCACTCGGCACGCAACAGAAGAAGTGTGACTACAAACTGGTGTCATCTTCAACTGTGAGTAAAGCTCGTTTTTAATTCGATTGAATTAGATTAGGTTTAATTTAGGTTTCAGATTGCAACAAAAACGTGAGGTTCCAAGTATAAAGATGCTGTTTCCTAATTCTCGTCAACTGAGATTAGTTGACCAATTTAATTCTTTGAAAATGAAAACGAATAAAACTGTTGCAAACTGCTTACTGACTGGATTGACCTGAAATATACAATCAAAAATAGTATAAAGGCTCAATATTTCAATCCTATCAGAACCTTTGTCCATTTGTTGTTTTTTGGGTTTTTTTTTCAATTCTGATCAATTTTGAGCGGCTGTATTTGTGTGGCTATTTCCAAAAAGCACAGTGTGGATTGCATGACCCTCACTTCCCATTTTATTTTGTCATTTTGATAACTTGTATTTAAGTTATTACAGTTCAGTGTCATTGTTCTTGCACTGCGGGGCCTCAATCACATTGTTTTCAAATGCATGTGAAAGTTCTAGTGAGTTTTTGTTTTTGAGGCACAGAGAAATGCTAATATTTATAAAATAAGACAAGGAACTTAGAATACCATGATTCAGTATGCTTGATTTGATTGAACATTCATACTGTTATAATGTAACATCAGTAACAACAAAAACATGATGTTTCCGTAACATTTAAGGAGCTTTTTTTTGTAAAATGTCATCGGTGCTTGTATAGAGTGAAGCTATATCTACCACAAAATGTAGTTATTCATGAAACTTCACTGGCTTTATCAATGCGTACCAAAAGTCAAAACCTATGTCAGAATGTGTATTAACTTCCTCATCAATGAATTCAATTAACACAAAGTTTTAAAAATGATGTCATGTTATACATGAAGGCCTCAGCTAAAGTTGTACAGACATTTACTTTCACTGCGAGTATTTTATTTTGGTTTTTTAAATTGGTCAGTTGGCTCTGAATTAAATGTCCATAAAGATGGAATTGCCCTCAACAAGTTTCTGTAAGGATCCAATGGTGAATATGTAACAAAACTAATAGCTTATAACTTTTTTTACAAATTATTTTTCAATCATCCATTCTGTCTTTTAAGTAAATCCCAATGTATATAGTTTGCTTGTGTGTGTACGTGTTGTTTAGACCCTAAATGTGTTTTCCTTTTAATTCCCATCCCTAAAAACCCTCCTCCATGATACCGGACACTTTTTGGCATGACACCGGGCCCTGGTGCTTGTCGTGCAGGCGCTAGGCGTGCGTGCGCGGCCCCTAGACACAATTTACTGTGGCGCCGTGTTTCGCCTATGGAGTAAAATAGAATGCTACGCTCGTGGCACAAATACTTAACGTTATGTATTTTCTTTTGATGAAAATACGTGACTCGAGTCACCAGTCACCAAGATCGAGTCAGAGTCATCATGGTCGAGTCCGAGTCGAGTCCAAGTCACGAAAAATGTGACTTGAGTCCGACTCGAGAACGAGTCCTGGACTCGAGTCCTACAACACTGGGAATTTGATATACATGTAGCCCACCAGCCTATTTTTTCTACTTTTGTTTACTGTCGAAACTACTCAGACATCCAACTGAGAGGTAACTTTTTTCTTCTAAATTTTAACACAAATGGGAAATCAAAATAAGAAAAACTAGAAAGGGCTCAGAGAGTGCACACCTCTTCCAAGACTAAACCATTTCCCTCCATTACACACAGCACCAATGTACAAATGTGGTTTCTAAAACACATCCTTAAACTCAAACATGTTGTAGTTTACATGTATATGCCTGTGTCGGTCTACCTTTCCACTCTCCCATTGTATAAAATGGTCTAGTCCATTGACCTGTGTGGTTAGATTAGGTGGGTGATAAGGCATACAGGGTCACCGGGTCAGCGATACACACACGAAGCTGTCACACAGGGTGAAAGTTTTCCATATGATGGGTGAAAAATCCTGACAAAAATGTCTGCATCCAGACCCAGATCACTTCCAAAATCTAAACGATTTTGTACTAGTACCAAGGACCACCCCCAAAAAGATTTTCATAAAAATGCGTCCCTAACTTTTGTCAGTTATCCTGTTAACAGGCAAACTGATCAACGCCGGTGAAAACATAACCTCCTTGGCGCAGGTAATAATCTGATGTACAAGAAAAAACTCCATGCCTGACATGCCTGATATTAATGTACAAATATAATCTCTCTTCAAAGTCCTCTCTGATCGTGCAAAACACAAACACCAAAACTAACCTGTTGCTTGGAATCCAACAATTTATCATACTGATGTAATGGATAGGTCTAAACAAAAAGATACGGCAGCAAAAATGCAACACTAACAGCAATACAGACATCAGTGTGTACAGGTGGTTCTAATACTAAAGAACAAAAGGAGTCTGACTGCACAGGAGATGCAATTTTCATTACGCCAAGTTTGTCCTTGAGGGTTGCATTGCGCAGCATCCAGGCTCCATTGGTATAATGACAAGCGCCGACGACAAAGCATGACAAAGGGTTTTTGCTCTCTGGGCCCGGCATATCATTGCTGGCCAGTCAAGTGGATCAATATTCGAAGCTAATGTACCAGTAGGTTGGCAGACTGGAGAAAAATTGGTAGGGGGGGGGGGGGGGAGGGGCAACCCTACCTTTTTCAACCAATAATCAATGTCACAATCCAAAATGGGGTTCGGCCATACCCTGGCCATTTGTCACTCACAGGTATTGTCATACCGTACACTGGTTTGCCTTGTTTAGAACAACATTTCACAATTTGTTGGCAGCGTTTTCCTGCCTCCATTTTATCCCACTGGAAAAATATTGGTAAGGCTATTTGTATGTGACATTTTCAATCAATGCCCTGATATTTTTGCAGAATAGCATCACTATATTTTGCAAGTTTATAAGTAGGAAATCAATGAGGGGTGGCATCTTCATTTACATTCATTTTCCTTTAAATTAAGATCACTTTCATGAAGTTTTCTCTCTTGATGTGAAAGTACCGGTAATACAAGGTTCCTTGTACCAAGGTTCCCTTTGGTTTGATTTTGAAGTAAAATACATTGTACTTTGATCTGAAAGTCATGCTGTAGATAATAAACTTCATGAAACATTCATTGCATTAATAAAAAATAATAATTAAAAAAAATTCTCCGTTTAAATTGCAGAACAACACCTTAAGCGATTACAAGTGAAAATCAGTCTTTTGCCTTTTATTTTTTTACCCTTGGTTCATGTAAAAACCAATAATTGATTTTAAGCAGTTTATTCAAAATAATTACTTTGTAAAAATTACAGAAGAGATATACTTTTATTTACATACTTGGAAACATTTTGACATTCTCAAAGTAAAAAGAAAATCCGTTTTTTCCCCTTCAAATGGAACTTAAACACAGATACCCGGTACATCAATGCCTAAAGCCCTAAAATGAAGACAATTTTGAACTATGACATTTATTGATACAATCAAAATTATATGAGTTTATTTATCCACAATTCTCAACCCTAAAACCCATTGATCAACCTGGGCAAACATCCAAATATGATGCCTCTTCTTGTCTGTTTGTAAATAAAGCAGGAAGGTCGCCTACGTAAACAGATCCCACTTAGTCCAATCATTTCATGGTCCAAATACCGCCGGATAGCTCAGCCTACTATGCCAATTATGGCAGGCTCCGTAATGCATTGCCCACAATGAACTAGGCCTGTGCATTTAAGAGTAAATTAGCATTAAATCATTCAAACGTGGACTTGATCGAACAAATATTCCAAATACGCTCATCTTGTTCAATATGCCCCAGCCTTTAAAGTGGCTGCTAATCGACAGTTGCATGCACCTGCGCCTGTCAATGTCAACAATGGACAGAGCTAATGAAAGTAATATAAAGAAGAGGTCGCAGAATGGCTGATAATAATAATTTGGGAGGCTAATCATCCTTACTCGCAGCTGGTATGCTGAATTGCGAAGGACGCGGCTACAACGTGGTCGGGCCGCTGGCACGTAAAGGCGCCTATGGCTGCCGGCCACATCGACCCATATATGACCACGGAGCACAGCCTGAGATCGAAAGTGTTTGATTTTTCCGGAGGGAGGAAAACCGGAGGGCCCGGAGAAAAACCCTCGTGGCACAGGAGAGAACCAACGCACAACTCTACTCACATGCGATCCGCGGCCAGGATTCGAACCGTGGTCACCTTGGTGAGAGGCGAGCGCTTTACGCACAAGCCACCCATGCCACCCAAAATCTGACCAGTTTCAAAGAAGAGCTACTATTGCTCACGTATTATTCCTCATGTTTCGACAAAGATGTGGCATTTGGCAAATAATAAAACCAAGCAACTTTTACAATTCATTCAACTTCATTCAAAATTCATCATCTCCACAAGGCCTCTCACATTTTTCAAATATCTGAATCGAACAGAAAATTATGCTTTTTGGATTTCGGTATATCTGGCACAGCCTATTAAAAATTGAACACAAGTGAGTACTGTATTATGGCAAAGCAATTTTATACCTGACCGAGGAGGTGCTCAGGCCAACAATAGTACAAAAATCGTTTGTAGTATGATGTGACTAAATAAAACCAGGACAACCACAGCAGGTCGTTGCCATAGTTACAGTGTCTGCACTTTTACAATACACCAATATTACATTTGTTTTTTGGGGTGTCTTTTTTTTTCCCTTCATAGTGAAACATGTTGCATCACGCTATGAGAAAGAAATGTTCAGAATTTAGTCTTTTAGGATTCAAAACAATTGATATCTTAACCCTCCTGCTGTCCAGTCAAAATTCACTTCCACTTCCCCTGCAATACTTTTAACAAAGGCTAGTCACCAGCAGTCAGATCACATGCCAAGCAAGCACTGTGACTAGTCAAACTGGGTCAACAGACAAAGCAGGCAAGTTGTGGCCACAGCTGTTTTATCAATCAACCGGAGTCAAAGCATAGCTGTATCGAGTTTGAGCAGTCCAAGGCAGTCAATCCTGCTTTATGAGGGCTAGGAATTCTTAAGGGTTGAAAACAGTCACTTGCAAGGTACGTTTGCATAGAAGGGCTAAAGGGATTCTCGTTCTGCAATTTTAAAAACGTCAAGTCATTCTATAAATCTGTTATAAATGTCTTTGTCAGCTGTGGAAATTCACTGCATAGACCTTATAAATGCATTGCATGCATCTCAGAGGGCATTTTTGATTTTGTTTTAATGTTGTTTATTTATGCCTATTCGAGCGATACAAAACCAATGCCCGCTAACTCCGCCTAAACGCAAAAGGTGTATTGTGTGGGGGCAGTACAATCCCCCAAAAAAGGCAATTTTTCATTCCTCAACATACACATGTTGCCATACACACAAAGTACAGAGGCTGAGAGGGGTCCCATGAATCAGGAATATGTTATAAAACTAACCCAAAATGCACGTTCCACTTGATGCTGCTGAAAATAGCATATGTATACCCCATGCTCTTGAAATTCAGATTTGTTTTCTTCCTCCTAACAAAGTTTCAATTTGTATGTTTTGTTTTAACAAACAAATTTACTTTACTCCGATTTGAGGTGTCTCCAATCATCTGAGAAGGGCCTTCAATTCATTTTGTGCACAAATTCACCCGCCCTGCGAGAGCCAAATCATTGCCTGGCAGCTAATAATTCAAATTTTGCGAAGAAATAATTCAAAAACAAATCGGCGGAATTTTTTCATTTGATTTACCATTCAAGGTTGAATAACTTTTATATTAATAGGAAAGTAGCAACTGAATGAATTTCGAAAATTGCATGAAGAATGCATCTTTGTTGCAGGCAAAGTAACAAGTAAGTTGACCCCAAAAAAGTAAACTCACCCTCCTGTTACTCTTCCTGGCCTTCTCCCATTCACTTTCTTCCTCTTCATCATCTTCATCCGAGTCCCAGTCATCATCGTCATCTTCGATCACCTCATCAACTTCGTGTTCCTCCTGCCTACTAGCATCCTCCCTGGCCCCGCCCTCCCCTGCCTCCTTTGAATCTCCGCCCTTCCCCGGTGCCTCCTTGGAGGGTATCGGCGGTAACTTCCTCTCCACGCGGGGTGAGGACGCCGGTTTGGACTTGGAGGCTAGACTGTCTGAGTTGGTCTGGATCCCTGAATCTCCGGGTTTTATTACTGGCGGATCTAATGAGGAGATGATGTAAAGAACATCTTAATGCTGACACAATTACACAGGAAGGGCCAAAATTCTTTGATAAGTTGTGTACTGACGGGGAACCAGTCTTGAGGAGTATAAATTGTACGACATATAAATTCGTAATTCATTTTTATAATAAGTTGGTAATTCATTTCCAACATTATTAATATTTTTCAGACAACAACAAAAACAACACAAGTACTTTGATTCTTCGAACAGTGGAGTAAGCCACTTTTGAGGAGTATAAATTGTACGACATATTAATTCGTAACTCATTTTTATAATAAGTTGGTAATTCATTTCCAACATTATTAATATTTCTTATGCATCAACAAAAACAGCTTAACTCTTTCGCTACGGCAACCGCTGACGGCGGCTCATACAAATTGTACAGGTCGTACGGAGAGCCGCTGGCAGCGGCTCGGTTGCGTCGCTATGAATAAACATGATGTCCCCATGACGTGGGCCATATCTACATAATTTATATCGTATAACCTCTGACCCTAGTTCGAGCCGCTGCCAGCGGCTCTCCGTCTGGCTGGGGTGCACTTTTTGTTATTGTGAGCAGTTTGTTTACGGAGATACATTCAAAGATGGCGGGGCCCACATCGACGCTCGGCTGAATTTTCAGCTTTGAATTACGTCCAGTTGGGACGAAAAAGGTAAATTAAATTCCGTAGCGAAAGAGTTAAGTACTTTGATTCTTCAAACAGTGGAGTAAGCCACTTTTAATGTTAACCACTTCGCGCCGGGATTATTTTTGCCCAAAATTTCGATTTTTCGCAAAGGGCAAGATTTTTCAGCCAACTTCTGATATACAGCCAAACGCCACAAATACTGATTCACAAGAGTCATTTCAACAGTATTTGTGCGATATTTCTTGCCCAAACCTCATACGTTTCAATATGTTACAATAGGCCGTGCACACTACAACACAGACTTCACGGTCTTTGAGTGCCTGTACGAAAGGCACGAAGGATTAGCGTGTTTAGACGCCACCCGGAGGCGAGTCGAGGCAATCTTGACGTCTTAACCAGGGCGGCGTTTGGCGGTCATAACCAAGAATTGGTTCGTTGGTTTCTCTTTGGCTAATTGTTTTGGGGATTTGAGTACTACACTATCACGCGTAATTTTAACCCAATTAAAATTGCCGAAGAAATTCACCGACAAGAAACCACCGAACCAATTCTTGGTTATGACCGCCAAAACGCACCCCTGTAAGCCGTGGCTGTGTATAAAAACAGCCAGTGCATGTTATCACGTACTCCGACGCTTACTGGTTAAAATATTGTTGTTGTTTCCCCCTTAATCTTTTGTTCTAAAAAATCAACAATAGGCCCCATGCCTTAATTAATTTCTAACCCTTGGTCCACGCAAATTTACCTCAAACTTAACCATACTTTGCAGGCAACACAGCTTTCTGCCGAGTTTTTATCACCAATCAAGACACAGTTGAAATTTATGTGACATACAATAGTCTTACCTTTACCGTTAGAGGCATTGGACGGTAGTAGATCATTCTGCAAATTACAAACACAGTCAATTCAGTCCAACATTACAATCAGCATTTAAATTACTAAACATAACAATTCTCAAACAAAATGCTTTAAATTTCCTTGAAAGTTAGAATATGCAACAGTTTTAATGTTCTGAGGCCAATAAAAAAAATTCACTCTTCAACATCCTACAAAATAAACTGAACAAAAAGTGGGTTCTTACTTATACTACATGTTATTTTTCAACGTTCACCTCATATGTTTTCATGGATAATTGAACAAAGAATTTCAGAAAGTAAATAAATCCTATTATCTGTTACATACAAGTCTCAACCCTAAGACTACAAAACGCACAGATAGAATTGAAGGAGAAATGAAGTCAGAAAGACTTACGTCCGAGTCCCAGTCTGACTCTGTTTGCATGCAAAGGAAAGAAAGAAGAAAAGTTGGAAATAAATTGGTGCACTTTTCAATCAAATAATTGTCTGCGCATCCATGATTTTGAAAAAGAACTTCATACTTCACTCAATTTGGTCTTCCAAAAATATTATTTTTATTATGTGCTAAGCCAAAAGAGTGATATACATGGGAAAATACAATTGGGATTAAAATTGACATGCTTCTGAACTCAAATCTTTAAAGGGCCCATGCAATGTAGTTGTTTTTAATGCTATCCTTGAAAATGCACCTCTGTGTCTAAGGCCAAAAAAAAAAAGTTTCCGGTTTCTGGTATGCGCGCGCGTCGCCGTAGCCATGCGCGTCGGCAAAATGAAAAAGTTTTTTTTTCAATGAAAGATGATGTCTCAAAACCGCCAAACTCACTGGTTTGACTGGAATCCTGCTGCTGCACAATTTTAACGTGTTTTTAGATGGGGTTATGATCGAGAATAAGCTTTATGTGGCCTCTCTGGTCTCCCATAATATTTGCACTAAGTTTAGTCGGGCACCATTTGCAGTCATCAGCCGACATTTGAAGCAAAAAAAACAGGTAAAAAAAAAAAAAAGCCGCGTCGCCGCACCACTTTTTGGGCAAGCTCCATACCAGAAACCGGAGACTTTTTTGGGGGGCCTAATTTCGTTTGCCATTTTCAAGGGTGTTTTAGTGCCTTTTTTGTTTTTATGCTGACGCCAATTTTCATATTGATGAGAAAAACTGTGATGTCATTTCAGGCAGAAACCTCAATGTTACAGCTATTTCAGCACCAAATGTTGCCAAAATTTTGGACATTTTGCTGTCGTAAGTTTTCTTTTCTTTGGTAATTTGTTGTGTCAGTACATGACAGTAAGCTAATAAGCAAACCTTTCTCACAGATGTTTTCAATGAGCACTTTTTTGGGTTCACAATTTGAGCAGAAAACCCCTGAACTGAACAGTGTCTTCCTGAAATGACATCACAGCAACAACGCCCTCAGTTGTCCAGAAATTAAAACATCGAACATTTTAAATGTTTAAAGAAGTGCGCTTTTCAGTAAAATTAACCAAAAAGGGATGTCAAATAGTTTTCATACACTTAAAGAGTAGAAAGTTGCATCGAATGCATTCCTAAGAAACAATCCATCTCATGAACCCTTTAAACTTATTTCATTTAGTACTTATCATAGGGAATTGACCTAACGCCGTTTGCAAGTTAGCCACTCCCCTTAGAAAACCATATGGAGTTTATGTACAGTAAGTCTGTTTGTCTCAGATTTTGGACGTTCCGCGTCCATTTGAATATCATGTAAAAAAATTGGACAATATTTCACAAGCTGCATTGAAGCGATTCTAACGCAATTCTACCGCGATATGTCAATTCTTGGTATTACTTAGGTTAAAAATTAAAACAAAATATTTTCAACAAAATTTAAAAAAAATTATTTTGTGGGGTGCCGTACCTGAAAGGCACACACTATCATTTTCAAGATATGCTTCATGATTCAAATTTGTAATCATTTACATTTGGAATTTTCTCATTTTGAAAGCATCAGAACTTACAATGAGATTCTCATGAGACATTAGTCTCACTTTTTTCCAACTGTTTTCTCAAATTTCAAATTTGTGAACCATAACAAAACAGTTGACAATGAACCTTACGTTTATGACAACTGGCAAATAACATGCGAAGCTTTTATGTAACTCTGACACTACTGCAACAGGACAGTTCTACAAAAGGTGCTTTTTAACCTCCGCTTCACACATTCAAAACACGGCAAATGGCAAAGAAATTGAAAGCGCCAATCTTGATATCACAGAATGAAATCTTACTTTACCTTCATTTTCTTCATCATCTGCTGCAGCCTTGGCTGTTTTCAAGACAATGGGGCCATCTTCAGCTTTGATGATAGGATTCGACTAAAAACACCAATCACAGAGAGAAAAAACAGGATTGTATTAAAAACTTTTTGCAGCTTTACAGACAAATCTGAAACCATTTATAGTGAGGTGCTACATAGACATTTATCTTCAAGTAAACTTGAATCCTCGATCCTGATTGGTCGATCCATGGCAACAAGCCGTGCTACATATAACCAAGTAGCACGGCTACAGTCCATACCGCACTCCGGGTATTGCGCTATTCCAAGATGTGCACGCCATACACGCACGTGTAATAGGATAACCGCTGAAAATCTTTTGAGTGCGTCAAGTTTGCTTGAAGATAAATTCGTTATCACGCTCGCGCTCGTGGAACACGGAAAATGTAGTGCGTCTGTGTCCCACATACCACTCGGCCTGTGGGACACAGACGCACTACATTATTCCGTGATCCACTCGCGCTTGCGGGATAACTTATGGTATGCGTGCACTCAATGCCCCTTCGACCAATAGGGTTGCAAGAATGTATGTGCGCCATATTTTAAGAATGCATGCGAAACGAATGATGAGCATGATGCCACTTCAGAGATATCTTGTTGATTGTGTTTGCTGGATTAACTTCATTTCTGGTTATGCTGTGTAAATTTAAGAAAATAAACTCCAAAACAGTCTTTGCAAAGACTGCCCTTTTCCATTAAAGTGCCCTTTTTTTGAACAAGTGTCCATTTTTTTTAAACAAGTGCCTCTTTGTTTTTTTAACCATGTGCCCTTCTTTTTTTTAAAAATAAGTGGCCATTTTTTTTTAAAACAAGCGCCCTTTTTTACCAGCAGCTTTTTATAAGTGCCCTTTTTGTAATTTCGCGCAACCGTCAGCAACTGTGCTGCCCTGGAAAGTGCCATCTATTATCTGATAGTAGGCATGATCATCCGGTTTGAACAACGCCCCCATAGGAAGATAGTAAGTACCTGCCCCCCCCCCCCTTTTAATTTGATTTTTCGGAGACCAAGTGTCCAGAGAAGAAACCTTGTCTTCTTTTTAGCATGGATGTGCGAGTGCACATTTTTTATTGTGTAACTTCCCCTCCCCCCAATAAAAATGACCTTGCTATGCCTCTGCATCGCATCCCATGGATGGCAAAACGTGTCAACCATGGGTTGTCAAAGAAAGCTCTGTAGGATAAAGTAAGATTAAGTTAACTCTTTTGAGGGACATTTGTTGTGCTGTGCTTGGTCGAAACATCACGGGCAGAGCTCGATATGTCAGTCTATTGATGTTAGAAATAAACTATATGGGCTCAAAGAAATGTTGATTCTTAAAGTTCCGACGGGTGAAAATTTTGATAGAATGCAACCAACCTGAAGACTTTGTTTGACAAGCGACGGTTTTTTAGGTTCCTCGTCAGTGAAGCTGAGACTAGAATCATCATCGTCATCATCTTCAACGTCGCTCATTCCTAGCTTATTTAGAACATCTAAAAAAATAAACAAACACAAAATATCCTGAAGGAGGGACCATTTCAATGTTTACATTTGTGTTACAACTGTTTGCTTGCTATATTTAATATTCATAAATACTTAAGACAGTTTACGCATTCCTATTGGTCGAGAGCCCGTCACGTGGCCGGTCTTAAACGGATGATAAAGACATGGCTAGCTGGTCTTAAAGACTTTTCCAGTGTCACATGAAATTTGGACTCCCATGAAATCCGGTGCCTTTTAACGTTTCATTGGTTGAACGTTCACATTCCTCACAAATGCATGCGCAATACTACCAGCGAATCAGTATTTCATGGTCCGAAATTCACCTTACACCAGCCCAGCTGCGTTTTGCGCGACATCGCGCAGTACGCGCGACGCGCACGCCAATGTCCTTATAAGGTAACGAGTTGTGGAGGGGCATTCCATATTATAGTCAGAGGGGTGTTTCGTAAAACATGAAGTAAAATTGTTGAACAAAATGGTTGGCAACGTCTAGTTTTTGACTAGTTTTGATTTTTGGACCGAAAATATTTTTTTTTGGACTGAAAAGGTATTCATGAATGGGAATAAATATGTGTTCGGTCGGTATTAAACACTCTGTTTAAGACCGGTGGGAGTCTGGATGGATGATAATTACCCGAGGCGAAGCCGAGGTCTTAAACAGAGTGTTATAATACCTCCTGAAACACACATTTATTCCCTTATTAAACAACACCTGAATCGGGTCGTTGATCACGTCATTGAATTATTTGTCCCAATCCATGACCCTTCTTCACTGCAAACATAGAAGTTCTATTCCACGGTGAATGGAAGTTCCATTGCACGGTCACACTTTTGGAGGCTCTGACCAATCAGATGACGAGGATTTACTCAGACGTTATAATTCAAATAATGAATGCTTCACATTCGTGCAATGGAAAGACTGATTTCATTCGGTGACAGATGGAACGTTCCATTCCACTCGGCTTTGCCTCTTGAAATGGAACATTCCATCTGTCAACTCATTACCATTCTTACCATTGTACTCAAAAACATTAATTATTTGTATACCACAAAAGAGTACATTATATTTAAAAGTCAAATTCCCCAGCCAAATTTACAAATTGAAATCACACAAATGTTTTGCATTTTTTTAAACCAATATTTTATGACTTAAAACTGTTTTCTATTAAAACTGTTTTCTAAATCTTTAAAATTTCAGTAATTTTCAATTTGAGTAACTTAAAAATGACCCGGGGCCGAACCCAAAACAAAATGAGCACAGCAGGACCGTACCTTTTCTTTGTTGCTTGTCTTGTGAACTGAGAGGTCTCTTCTCCGCCTCGTCATTTGGTTTTGCTGAGAAAAAAGGAAGGAAATCATACATAAATAAAAGTAAGCAGGTCGAAAGAAAAAAAACGGGAAAAAAACATCATCACTTGATAAATGTATTTAACAGATAAAAATCTTCTGTTTTCATCACAGACTGCGCATTACCATTAATTCAAAACAGGCTTCAACAGATTAAATAGATACATAGGAATTTTTTACTAAATGATACTCACCAGAGATTGGCTGTCTCTCCTTTGTTACCTAGCAACCAAGAAAAAAAAAACATTATTGTTGATATCTTGCTAGTAAAACTCGATTCAGTGAAGTTTCAACTGTAAATTTAATTCAAGTTCACAATGGCACTCCCTTTATTAAAAATCAAGTACAAATTTACGTTACTATAATCATGACTTCCAATTCAAGTTTAGAAGTTAGCCAAAACTTACATTTGTCATTTTCTTAGGAGACGTTCCTTCCAGAACCCCCAGTACGTCATCGTCGTCCCATTCACTGCCACTCTATGAACACAAACATCAAGAATAAAACACAATTGTTCTTAATAACAATGGCTACCCATAGTTTGTGGACCACTGGCTAACAAGTAATCCGCGGATCGCATGTGTCTCCTTTTTCCGCGGTCGATCCCTATGTTTTGTGCTCTTAAAAAACATCAAATGACTCAAATGACCCCTAGATGAAAGTTGACATCCAATTGTGGAAGAGTTATGATGATCCCCCACCCAAGGTACACTCCATCCAAATACATTAAAATCAATCACCTTTAATGACCCATACATGACCTTTGACCTCAGTAATCCAATGAGGAATTGTGTCTTTCCACCCAAGGGTCACTACATCCACGTTTCATGAAAATCCATGAAAGCATGTAGAAGTAGTTATACATTTTCTTCAAAAACTAAACCGAAACGTTAACATACAATGAGGGCTACGGGTCTATAGTCATACAGGTCTAGGCGTCTATGGTCATACAGAATTTAGTGTCTCCCAAAATTTCTTTCAGGCGACATAAAACTCTATGACTGTGAAGTGAGAAAACACAAGTATACAGTGGGGATACCTCTCCAAATGAAAGGCCACTACTTCTGGGCGTGAGAGGTACTCCTCTAGGCGTGGCAGCAAAGCTATCAGCAGGAGGGGCATCGTCTCTAGGGGTTGGTGTTGGGGTGTCATCCCACGGATCGGGGTCACTCATGGAGCGACCCTTCCCCGCATTCACGGCCTTTGCCTTGGATGGTGAATCGGTGGCAGCGGTGGGATTGGGAGCCTTGGTGCCTGCCAAGCGCGGGATCTTGCTGCTGCTGACGTCTTGGTTGGCGCCTCGCAAGGCGGAGCGGTTGCTGGCCAGGCTGTCCTTGGAGACGGCACGGGGGATGCGGGACTTGGAGGCTGTTGATCGCTGAGAGGCTAAAGAAGAAAAAAACTTGTTTAGAAAATCACTAAAAACTCATAATTTTCTTGTTTTATTCGGGCATGCATTTGTCTAACTGGCACTAGTCCTCTCCAAAAAGGATATGTACACTGACAAATCTTCTGAATATTCCAATGTTTTAGAGAGTTGAGGCAAGCAACAAGTGTAAGTTTGCAGCGACAACGTGTGACAGTCGGCGGTCTCACCGGTCATATCTAGGAGAGGGCTCTCCCCACGCTTACTGGAAAAACTGAGAACTCCACTTGCTGATAAAAAAAATCTGTGCATCATTCTGGAAAACTATGTGCTACACAGGAAATATCAATCATTTGAACTTCTTCCACCCTTAAAGAAAACTTCTCAATTTCAAAACAGCCACCACTGAAATGTCTCCCATCCTGAAAGAAAATCCTGGTGACAATACCTATGGACTTCTCCTGATGACAAACAGAGCATACTGATAGAAACTTTGAGTTGTACAGGTTCTTATTCAAATCCATACATTGTCGCCCCAAAATACTGATATTCTACATGAACTGTGCATTTTGACATGCTGCCTTAGCTTGAAGAAAACCATGATTGGTACACATGTCAGCATTATACCTCCGCAATGAAATTTTGTCACAAATAAGGTATTGCAAACTTGGTGTAGCAGTGTAGCATGTATTTTTCTTCCCCATACTTACTATCCCCGCTCCTTATGGATTCGTCGTCAGATTCAACTATAAACTTGCTTAGCTTCACTGCCTTGGAAACCTTGAATGAAAGATGAGGGGGAAAAAAACGATATAAGAAACATTGAATGTACGTGAAAATGCAACTTAAGTCCAACTGAGAATTGAATTGCTGCACACTAGTGCTTGCAGTGAAGGAATGTGGCCCAGTGGTTATGGTTTGTAACTCATGATCAGAGGGTCAGGGGTTCAAATCCAGCTGCTGGCCATACGTTGTGTCCTTGGGCAAGCCACTTCACCTCAACTTGCCTCTCTCCATCCAAGAATATAAATGGGTACCGGCTAATACCAACCAGGGGGTATATTTGGTCATTCCATGCCAAGGAAACCGGAGATAAATACCATTCTGATGCACCATACTGACTCCTGACAGATTTTACCTTACTAACTCTACTGCTTGCAGTCACGCACCACATATTGCATAAACACTACAATCACCAACATGAACCCATAATCAAAATTGGCAACAACAAAAAAACCAACACATTTCTTCTTAAACAAATTGAAACTGACTTGTTGTAAGTGCTCTCTGAGTGACCTGTGACTGCTATTTCACAGGTGTGTAGCACTGCTGATGTTACTGCTAATGGTTCACAGGCACGTTAAAGTACAAAAATGTATGAATGCAACGCAAATGCACTGAAACCAACAGAGTAAAAAGAAGCTACAGCATCATAATTTACCACTGTTCCTAGTTGAAACTGGAGAATCAATATTTCAATTTTACACAACCCCTGAATAAATTCCTGTCATCTGATTGGTGAGTCGTTGATCACATGTTATTTAATTATTCATCCCAACCCACGACCTGGCCGCACCACAAAAATAAAAGTTCCATTCAACTGAAAATGGAAGTTCCATTGCACGGTACACTTTTGGTGGCGCGGCATTGTATAAAACAAATCATGAATGTTTTACGGTCATGCAATGGAATGAATAAATTTCATTCAGTGACAGATGGAATGGTCCATTCGCTCAGCTGTGCCTCATGGAATGGAATATTCCATCTGTCACCTCATGAAATTATTCTTACCATTGCACTCATAAACATTCATTATTTGTATAATATATTCAAGTATTTTGCATGATTGTATAAGTATGGAAATTCTGTGCTTACCTTGGGTTTCGGTTTGACAGGTTCATCCACTTCAGAAGCGGAGGCACCCCAAGAATCTTCCTCAAACGAATCCCTTCAAATGAAACAAAGAAACCAATAACTTTATTGCATGAGATCTAATGCAGCCATTCTGTTTAGCTGTTGCGTAACACTGTACGTGTATATCAAGTTTTAGCGTAAATTAATTAATGTCAGAATACATTGTGCATTAAAACGATAATAATAATAATTAACAAACTTACTTTCCAGCAGAAATTTCATCTTCATCATCATCTAGTGATAAATAAAACAAAACGATCAATTAGAGAGATTTTTGCTGTCGATTGCAAAAAGTCAAATAAACTATCACATATGTTGGGATATTTGCTACCCTACTTTCACCACAACCCAAGACACGATTTAAAAAAAAAAAAAATTTGACCGCTGAAATGCACGTAAAAGAACACAGTGACACTTATCGCTAAGAGAAGGGGCTTGCCCCGGTGTTTCTGGCCTCCTACATAAACTCCCACGCGGAGTATTTAGGAGAAGAACCAACCAAGCACCAAGGAGAGGGTGCACTTTTTACCACTGTGGGTGGGCCCAGTGGACCAGACACACCCTGTGTGCATTCTGGTTGGCGCGTGTATGGTGTGAGCCTATGCATAACTAATTTTTGTAACATTCAGATGAAATTAGGCCCTAAAATTGCCCATTTTTGCAATGCAGCGTAGGCATCATTTTTCAAAATGGCGATGGGCTTCAAGACTTCTTTTAGAGCGATCATTTTCGGATAGACTTTTCTCTGAAATGCTATTGGTTAACCCCAAAATAATTAAACAGAAAATGAAAGATGACGGAATAAGTTTTAATTTGATGTGTGTCCCGAACACCTTTGAAGTATTTTGGAAGTGCGCGTAATTATCACTGAGGTCCATAGAAGTCTATTTAACGGACTGCTACCTTATGGTGCTCTCCTCAGGTGATAAAAAAGAATGCAATGTGCCACAGCACAGCAGTCAACAGCTGCTCATCTCTACCCATCTAATGACAGCTGTTTACCGTATTCATCCCTAGCACTGCCTCCCCCAAGGCTGAAGCCAAGCCCCACCCCCTCCGAGCCTCCAGTAGAGCCAAACATGCTGGACCCTGGCCGGCCCACCGCGGACCTGGGACGCCGACTGGAGTTAGCTTCATCGATCAGATGGGAACACCTACACAGGTAAAGCAAACACATAAATGTTATCCAATGTTGGCTTCAGATTGTTCATATGTGATGCGATCAAGCTAAATGAGTCGTTTGTCGGGAACTTTCATTTGGAGATTCAGGCCAAGATAGGGCCACTTCATCAAATCACTTCATCACATCTCTTGGTGTTCCGACTTCCATAATTTTTGAACTAAAAATTGAACCAGCATGCGGTTTTCACAGCAGTTATGCTGAGTTTGTGCTCTTTTCAAATCTGTAAAAAGAAAAATTGACCAGGGTCGACAAACGACTCATTTAGCTTGATCGCATCACATTTAAGTCAGTGTTCTCAAAGAAGTATATTAAAGAAATTATTTGACAAAAGCATTGATTGAGAGTGCTAAATGCCAGATTTATATTTGAGGTATTTGTGATGGATCACGAGTGCATCGCAAAGGAACAGAGGTTGACCAATAACTAGGTATGCTTTTGTCATACATCATTTTGAAAAATGTACATGTAGCTTGCGAGTTTGTCTCTGCATTCAATAGGAGACGTTGAATAATAGAGGACAATAGGGTCCCCAATTCCCGAAGGTCCCCAATTTAGATCGTGTACAAAACATATGGGAGGTCTTCCTAAAAAGTTGGGGTACAAACAAAAGAGGGACAATAGGGGGGTCCCCAATTACAGGCAAATACACACTTGTGTGAGATGACTTGGGACTTAACAGAAGGAAAATTGCTGGGGAAAAGAGAGACCGCCAAAAGAACACCCAGACCAAGCCCAATGACCAATCTTTCAGTCGCTGCAGTAGGATTTGTCTCTCTGGATAGGTCTCCTAAGCCATCAGCGTGCCTGCATTCGATGTGGACAACCTTCATAAATCTTCATTCGCAAAGCTAGCCATGATGACATAAAGACTTATGATCATCACAAGTGTCTCCACCACAACAATGCCGAGGGCACAACTGCACAAAGGATGCTTTATCAAAAGCACACACAGCACCTTTTCAAAAATGCAAATAGCAGTCTTTCCGAACATAAAAAGGCTTACACATCTTTTGCATGGCACTGATGGAGATGAATGTTAAACTATGGGGCTTTAATCTTCACGTTTAAGCGAAACCTCACTCACGATCAGAGGGTCAGATGTTCAACTTCAACTGCTGGTCATATATTGTGTCCGTATCTGGTAAATCTTCATCCAGGTATATAAATGGGTACCATCATAACTGAGGAATAACATTCAATGGGCTCTGTGCGCCAACAAAAGAGGGCACCTTTTTACCACTTTTGAGAGCAGGACACACAGCATGAGCGTACTGTATTGTACTGGTTTGGGTGCGAAGTACGCACGACTTCCTGAATGTGCAAATAATTAGCCACAGCGTCTTCGCGTGAGCGTCAGGCGTCTTCGGCACATGAATACGTTCAAATTTCTGGTCTCCCACACTAATCCCCGCCCCAAATAACTTTGGAAATACGCAGTTGATGGACCGGGAACTTGTCTATAGGTCTCCCCTAACTCTCCTTTTCTGGCCGTTGAAGGAGTACTTGATCACGGAGCCCACAGGCTGGCAAGGGGGGGGGGGGGTTTACAATTGCTCTGAGTCTCAGAAGTTTCATGCCAAGTATACTGGCAATAAATACTTACCAGATGATCAGTACTGGCTTAAAGCAGATTTTACTGTACTTGCACGTGCAGCAAGACTTTGTTAGTTCCCAATTAGAACAGTTGGGATCACCAAGTGGCATATTCCAAGCATTCCGTGTTCTGAGACCGCTCCCTTCAATCTTACCCATGGAATCCTGCCATGATAGCCTGGTCGTTGGCCGTCCATCCCTTGCTGTCCTTGATCTCTGTGTCTGCCTTGCGTTCCAGCAGTAACTTGACCAGGCCAATTTGGTCTGACTGACAGGCCAGCATCAGAGCAGTCCTGCAAAACCAAAACAAAGAAGGTGAAGAGATATATTTCTTGTCTTCCTTATCATCGCTGAGTTCCTATGTAGGTGATTGAATGAGTAATTCAGAGGCAAATGACAAACTGGATTGGTGGTGGACTGGTAGTGTTAAGCAACTTTAATCATCAAAGAGGAGGCAGACACAAATCCACTTTGAATTTTTCTATGATAATCTTTCTTGTGATCAAGCCATAGGAATTTTAGGTTTGCTATCTTGCACATGTTGTGTGCAACAATTTTATAAAGAAAAATTGGAGGTACAGTTCTCTAAAAATGATTAAATCCTGTCGGTAAACATTTATTTTGCTCCACTAACAGTTTGCGGAATACCTTGACTCATGTGCATACAGTTCCTTCGCAGACTATGTGTGTTTTACCTGTTGTCGTTATCCGTTGCGTTGACGTCAGCGTCGTTGTCCAACAGCACCTCTGCCATGACATCCTGTTTAGCCTCAGTGCACAAGTGCAACGGTGTACTCCCCCTCTACAGAGTAAATCAAATACTAAGTAAAAATAACAGACACTACAGTGGCACTGTTAGCCGATTTATGTTTAAAAGACGTACAGCTCAGCAATCAGGGTTATATAGATCAAAAGTGAATATTGCATTGAAGAAACCAGGATAGACAGTCAAACATGCATTGTGAACTATTAAATAATCTAAAACTTACGAAAAGAAAAATTTGGAAACAAATATTTTGGGAGCTTTTGCTCTTAACCCTAACCCTGCTCAATCCTCCAAAATCCACCAGGCAGTATTGGAAGTTTTCGGAGAATGGAGGCCATATGTTATTTCCAATTGATTTTGCAGGATGCATTGTGTCAGGTCTTAAGTTACACCTTGTGTTGTTTATGCTTAGCCAAGCTCCGGATATAGCTCCAGAGCTAGCTAGCTCGACCCAAAATAGTTGTGGTTTGGACGCATCTTAACTCCACCTCTGAAGCTAGCTCTGGAGCTATCCAGCCCAATTCGAGCCCCCAAAATTTGTGGGGCTAGCTCCACTTTCAGCTCAGCAGGGCTTCATTTTATGACCTGGCTCCATCGTTATTTGTCATTTGGACGCAACAGACCTAGCTCAATTCTGGCGCATCCGGTCCGAGTTAACCATCATTGTATGAACGTAAGCATATTTAGATTTTATCACTAGCTCCACCGAACCCCTGTTGAGTTCATTAATTGGAAAAGAGCTCTATCCAAAACTTCCCTCCGTCTGAACGTACCCATAAACCCTTTTCACACTAGAGCCTATCAACCTGGGTTGAACTCGACCCTGGGCGAACCCAGTGCCGCCCCAGGTTGACTTTTTAATTTTTCAACCCCGCGTTCAATCCCGCATTGTTTCACACTTGTTTCATGCAAATCAAGCTTATCATACTCAGTTACTACTGTTTTGAACCCTGGCAAGAATTTCAACCCGGGTTGAAAATCTCAACCCTGGTCTTGAGCAGGGTTGAGGTCGACCCTGGGCGAAATCAATCTCGGGGTTGACGCAGGGTTGAAATTCTTCAAGTGTGAAACGATGCATGTTTTCAACCCTGCGTCAACCCCGAGATTTGTCTAGTGTGAAAAGGGCTTTAGTTTCACGGTTCTTTTCAAAACCTCACAAATGCACAAAAGGGATTTCTTACATGGTGCAACTGTAGACTTAATCTCATTGCTGTCATCACCATGCAAACCTTCAAATCTTATCGAACAAACTTTTAGCAAATAATGAAAGGTTTGCGGAAACACCATGTGCGAATAATTTCTCAACTAAGAGAATGGTTCTGAAAAGAACCAGAGGTATAAACTCGACGTTCCAGTCAGCATACTGACCGGAACGTCGAGTTTATACCTCTGGTTCTTTTCAGAACCATTCTCTTAGTTGAGAAATTATTCGCACGTGGTGTTTCCGCAAACCTTTCATTATTTAGTATCTCCACCATGCAAAGCCTCAAATCTTACTTAAAGTTTTAGCAAATACATGCGGATATAAACCAGAGACTCTTACCAGCTGACAAACCTTTCAACAACTTCATGAAAACTACTGTCTGACCTTGTTTGGGGCGTTGACCATAGCGCCGCCCTTCAACAAGAGCAGGACGACATCCACAAAGCCCCCATGAGCGCCAACGTGTAACGCAGTGTTGCCATCCTTATCCACTAGGTTAGGGTCTGCACTGCTCCTCAGAAGGGTCTCAACGCAAGCCACGTGGTTGCCTTGGGCAGCCTTTAAGAGAATAGACATGATGCCTATTATTGGTTATTTCATTACTGGTTATGTTGATATTATTTTGTGGGTAGTGTTTACAAAAATAACCACGTTTCAGAGTACCAGCTATTCCGTTCAGCTACATTTGTCATGTCAACATCATTAAAAATGTAATAACACTGCAACTTGATCAAAAGAAATTGTCTATAGCAATATATAATAAAGAAATAATGAAGTGATGTTAAAGGGAATATACAAACATCGAAAAATAAAACTACCAAGTTTTTACGAAATACCCTAATAGGATGTTGGTAAATGACAGTCTAAAGCATCCTGTAAAATTATGGCACCTGGTGTGAAGTCATTTTTAAGAAAACGGTATTTTTGTAAAAAATTTCCAGCGGTGATCGGCCGACCACCATTGGAAAAACCTAACTATTTTTCAACTACTGCTCCAAATTTACCATTAATTCAGTCCAAATTTTGTTTGCTATTGGTTACATGTTCATGGACGGGTGCAGGCCAGCTAGACTGGTACCCTTACCTTACAATTTTCCGGCATCTGTAAATTGATCCATTTTATATTTAGTGGAGTCAGGGAACCAGACTACTTGAACAGTTTTATTTTTCTTGGTTTTTCCAGCATTTTCGAACACAAATCTGCAAATGCTGTCAGTGTAACAATATTTGATCTATTATACTAACCCCTCAAATAGTTCATTTCTGAAAATGACAGCAAAAGCCAATGATGTACATTCCCTTTAAAATGTAGGAAAAAGGAGACATATAAAAAAAATGAAAATCAATGGGGCCCACACTGCAGGCCACTTGGGGGGAAATAACAGATGTTTAAAGGGTATTTAATACACATAGCTATAATTTTCAGAAATGGATGGATTGGGGATTAGTATTTTAATGAACTATGAAAAAAGTTTTCATAGATGCTGGAAAATCGAGAAAGCAACTGCTGTTCTTGTAGTCTGGTTTCCTGACCCTACTTCAGATGAATTGTCAGGTCAGGGAACCAGACTTGCACCCGTTCACGGATGTGTTACCAATTGCAAACAAAATGTGGACTAGCTAAATTTGGTAAATGGGGGCATTATTTGAAGAAGACCACAAAAAAAAAATCAGTTTTTCCAACGATGGTCGGCCGACCATCATTGGAAATTGATACAAAAATTCCATTTTTCTTGAAAAGGACAGCACTTTTAAAGGAGACTTTTCTTTGATATTTTGCACCTGTGAGTGGAGCCAAGTAATTTCAATTTGAAGCCTAAGACTAGACTGGTACATGTACATGTTTAACTGTTTAAAAAGATTGACCCTTCAGTGGTCTGGTGGCAGATTATGGAGAGATGTGCAGAAATACACCGGCACCATACGTTTCTTTTGACAGTTGACTGATGCAGAACTAAAGGGATGTTGGTTACCTTAAGTTTTGGGACTCTCATAGTCATACACAGTAACAATATTGAGAGTCCCACATTTTCAGACTACATGTAGGCGTACATGTATGTGCTTGCATGATGTCCACAATTACCTTCATGAGAGGCGACCGCTGGTCATTGTCACACAGGTTCAGCTTGGCTTTGTTTGACACTAGGAATGCCGCAATCTCTTTGTGGCCTTGAGAACACGCCAAATGAAGGGCGGTTCTAGAATGAAGGGGAAAAAAGGGAATCGGTTTAAAATCATTTGAAGTGACAAAAGTGCTCAAAATCTAAAGAATAAGATGGGTGCTTACCAGCTAAACCTGATGGACTTCTAGCTCAGTGAATGCTGTATATTCCGAGAAAACACTAATATTCTAGAATCTCGGTTTCAATTCAAAAGTTACCGAGTCATGTTTTGAATTGCGCACGAAATCAGCGTCCACAACGCATTCTCATTCGGCTGATTGCAGCTACGCAATGTGACGTACTGAACTGACAAATAATAACAACCGCGCTTGCATGTGCATTGTTTCTACGCTGACGCTTGCACGCACCCATCTGCATGATCTGAGGATTTGCCCAATTACAATGCAACAGTAGTTGCATTGTAATTGGGCAAATTTCCAAAAATGTGTCACTTGACACATCTTGGAAACGAGTCTAGAATAAAGAATTTGTAAAACTAAAATAATTGTTATATTGTCACTGATTGTCAAACTTAAAATTAGAATAAATTATTGTTGCAGGAAAAAAATGTAGTATCCAGATGCTACTTCTTTGGTTGTGTACAAAGTTAATGGAGAGTCAAGTGCAAAATTGAGAATGCAATGCATTTTTGCAAGCCAATGAGAATGACTGAACTTCACTCACTCACTCACTGAGATATTTAAACATACATGTAGTTGTACATGATGTATGATCACTGATGATGAAAAAAGTGGCGTCAGGATGCAACATTCCTTCCTTGTTGCGATTATGCAGGGCCTACTTAACATATGTTTTCAAATGCCCCTCATTTACCTGTTCCCCTTATCAAGTTGATTGACATCTCCCTTCTTGCTGAGTTGCTGCACTTTCACCAACTCGCCGCCCCAGGCCGACTTGTGCAGCTTCGGTAAATCCTTCTCCTTCAGCGAATAACCTGGAGGATCGAACGCTGCATTACTGACTGGCTCTGGAGCGGAACTTTTTCCCTTCGCCTTACTGCTTTTAAAAATCTTCTTCATGTTTTAGGCATTGTAAATCGATTTAGAAAAGGTAAATTACGGGCCCTTGGATTCAAAGTGGCGTCCCTAGTGAACGACACAGCCTCGTTTTGATCTCGCGAGAATGTTTGGTTGTTCGTGCTTGATTACTAAGTAGAAATCAGTCTCATCCCCAGACGATGTTACGGGTTACAAGCCAATGGTAAATAATATATACAAAGATCAGTGATGGTATCGTACTGCTTTAACGCCTGGAAAACGAGGTTAATCAAACCTTTAATCCATATGACAAGGGGAGCAGCAAATGAAGAAGGCGGTAAATGCTTCGCAGACATGTCACTGTCATGACTGTTGGCAGCAGTAGCCGGCCTTCCCTGCGCTGACAGCTGGATACAAAATCGTGAATTGTTTCTTCAGTGTTCTTAATGTGTACGTACGTTAGGTACGTCATGTACATGTACGTACACGATACAGTAGAGACTGCCATGCCAGGGGCCAATTTCATAGAGCTGCTTAGCCTTAAGCATGTTAAGCATAACATTTGCTTAAGCACAAAAAAACATTGCTGCCTTAGGCCAAAAAAAAAAAGTCTCCGGTTTCTGGTATGGAGCTTGCCAAAAAAGTGGTGCGGCGACGCGGCTTTTTTTTTTTTTTTACCTGACTTTTTTGCTTCAAATGTCGGCTGATGACTGCAAATATTAAATGGTGTCCGACTAAACTTTGTGCAAATATATGGGAGTCCAGAGAGGCCACATAAAGCTTATTCTCGATCATAACCCCCATCTAAAAACACGTTAAAATTGTGCAGCAGCAGGATTCCAGTCAAACCAGTGAGTTTGGCGGTTTTGAGACATCATCTTGCATTGAAAAAAAAACTTTTTCATTTTGCCGACGCGCATGGCTACGGCGACGCGCGCGCATACCAGAAACCGGAGACTTTTTTTTTTTGGCCTTAGTCATGTTATTTTTTGTTAGTAAAATCAGGGGCCAATTTCACGGCACTGCTAAGCACAACAATTTGCTTAGCACAAAAAAGGCTGGCTTAAAAAAGCAGGTTACCAGCCAAAACTCAATGTGATGCATAATTTTCGTGAAATTTCATGTTGAAATTTTGATACGCAAACGTGTGCAAACGAATCTGAAAATTTCACGAAAAATAAACATCTGAAAAAGGCAGCACTTTCTGATTAGCCTATAGGGTGAGTATGCTTCTAAAGCAAAAATAATCTACAAACTAAGCCTAAATGTGAAAATCAAAATTTGACAAAGTTCGACATGTTTTTGTACATGGTGGAAGTGTGGCCTTTATTTACGGAGGTAGTCCAGTAAATTGGCCACATTTATGGGGCTAACCGGCATCATGACCATAGCCTAGGCCTATGTATTCTGGCGATAGGCAAATGGTAGGCCTAGGGATAGGCAAATGATAGGGGGCCCATCTGGTCACTTCGGCACCTTGCCAATTCGGCACCTACCAACTCGGCACCTTGCCAACTCAGCACCTGTACAAACACCAACTCGGCACCTAGCCGAGTCGGCACTTGGCTAACTCGGCACCTTCACAATTGCTTTATTTCGCAAACCGGCTAATTAAATAATAATATCGAGAATCAAAAATGTTGCCTTCGTTATCTAATGTTTTCGCGTGGGGCAGACCGGGCTTGTACGCACAATCTCCGCTGGTCAACGTGGAAATCTTTTGTGCTGGCGTAGCCCGTGATTGCCACCCATCATGCACGGTGAAGCCTGGCGCGATGCAGCACTACGATTCGGCCCACAATTTGGAGGATGGTACCCCGCGCTAAACCGTTATTTTTTGGCACTCATGTGAGAGGAGCCCTGCTGATTTCCTTTGACCTCGTGCGCACAGGACAAAAGCAAGTTTTTATTTTGTACCCCACCCCCCCCCCCCCAACAAAAACCCACTTACTTAAGACCAGAGAGTAACGATTTCTGGGGCATTTCCAAAGAAAAGTGGGACAAATAACTGATTATTTGGGGACAGACCATGGTTTGGGGAGGTCAGGTGCCGAGTTGGTCAGGTGCCGAGTTGGAAGTCGGGAGAAGGAGGCAGAATTTGGGTGCCGAGTTGACTAGGTGCTGAGTTGGCTAGGTGCCGTCTAGGTGCCCAGTTGACAAGGTGCCGAGTTGGCAAGGTGCTGAGTTGGCAGGTGCCGAGTTGGCTAGGTGCCGAAGTGACCGACATTCAATCTGGCATACTGTTCTGTTGTGCATATTCGACATTCCACAACCAACAACACTCCCAGTCATCAAAATGTTATTTACTTATGTGAGTTTGGTGAAATAACAACACAAAATGGTGATATACTGTAACCAGTGATGACGAGCCACATATCCGTATACGGTACATGTGCCTGCTGCACCATTTGGCCCCTTATGTTGTACGTACACCTGACGAGATATTATCGTGCACATACACAATCATGACGATAACTGCGTTGGGTACGGGTACGCTAGTTATCTTGTATGTACACGATACGATAATACACATGATGTAGCCCGGGTTTACTCCACTCCAGTGCGTTTCCATTACCATCCCAAATCCTGCAAAATCCTTTTTGCAAATTGGAGGAATTTACAGGATTGAGGTTACGTGGCAAAAGTGCGTTGCTGATTTCGGAGTACGCACTGTGTCAAGGTCTTGGGCCGGACCTTGTGTTGTTTATGCTCAGCCGTGCATAAATTTAGTCCTTGATTATACTTGAAATCCTCTGTACTGCTCCAGGATGTCACTGCCTCTGCCTCGGCCTATTGACAGTCATAGTCGGAGGATTTTGCAGGATTCAGGCAGTGGTCACCTCTCCACGGACCATATTCAAGAAGTAATGGAGGAATTTGCAGGATTGAGGCTATATGCTATTTTTCCATGAGGCCAATTGGAGGATTTTGCAGGTTTGAGGCTACATCCTAGCAAAAAGGCCTAGGGAATTAGGGTTAATGGGGCTACACACGATGCTATGCTATATGTTGTGGTTGTAGCATGGAGGTAGCCCGTACACCTTTGTATTTGGTTTTTCTTTCATGTATGGTGTATGTACACGATCTCATACTAATTATCAGTTGTGGATCCAGGGGGTGCGGAATCCCCCTGCCCCCCCTCCGGCACACCCTCTGGAGAGCGTTTTTTAATGTTTAGATTATTTGAGGTTTTATAAATCTTTAAGGAATTACTTTTAACATTGAAGACCTTAAACTGCTAAAAGGATCCTGAAGCCTACTATCGGGGTACATGTATACCCTTGTTGGTCTATTTAAAATAATCTTCTCTTTCATTTCTCAATGTTCTACATGTGTTGTCATTATTAACATTCTCTCTGCCCTTTTTCTTCCAGTTTCATCCAAGTAATAATATGATGATGCTTCCAAAATATTTGCACAGTCAAAATAATCGTCTTCGTTGTAAACTGCTATGCTGCTCAAGTCTCTACACCACGTCCTCTGCAAAACCTTGTGTTCATCTGTTCGTCCAAACTTCATCGTCAAAGGTCCTCGTCCAAACTCCATCATCTGCCAGCACCGACAGGCGAGGGCGCTATTCACAATGGAAGAGGTTGAGAAGGGCTTTCGGGAGGATGTCAACCTGGCAGCCGTGTGCCAGATGACGGCTACGGAAGACAAAGATGCCAATTTCCGAGCTGGTTCCTACCTGGTTCAGCGAGCTGCCAAGATGGGTGCTAAGGTGATTATACAATGTAATCGTCTTTCTGGAAACAAAATCAAGGGATCCTCAAAAAAATGCACCTGCAGACTTGTAACGAGTCACTGATTTTTGTGACTCAAGTCGAGTTGAGTCATTTTAAAGAAGTGACTCGAGTAGAGCCATTAGGTCAGGAAGGTCGAGTCAAGTCAAGTCGAGTCACAGTGTGTAGTGTAGTTGAGTCATGTATTTAGCTCGAGTTAATTCGAGTCACAAATATTTAAACACTATACAATAAATAAACACAAGAGAGAAAGTCATTTTTGCCTTTTTCAATTTTACATTCGGGCTTGTGGTGACACCACATTTGACTCTTAATGAAAATAAAAAGGGGGTGCCAGCTGATTGCCATTCCACTAATGGGGACACTGATCATAACCACGTATGTATATTTATTATTCGTGAACATTGTAATGTGACATAAACAAAAACCAGCACCGGCGTAAGTCATTGCAAATATTTTTTTGCAAAGTTTTGCTTTTATTTTTGTAAATCGAGTCTTATTAGCCTTCCTCGAGTCGAGTCGAGTAATTCTGATGAGGGACTCGAGTCGAGTCGAGTCATTTGCTCGCAGTGACTCGAGTCGAGTCATTTGCCCTTAGGGACTCGAGTTGAGTCACCAAAAATTGTGACTTGAGTCGGACTAGAGTCGATTCATTGACTCGCGAATTACAACTCTGGCACTGTGCAAGCCTGAAGATCCCTAGAAACGTAGTGGCTATTGTTGCGGCAGTGTAAAATCACCATTGTGAACCTACCGGTACATCACATTTATAACTACCCGACCAACCAGAATGCTTCGACACATCAGCTCAATTGGTTACACATTGGACTACTTTGCCGGGGATCGGGGTTTGAAAGTCAACATTTTTATTTTTTAATTTAAGTATTATTGTTTTCTTCTTCGTAGTCCTTGGCGTTTGGAGGATTTTTTTTAAAAAGGAAAAAAAGTCTGAGAACCATTCGGTTGAAAGATGATTTTTTTTTAAAAAGGAAAAAAAGTCTGAGAACCATTCGGTTGAAAGATAGTCTGATTCCAACAGCCAAAGATCCTGATGTTGAATACTATCGGGTCAGAGAACCAGACGCTTCCATAATGATAGCACTTAAAAATTGCGTTACGGCTGCCATAACTATAGCCACTGAGATCTAGAAGAATGGAAGAAGTTGAACAAGTGTTCAGTTTTAGAGGTGGAAAGAAAACTCTGGAATGATTTTTCCGGGGAAACCCATGAAATCAAGGAGGGAACTGAAAACCTAATCCACTGGCATACATGTCAGCTTGTTCAAACTTTGAAAAACTCAATGCTGTTGTGGTCCAGACATCTTAACCACAAGTAGTGAGAAGGTCCTGGGTTCGAGTCCCATCCGAGCAGGTAATTATTTTCCTCACAAGATCTAGTCTGAGTATCACCCATTGTCCAACGGAGCCCTGTCTCTGTATCCAACGTCTGATATATCTAAGCATGCAAATTTTACTAAAACCTCGCTCGTCAGCCGCACAGAGTCGACTTTTGAAGTTGTGAAGTCATTTTCATCAGAAATGTGACATTAGCTGTTGATTGGTCAATTTGGCTGCCAAGCTTTCGCAATACAATAACGGGTTAGTTACGGAAGACCCGATAGAAGGCACCCGCAAAATGGTCAGAATCTCGAGGTCAATTAAGACACGGTGTTGTTTCGCATAATTATTCGCCTAATCTGCGAGGATATCATAGACGCTTGTCTGCAAGCGGATATTCCATACACTACACAAGATCATGGACAGCACTGAAATACATTAATGTCTGCTGAGAAAAAGGCCTCGCTCTCTTTTGTAGAAGAAATTTTGAAAAAAAAGGTCCTCTGTCCAACAATGACTTAAAACTGAAATCCTGGCTTGGATACTATTTTCAAATTTGTCTATAAAGTCATATCAAGGCTCGTAAGTATAGTGGTAAAGTGTAATATTAATACGTGCATTTGTCTGTTGACTGTGTAGATGGTGTTCTTGCCCGAGGGTGTGGACTATATCGCCTCTTCGGCAGAGAAGTCAGCCAGCATGGCTGAGCCACTCAACGGCAAAATGGTGACTGGCTACGCTGAGCTGTGCAGACAGTACGGTGTGTGGATATCACTGGGTGGGGTCCATGAAATGGTGCGTACACTGCCAGTTTCAACAAGACTCTCGTTCATATAGGATCATTTGCATTGTCCGTGCAACAATGTCGTATCTCCCCAAATTGTCCGTACGTGAAACCCGAGTTTCAGAATGTCAAAAGATCATATCTCACTTAAAATAAGCCAGATACTACACACATGGTTAATGGACGTCGAGATACGATGTTGTTGCACGGAGTGTATTCGCGCGAGATACGACTTTGTTGCAGAATGGAGTTACCTTGTTGCACTGACCGTAACGTGACGCAATATGCCTATTAAGCTTGTGAGCAGGTGGTTGTGGGTTCACTAGACTAAACTCACTAGTAAGAAACAGGCTTTATAGGTTCAAGTCCAAAACTAGTAAGCTTGTGATTTTTCCCCGCATAAACCCTTGGACTGCACTGAGTACGCTTACGAAATTACGGCAGTTAAAGGGCAAACCGAACGCTGAATTTAAACTCTCCAAAGTTTTAAGAATTTAAAGACTGGAATGGAAGATTGGGAGTTGAGCTGGGATCCTTTAATTAAGCCTAATTATAACCTTCCCAAATCCTCCCAAATCCTCTTTGCAAAATGAAGTATTGAGGCTATATGGCAAAAATGTGTGGCTTATTTCGGAGGATTTAATGTGTCAAGGTCTTGAGCCGGACCTTGTGTTGTGTATGCTCAGCCATGCATAAATTTAGGCCTAGATTATACTTGAAATCTTCCGCACTGCTCCAGACTGTCACTGGCTGTGCCTCAACATACTGGCAGTGATTGCTGGAGGATTTTGCAGGATTGAGGCAGTGGTCATCCCTCCAAGGACCATATTCAAGAAGTAACGGAGGCTTTTGCAGGATTGAGGCTGTATGCAACTTTTACATGAGGCATTTGCAGGATTTTGCAGGATTGAGGCTGCATCCTAGCAAAAATGCCTGGGGAGTTCATAGGGTTACTTGAGCATATTTTACAGGGTAAACAATTAGCAGCGTAGCATATTGGACAAAAAGTTGTGATCTCGTGTGCCAGTGGCACAATTTCAAGGAGAGCTCTCTCTCGGGGTTGAGGAAGATTCTTGGTGCAAACGCCTTTACTCCCAATCTATATCCCCTTCCCAAGACAAGCCTAAATTTTTTTTGGTTGTTTTCCAATTATAATAATAATTGGCCATTATCTTTCTTACCCACAGGGACCAGTACAGCCAGTCGGCGATAAAATCTACTGCGCCCACGTTCTTCTCAATCCAGAGGGGGAAATTGCATCCGTGTATCGCAAAGCGCATCTGTTCCAAGCGCAGATAGAAGGCCGCATGAACCTACAAGAGTCCAGTTATGTTCTCCATGGCGAGCACATGAGCAAAGTTGTGGACACTCCCCTGGGCAAAGTAGCGCCAATGGTTGTATCCTTGTTAAGTTTATTAAGACCTTGCTTTTTAAGTGTAAATATTTGTCCGTCAGACAGATATGCCAATACCCTACTTAAGCAGGGCTGCCAACGCTTACACTTTGAGCGTGATGAGACTCAAGCATTCCAGGTAATTTTAACGCTGTCACGCCCGCACAGTATTTCTCATGCTAAAAAAGGAAAGAAATAATTGACTCCAAACTCAAAAATGATGTTTTAATGTTCACTTTTGCTCAAAAAAATTGGTCAAAGTATTACCTCAGATCAGATCGCACCACAAAGCGTCTAGAATCCAAAACTTTCAGGGGCCCTAACCCCACACAGTCAGGGTTTCGCACTGTGCGCTCGCATTCGTTCTGATCAAGCTCCATCACCAAATTCTCAAGCTCAGCTCGCACTCAAAGTTGGCAGCCCTGCATATGGAGTCGTTGGAGGATGCAAACCTCAGTCAGCAAAGACGGGTGATTTGGATCTGGATGGTGATCATTTACTTCTCAAAGGGATTAGCTTGGCATTCCTTGGAAGACAGGCTGCTCATCACCCTTGTGGTGATCACCTGATGTCAATGTGGTACTAAGAATAGGCCATATTCTTAAAGGGGCACTAGATCCTGAAATCCCCGAAAACGTTGTGTTTTGGATTGTTTTAAACTTAGCCTATTTCAAACATCTGGTTGAAAGGGTATGTTTGCTACAACCCTGCCAAACCTAGCAGCATGCAACACTTGACTAAGTGACAAGCCTGCCAAATGTAGCAAGATGCATCAGGGGAAAAGGCTCAAAGCCACACTGCCTCAGAGTCTGTGATCACCGCATGCAGCAGGATACAACTGTGGCATTGTTCAATGGGACTTAGCTCTCATTGTTTCAGAGCTGGCCATTCATGCACCGGTGTTGGTAGGTGAATGCACCAAAAGGCACCAGTTCTTTTCTACCTGATGCACTGTGTTGCATCTGGCAGGGTTAGGGTTGTTAAGGTAGATATTGGAGTGTTTTGAAGGGCCTAGTAGATTAAGAATGTAAAACTCAAGACTATTGTCACAAAAGTAGAATGCGTCAAAATCTCTTTGACAAGACTAGGCATGCCTCATCTAGCTGGACCAAAAGGTCTCTATAATAATAATAATAATAATTAATAATAATAATAATAATAATAATAATATATAGTGCTTATATAGCGCTTTATACCAAAGGTCTCAAAGCGCTTCACAATTATTACCCCTGTTCATCAGGCCATGAGACCAGTTTTTGCAGCAGCTCAAGATCAGCGCATTCTGGTCTCTACCTTCACAGGTACCCATTTATACTTCTGGGTGGAGAGAGGCAATTGTAGTAAAGTGTCTTGCCCAAGAACACAAGCACCATGTTCCCTGTCCGGGTTCGAACCCACGTACCGCGGCAAGTGAGTCGAACACCGTAACCATTGGACCACAGCGCTCCACAAAAAACCTCAAGGCCACACTGTTTTGGACATTTACTCAGTGACCCAGTCAGTCGGGGAGTCAGCCAGCCAGTCAGTCAGTCTTTCAATGACTCAGTCAATGACTCAAGAGTACCAGAGGCAAGCCCTTTGGATCTGGAAAATCACCTACAATTTTTTTGTGACAGCAATATACTTTCTTAAACTCTACATTACCAAGCTGCTGAAGGGATTGTTTAATCCTTAATCAGTCTTGCGTCGTCAGTGTTACGATGTACGGTTTCCTGAAATGTCCACGGCCCTGACCCAGCAAGGAGCAGAGATTCTCACCTACCCGTCAGCATTCACACAGCTCACAGGAATGGCACACTGGGAGGTATTCATGTCTGCTCCTTTAATTCATGACCCATCCCAACAAAATGAGAGTGAAGTTGCCACAAGTTAAATTTTGAGTTACAAACCCCTGAAACAAATCTTGCAAAATGGAAGTCGGTAGGAACTGTGAACATTTTTGCCCACATAATGCTCATTTAAAACGCTTACAGAGGTAGAAATAGGACACGAAACTCCTTAAAAAACTCTGAATACATAAGTTACTGGGAAAAAGTTGAGAATTGTGAGTTTTCTGTTTTCAGTAATTTATTGAGACAGAAACAAACAAAAATGTTGCCCTTTTGCTGAACCCCCCTTCCATCCTTGCTGGCTATGATGTCATTGGCTATTCAAGACAGCGGTTGCCAGCCCTGATGTGGAGATCTGTGTACAAAAAATGTTTGCTTCTGAGTTTCAGGGGGACTCAATGGGTTTCGTTGTAGTTAAAAGTTTTTTTCCAGGAGTTTGGGAGCTGGGGGGGGGGGGGGTAGGGGACTAGGGATAGGGTGATACAGTCCTCAAGTTGGGGGGGGGGGTGCCCCTGACACCCTCCTGATAATAACGTCACTGGTACATTCCCATTGTTTATGACAATTAACCACTCTTTGTAACAACTCTTTCAGGTGCTACTACGCAGCAGAGCCATAGAGAACCAGTGTTATGTAATTGCAGCCGCACAAACGGGTAAACATCATGAGAAGAGGGCTTCATATGGCCGGGCTATGGTATGTAACATCAAAGACTCACAGCATCTTAAAGGGAAGATACAACATTTGCAAACATCACAAAATGAAATGATAAAATTTTCACAAAATACCTTACTGGATTGTTAGGGACTGACAGTCTAAAGCATCCTGTAAAATCGTGGCTCCTTGTGTGCTGACATTTTCAAGAAAAATGGTATTTTCCCAACGCTGGTCGGCTGAACACTGTTGGAGAAAACTGGCTTTTTTCAAAAAGTGTTCCTAATTTTTCATAGTTAGTTATTCCGCATTTCCTTTGCAATTGATTACAAACCTGTGAACGGGTACAAGCCTGCTAGACTGATTCTCTGACCTTACAATTCCTCAAAGTCTATTAATTGCTTCGTTTCATCTTAAGTGGGGTCAGGGAACCAGACTACAATAACACGATTGTTTTTTCTTGGTTTATCCAGCATCTACAAGCCCAAAACGTGGCACAAGCCAGTTTAACAGTATTTGCTATAACATACTAATCCTCCAAATCCATTTATTTCTGAACATTGTAGCAACAGCACAAAATGTTGTACATTCCCTTTAGGTACAATAATGTGCAAAATGATAGCAGCCTTTATTTCTTAGATCCGCCTTTGCAAGTCAACCTGGTAAACCATTGTGCTATTTTGCAGATTGTGGATCCGTGGGGCTGCATTGTCGCCTGTTGCCATGACGGCCTGGATGTTGCCGTGGCCGATATCGACCTGAGTTATCTGCGCAGAGTCCGCACTGAGATGCCCGTCATGCAGCATCGAAGGCACGACCTGTGTGGACGCTTGGAGGGAAGCAGCAGTAAGACCAATGATGACGACTGCTGACAATAATATATGCAGTTACCATGTCAATGATGGGAGTTGGATATCATCACACAAACATAGCAAAGAGCGTGTGCTAAACATGCAGGACTTTTGCATATGTTTGTCTAAGGCCAAAAAAAAAAAATAGTCGGTCTCTGGTCAGACCGAAGTTCCGGAATTTATGCGGCGACGCGGTTTTTTTTTGGTTTTTTGGTGGTTTTTTTTTTTTTTCAAGCTTGTATTATACAGACAAGGTGTCCTCATTATACATTGGTGTCCTCCATAATTTGCCTTGTTGCCCTTTATCATTTGCCTTGGTGCAATTTCCCCATTCCTTGGTGCTCCTTGGTACAAAAATTTGAGGAGGCGCGGCAATAGAGGGCGCTGTTGTAACTTCCGTGTTCATTTAAAAAAAAAAAAGGTTGACGCGCATGATTAAAATCGACGCGCGCGCTGACCAGAGACCGAGTATTTTTTTTTTGGCTTAATAAACTTTTTTATAAGTCAGCCATGTTCAGTTATTCTACACATCTGAATGTTGACTGTCATTACAATGGGATATGTGGATTGGTATTTTCGTTTCTTTTTGCTGGTTTGGTTTAGTTTGATAGCATTTGAGATATGGATACCATTTGTACAACATTAACGGTGATTGTTTGCTAGAATGATATGAAAGGGTAAGGCTTAGCTTGGGTGCCGTAAAATGACACTTTTCTTATCCCGCAATGTTATATTTGTTAAACTTTAAAAGTGTACCTAAAAGGGACACTGCGTCCTTGAATACGCCCAATTGGGCTACAAAACGCGTTTTGAACGAAATGATGTTAATCGGAAAGAACATTTAAAAGTAGGATATAAACATCCACACAACTATCCTTTAAAAACTGGGCGCTTTTGTAGTATTCTTGCGTTATTGGTGCGAGAATGACTTTCGGGGTCCACTTTTGCGACCCCAAAAAGTCGGGCTGTTCGTGCTAGTTGTGATTCCAACAGCAAGGGTTTGTCTTTTATGGATGTGTAAGAAATCACATTTTGTGCATTGGTGATTGGGCACCGCTGTTCCTGAGCACGGTGCTGTACGTGTGTAATACTAGACACACACAACGTGTATCGTACATTGTATGAAAACGACAGGAAACACGTATCATACTCCATCGTGTCCGATGTAAACAATCAGGTTTTTTTTTCGTCTTTTCCCGGGAACGTTATAACATTAGGTCGGTTTCCTTTCAACCAGATGTTTGAAATAGGATAAGTAAACAATCCAAAACATGAAATTTTCGGGGATTTCAGGACGCAGTGCCCCTTTAAACAGCGCCTTCCACTGTACTTTTTAAAAATGAATGGATGATTTTAACAGCTTGAATTGTTTTCTTTGTCCATTGCGTTTGAAAATTGTTGGGCAGTTTTGGGGCTCTTTTACATCCTAAAAATATTGTAAAAAGTACCAACAAAACTTAATATGATTGAAGTCAGTTATGTGACTGGTCATTTTTATAATTTTTTAAAGCACAAAAAACTTTGACAGTGTTATGATCGGATCTGCCGTTATATGCATCATGCTTGTAAACATTCCTGTAGATTTAATGATGAGAAATCAGTGAAATCTTGAGGTTTAGAAAGATTCAAGTTTGCCGTTTTGGGCAAAACTGTTGCTAACCATGTTGGAAATTATAATCCTTTTTGTCCAAATTTATGTTTTATGAATTAAAGAAAGATCTGTAGTGAAGCCAGATCAATACTGCAACAGATTTAATGCATTCAACTCTCTTCACTTTATGTATTATTCTATAAATTCAGGTTCCGGAGTATGACATTTTTCCTGGCCCTGAAAAGCTCTGAACTATTTGCTGCCAAGTATTATTGAGTTCAAACTATTCTCATGTGTTGGATAGGTAGTTTGCTTCGCATGATTACTCTTATGATAAAAAGGACTTACAGGGAAAATACAACATTTGCAAACATCGAAAAATAAAACTACCAAGTTGTTACGAAATAACTTACTAGCCTGGATGTTGGTAAATGACAGTCTAAAGCGTCCTGTAAAATTAGGGCACCTGGTGTGAGGTCATTTTCAAGAAAAAGGGTACTTTTGTATACATTTCTAATGGTGGTCGGCCGACCAACTGTTTTTCAACTACTGATCCAAATTTACTGGGTTTTTTTTTTCAGTCCAAATTTTGTTTGCTATTGGTTTCATGTTCATGAACGGGTGCAGGCCAGCTAGACTGGTTCCCTTATCTTACAGTTTTCTGGCATTTTTTATCTATTTCATCTTTAGTGGAGTCGGGGAACATTTTTGGTTTTCTTGGTTTTCCAGCATTTTCGAACACAAAACTTCAAACATGTCAGTGTAACAATATTTGACAATATTTGTTATTATACTAACCCCCCAAATAGTTCATTTCTGAAAATTACAGCAAAAGCCAATAATGTACGTTCCCTTTTAAGGAGATTTGTTCAGAATTCAGAGTTTAAGAGAATTATGCATGTGATACTGAACGAGGACAGTATATAAGTGGACCCCACATTTATAGAATTACCCATATCGCAAGTATACATGAACATTCTTGCCGCTCTTCTGTTTTATTGGTTTATATTGTACCATGACAGCCATATGGATGAAGTGTAACAATGATGCAATAAAAATATACACATGCATATAAAAAAAAAAAAAATCAGTGAAAGTCCTACATTAAGGTATGGGGTAGCAATGATCTTTTTCAGTGTGTTTTGGGCAATCTTTTTGATTGTGAGCGTTTGTGAACATAAACATAATACATAGTCCGAGTTTAAAATTGTATCCAGATGTTTATTTTTCTAAGTAATTTATAACATTCTCACGGGAAAATCTATATTAAATGTTCTCATTTTGTGGCAAATTGTCTCTTCTTGATATTTTGACTATATATAACAGGTCTAGATATGGCTCTGATTTTGCCAAATAGCGCCCTCCTATGTGTCCACCATATCTCAAACAGGCTAAGTAATGCATGTACTAATAATAATAAACCCAAGTGAATTTTGTGAATGCTGTTACTAGAATTAGTGGATTTCATGAACAATTTATTCATAGTGTTTTTTTAGCTGATAGTAAGAATAGAACCATTCCCCCCCCCCCCCCTCTTAAAAAAAAAACCCGAAGAATTCAGAACCAGTTGAGCATCAAATCGATTTGTACAGTTTGTCTTGTGCCGGAAGGCAAAACTTCTATTCACATTCACAGCCCCCAGCAGCTGAGAGGACGTCCCTCCCCCTACCCCGCCCCCTTCAAGATTTTCTCTTATTTTCAAAAGAGCGCCACCATCAGTCAGTGCATCAGAGGCCGTTTCTAAAACTATGATACCGTTTCATACATGGCTTTACTCTCTAGCTTCATGATTTCGTAACTCCAGAGGCTCTGGCCCAAAATACGTCTACTTTTTTTTCTACAGGAATATCAAAATGTATGTAATGAAGCTACGTTCTGAAGTCTCTTGGTTCGGTTTGAACACCGAATGCTTACAAATGCCTGGTTCCCGGGCTAAAGGCGAACGGAAAACGAATCGCAATTTCAGAAATGGCCAACCGGATTCAATCAATTTTCACCTCTGGAAATCACATGACATTGTTTCCATGTGACATGTGATAAACACTCTTGTGTGAAATGGTCTTGCCACCGCCGCTGTCGTCTGTAAAAATTCGATAATGATGACTGTGCACCAGACTGTTCAAACGTCATTCGCAAAATTCTGCACAACAAGCAAGGGCAGCATAGTACAACACCCACATGTTGCAAAGTAATGAACCGTCGAAATTGAATCATTACTAGGTTACTCGAAGAAATGTTCGAGTACTGTGTTAGAACTTAGAAGTGTTTCTGTCAGACGGAATTTTTTCTTTCATTTCGTGTTCTTTTTCAAATTATTCAACGAATTTGACACGACTTCTCCATTTGGTAGACCCTTCCTTGCGTGCTGATAATATCGGGACCTCTAGGCTCTAGCTCTGCCAAAGCAAAGCCGGAAAGCATCCGGGATCATTCAATGGAAAGAAGAGGTGCAAAATAGTTCAGTCATACTACAAAGTACAAGTACAAAGAACAACATACACCGGCGTCACCCCAAATGGCTCAACGGTAAGTAGGGCCTATGTTTTGAATAAAAAATACTGCTGACTGCTGTTGGGACAATTTAAAATGGCATTTGTTGGATGTGTAAAAAAATCATTTTTTCATATGAACATATTTTTGTTTGGGGGGGGGGGGGAGGGGAGAGTTCTGTATCCTGCCACCACTTTTTTTCAAAAAATGTTGAGGCTATCGTGTAGTCATGGTAGTGTAGGGCCCCTGTTTTGTTTCGATCAAATTATCATCAAGAATTTTTTTATTAAACTAAAAAATGACATCGTCAACCTGAAGCAGATTTCTCTCAATGTAAATGACACCCTTGGTAATTTTTGAACAGTTTTTTGGCCGGGGTGGAAATTATGATTTTCCTACGCGGTTTTAATACGGGCCGGTTGGTGCTGTGCAGCGCGACTTGCGTGCTCACAGTACATCACGCGGTGATCGCCATCTTTATTTTCGTGTTGCGTTTTGTCGTCGTCATCGTCATTTAACCACCAAATTTCCCTCAAAAATTCAAAACCCTGCCCTTTATCTATGGCATACATTACTTGGAAGGCTGTTTTATGTGCCAGTCTATTTTGGTTCTTGGTTCTTGGTTGGTTCTTCTCCTAAATACTCCACGTGGGAGTTTATGCTTGCTTTCAATATCTGATTAGTTTTAGGACTCTCATACACAGTATTGAAAGTCCCAAGCGGCGACCATGTCACTACATGTGTATAACACTACAGTTTTGTTTATTATTCAAAGCATCATACATGGACGAATTCACCATGTAAGCCTTGTTAACTAACCCTAACTCCCAAGGCATTTTTGCTAGGATGCAACCTCAATTCTGCAAAATCCTTCAACTGCTGCCATTTAAAAATTGCATACAGCCTCAATCCTGCAAATTTCTTGATTGTGGTCCCTAGAGGGGTGACCACTGCCTCAATCCTGCAAAATCCTCCAGCAATCCCTGTCAGTATGTTGAGGCAGAGCCAGTGACATCCTGGAGCAGTGCGGAGGATTTCAAGTATAGGCCTAGTCCCATCGGACTGCATCCGGGCCTGTCA